CCATTGGTGCGTTCTGCATTCACGTTCGCGTTTCATGCATTCATATGCATTCATATATTTATTATATTATGTACAATAATATGATTTTAGTGTTCAATTATTAATTACTTCGATTGTACTATACATAATGTGTGCATAGACTGTACAATATGTAGTAGATTAGTGAAACAATTAGTAACATTTCAGTCAAAATATCGAAATTTAACAATATTTATGTAAACTCGGAATGCAATCAATGTATGAACACAAATTTGATGAATTGATGTCGCGTCCATATGCATTCAGGTGCGTTCACCTTATATGTGTTCAATTTTGATCTTTGCGTTCACCTGCATTCCATGCATTCAGGTGCGTTCAGGTGCATTCAGGGTGCGTTCTGGCTCCACTTGAGATTGGATTGCAAATTTTGAGTTAGTTTCAAGTAATTCAATAACTAGTCTTCACTAGGCTCCACTGTTGTGGACTGCACCTTATGTGTCGGAGGGTAGTTGTAATAAGCAGGGTGTACTGATAGCACAAATATACATGTTTCATAGCATGGGTTGCACTGGAAGTAAACACTGCAGGAATGAACATATTCCTCACAAAGATTAGGTTGAAAAATTGGAGCTGAGATTATTTTGGAACAATCTGCTAAAGATCAGGCTGAAATTAATATAGGAATATTCAAAATACAGCTAATTCCAAAAGTCTAGGATAAAATCAGGCTCCTCATGCTGTTGGAGCACTGCTTAAGCTTGTTTGTGGATGTAGACAAAATCACAAAGATTAACACAGAGATGGAAGCATATAATTGCTGTAATTACATTGTTGGAGTAAACTAGGGCTGTCACTATGCAAGAAAGACATAGCTGCTTGCTCAGATTTGTTTATTCAAAAGGCTAGTAACTATGCACTTAAGCTTCTCCACAAACAAAGCTACATCAGGAATCACAGACTTCACTAGGTAGTAGCAAGTAGCTTGAGCAGTAAGAATAGCACTATAGACAAGTACCCCTTCCTGTAGAATGATATAGTGACTGGTAGTTGTAATTGAAGTATGAAGTAATAACCAGTAGCCAAAAGTGGGGTCTCAGGTAGTGCCTGGTAGTACTCAATAGTACTTAACCTTGGTTGTTGTAGTAACTGGACTGAGAATACATAACCTAACCTTCTATATATCCTATACAAGCTACATAGGATTTGCCAAAAAACACTTTTTACATGGAATTGCTAATTTTTTGTGGTTCATGTTTGTCCCATCCGAGACATCAGTGACAGCATGTGAGTTGTGGTTGAGGTTGATTTGAGTTGCAAAAGGAATGTTGAAAGTTGGGGGCATCTGAGTGATGGTTGTCAACTTGTCTGCTGTCAAGCACCATGTGCCTTTGCACATGGAACTCAACAAAGTCCTATGCACTGGCATTGAAACCTCCGGGCCAGATCTAGCGGTAATCCCTCAAAGGGAGGGTGCCTTCATTTACCGATCCCACTTTCCTCTTTCCTTATTGGGTACTTATCCCATCGTCCCTCTACATGGCTCCGTGTAAGACCTGGGTCAGAATAGGTCTTAGGGTAGGTTTGGGTATAAGGAGTTTATGTTGTAGTGTGCTAGGGGCAGGCTGGAGCTTGAAGGGAGCTACGGGAACTGCGACTGAGGACAGGAATGACCTAGTAGTGGCTGGGATAGAGAGGTGTGACCCTTGAAGGGGTTCCTATAAGGTCCAGGGAGGTCCCTAAGGTGTAGGTAGGGGAGGTAGAAGTACAGAACCTAGTAGTGTTGCATAGTAGGAGTTGTACTCGCTAGAATGTCAACATAAGATTGAATAGGTCGTAGTGGAAGTGGGTCTTGAGTGTGTAAGCTCCTGAGAAGATATATGCCCGGGAGGGGAGGTCCCGGGAACTGGGGCTTAGAGGTGGATGTCCTTGAGTGTTGGAGGTTGTAACGGAGAAGCGGCACGTAGTTCGACGTAGGGGGTAGCTTCGACGTTACCTAGATCGAGGTCCCAGAACTTATGGAGCAATTGGGGAGCTCGAGGAGGTTTTGGGGAGGTTAGCTCACCAAGGCGTTAGGCATTGGGGAGGTTAGCTCACCAAGGCGTTAGGCATTGGGGAGCTTTAGTATTGTTTGAGGGAGCTCGGAGACTCACTTGGATTGCTTAGACGTGAAGTAAAAGCATATATTGGATCGTATAGACAATCGTAGAGACAACAGACAAGAGTAGAGAGAAACTGAGAGAGAAACTGAGAGTAAAGAGAAATCCGTATGGTTAGCAGGTACAAAAGGACAGGGACTGGACCTATGCAAAAGGGTGTGTGTTCAAAATATACCAAGCTGGGGCTTCGGGACATTACAAGACTACTTAAATAGGTACGGGAAGTGAACAAGGGGACATTGGGGAATCTGGAGAACATGAGGCAGGTAATCGAGATTGGTACTTAATGGGTCTAGTGGTAGGAGGTTTCGTGCACGTGTCGGGGGATCTAGGTGTTTGGGAATAGAAAGGGTATCGAAAACAGGGGTGGTTTTACTGGTGGTTGTACTGTCTTGGGGAGGTACCGGGAGCATGAGATACGTGAGGTAGGGGGTGTGGGAGCATGTGGTTGCTGCTGGGACTGGCCTGGTTGTAGTCAGGGCATGACAGGGACTAGCAGCGTAATGGTGGTGTTGTTAATAACTTCACTACTGTCCCATTCGACCCTCCACTCTTAGACACCTTGTGGCCTCTGGCACAGTTACATGGTGTACATGATCTTAACAGCTACACATACCCTTTCATTCTAGTCTCTCCTTATTGTCTTTTTCTCTATCCTGCAGGTACTACTTGTATAGCTCCTAGTAGTCGGTCTGGTGCTCTGCACCAATGCGCCAATCCGTAGATATAAATACTGTCTGTACGCTACTGTAGTTCCTCAGTTTAATTATCAACTTAGTTCTCCTCTTAGTCTTCAGGCTCATCGCCTTGAAGTACTCTCTACTCTAACCTGAGGACTTATAAGTTCTTTGGTTCGCTCCTTGTCATCGGCGATACCGCCACTCTGACTTGGCTGCTCCTGGCTCCTCTCTTCTATACTCTCAATCTCCGGGGACTAGCCATGTAACGGCGGTGTTGTTAATAACTTCACTACTGTCCCATTCGACCTTCCGCCCTTAGACACCTTGTGGCCTCTGGCACGGTTACACGGTGTACATGATCTTAACACTTGCGTATCAAACTGCCAGTGTAGTTAGAGTGCAGGTACATGTGGTCACAGTGCAGTCACAGTGGTATCTGTTGAATGGTGAATACATAAACTTCCAAGAATATCATCAGGTACATCCACTTTGTATGCAATTTCAAAATCCAAGTGCAGGTGATACACACAAAATTTATGCCCTACATCTGCAAAACATGGATATTTGGCTAAGGGCTGAGAGCAGATCCCAGTACTGAAAGCACTGAAAGCAGTCTGCTCTGAGTGCTTTCACTGCTGGGAAATGCTCTCAACTGCTTTTGGACCCTTAACCAAACATATAGGTTTTGCAGATGTAAGAAAAATATCAAATGTACCTTCATCAGGAGACTAAGCTGCTGACTTGTGTACTCTACTAAGGACTAATGTTTGGACCTGAAAGTGTTGAGTTTGAGTTGACACACATTATAATCGTATAGGCAGCAGAAATACATCTAATCAACAAGGTGCTGTTTTGTCAAATTGTCCATACATGAGTACAGCTTAGGCAGACATAGTAAAATAGAATGTTCACCTGAGAGATGCAGGTAGGTTAGACAAGAAGGAAAACTTATTTGAAGTGGCCTGGGCCAAAGAGGGATAGTGAATCATCTGCAAAACCTGGATGCTTGGCTAAGGGCTGAGAGTAAATCCCAGTGGCACTAACAGAAGTCTGCATTGAATGCTTTTGCTGCTGGGAAACACTCTAAACTTCTTTTGGACCCTTGGCTGAAAATACAGGTTTTACAGATGTCATCTGAGTGCCAGAGCACAAGCTCAAACCAATGGAAAGGAGATCTAGGTCTCAAGCACATGGAGTGTACACTGTTGGGAAGATACTCCATACATACACACATAATCCCCATTCCGACTCTGTGTTGTAAATTGCATTATTAGCTTATACTGTACAGGACTACATAGATTACACAGACAGCTATCTTTGAGTCCCTCAGTTGCTTTACACACAACTGAGGTGAGCTCAAAGTACATTCACTGTACAAATACTACTATACTAACCTAATGTAGATAGATCATAACAGGTACATATGATAATACAGTTGCTTTACACATAACTGAGATAGATCATAACATACACTGATCATTGGTGAGTAGGAAGTCTTGGAGGATGCCAAGATTAGCTCACCTCATTGATTAAATATTTGTAAATCTTCCTTTAAATCCAATTAATGCCAGCATCTATATGCTGTAATAGTGTTGCAAGATACACTGTAGTGGAGTGCAGCTAACCTTGCAGTGACTGTTACTGCAGGTGTAGCTGCAAAATTTCTGTGCCCCAATTCAATTTCTTGGGTATTTTATTGTTTCAACTTAAAATGTTTCAGACAAATCAATAGAGATAGTTTCAGATGTTCTGAAAGGTAGACTACATAGACTACTTGTAGATAATGCTCAATGGAAAAATTAAGTCAATATAATAAATATCTAACCTGAACGCAGCTATGTTGAACGTGAACGCAAATCTGTCGGAACGCAGAACGCACCGACGGAACGCGAAATTATACCGTCCGCTTTCCGAAGATGAAATGAAATATTTGGAGGAGGCTTATCAACCTCGTTCAATCATTGGGCACTCTTAGAAGCTATGTTGTGAATGGATGTAATTGAGTAGTGCTAGGATAGTGAACATTCCAAAGGTTGACCAAAAAATTATGATGAGATGAGACCAAAAAGCAGTTAAAACCTCTGAAGACATGAAAGGCAAGAAAGAAGTGCGCGCGGTGAAGGAGGGACCAAGGCATGCATACATTGAAAGACAAATACAATCCGTTGATAATAATGCTACGACTACAAGAAATATAAGGCATATGTAAAGTAGTAAAATATGCTGCAAGATAGTGACAACGATCGTGATGGTAGATTGTGTTACGAGGATTATCAGTGAATACAATATAGCAGGTTGAAAGGTAAATACTACATGGTCTGAAGAGCAGGGGGTATCGAGAATTCGGGAGCAGATGGTGGGTCAACACCCGCAGAGTTGCAAGCTTCAGTCAATTGCTCGCGAAGAATTGCACAATGGCGTTGTTGCACTACGTTCTTGTATCAGCGAAAGAAGCATCACAGTGGTAAAGAACAAGCTCACAAGGACAAGGCCATAATACATTCATAACATCGATAGGGATGACGATAGATTTGGCCAAGTCGAGTGCTGTGATTAGAGAACGATCGTGGTGAAAGATCATGAGGCAACTGAAAAGGGAACGTGTATAGTCAGACACTAGATAGAGCACATCCAACGGGAAATCTACGTGCATAGAAAGTTGATTGGAAAACCAGGTAGCCTGGAAGGGCCGCCTAGTGAGTTGATGCCCTCGAGGATCTGTAATTTCCCGTATGCCTATCTTCACACGTTTAATGACCTGATCCTGATAGTAGACTATTGATTCAAGGAGTCAGCTTCATAGGGCATTTATAACAGGGTACTCACGCCAGTCTTGAGCTTGACGCCGGTTGAGGATCCGACTTCTGGTAGTCAGGCCTTGTAAGCTGTCAACTAATTGGTAAGGCTTTCGAGTAACGTACTCGTTGTAAGCTGGAACAGACCTACGAAAGACCTGGGTAAGATTGATTCGTGTACTATGTTCATCAGTACAGAGGAGATAGCTTGTGAGTAACAGAGGAACGAACTTGTATATATACTCCCGTGTCATGTATATTAATGCAGTATCTAGATTGCAGATATGCATTTCGAGAGAGTCTTGAATCGCTTGACTTTCACTCCATGATTCTTGCGCGAGTTCAGCATTTGTTTCCGATGGTGACTCAGATTGGTCGCAAAGGTGATTACTGTAATTCCAGAGAAGCATGCTCCGACAATACAACGCCCACACAGACTCCTTTGGCGAATGTGAATCAACAGAGCGATAAGTAGGGGAAGCACGATCCACCACCTCTCCAGGGAATAATAAATTGAACTGGAAAGTAGGTGAGCAGACAGATCCTTACGATTGTAGGGGATAGAGCTTACATTACTGCAATCACTGAGGAAAAGGTTCGGACACTTGCGATCAAAGGCTACGCATTGCGCGTTATAGCTCGCGATAAGACCAACAGCGCACCAGCACACTCGCCGACATTCTTCGTCACGTATCTGAAGAGGTGTCCAGGAGGAGTCCCAGGGTGGAGGATACGACCATGATGTGACGGGATCAGGTGGGTGTGTGGCATCTACGGGTATACAAGTGCATTTGCGGTCGCGTTCGTCAGGCCCCGAGGTGATTACGACGGGAACATTTCCCCGAGGATAAACACACACGTCGGGATCAGAAGCGTCAATACCGGTAAGACCCAGGTGACGAATGATATCGTCAAGGAGCAAAAGGGACTCCGAGATACGGTCAGGGTTGTACTGGGGATGAACTGAGGTTTCGAACAGAGTGAGAATCTACGTAGCGTTGCAAGAGCAACAATCAGTATATGCACACAACAATTAGATACACAGAGGAAATGATGAAGTGTCTACTACTTACTAGTGCAGCCTCAGCCAACATGGGGTCTAACCATCCTGAGTTCCATGAGGATTCCAGCGCGGCACGAGCAGACTCCCGATACATCAGAGCCCTTTCTCTTCCTTTGACACCAAATTCTGCTTGACTCGATTTCATCAACGTCGCCATGGCCAATATGGAAAGAATCAATGGAGGCCTAATAGCAAGCCGATCCTCAGGATGATATAGAGTCTGGAGAAAGTAATCGAGGTTGAGGAACGAAAGCCAGTGCCCGGTGTCCGAAAAGCTGTAAATATTAATATCGATGAAAACATCTCGAACACAGTACACCTACAGATATTCTGCGTCAGCCGCAATATCTCCGATGCTAGGCTCCTGATCAGAGACAATCAAGGAGTTGAAAAGTAAGCCGACTCACGAATGAGTGGTCAGGAATCGAGCCCACCAATCATGTTGTGCTGACTCCACTGAAGGTGATGATGGTGAGGGAAATTTCTCGTGAACCATCTTCTCAGTAGGACGGAGAACGTTGATATCCAATGGTCCAGGATAAGGCGATTTATAGTGTATGTCATCATAGTCCATAGAAGAGGAATATCTTCGACCTAGATGATTCTAAAGAAACATTGAGTTCACCGAGATTTAGAATGGGGTTAACATGCCAATATCACCTTGATGACAGTATTATCAGTTGATATGCGCAATCCCGGAGGAGTATCTTCATAAGTGCTTTCAATAGGGACCTGTCCGTGCTTATCCGTTGACAAAGAGCGCTTCCTCTCTGTCATTGCCGTCTTCGACTTTGTGGAAGGCGAAATTTGGTTTGTGGAAGTAACTTCGTCAGTTTCGATTTTCTTTCTTTTAGATGGTGGGGGAGTAGATCCATCAGCAGGTCGCTTTTTACATGATCTGCGTCGAGTCCCTGGACGTTTATCTGGGCCTCTCCGTTTTGGTGCGGCATCATACTCGCAAACATTCTTTCGTCGGTGGCAATTGGTGCACACGGGCCTAGCAGAGTCACATCGTATTTTGCGGCTACGACTGCAAGTGAAAAAACCAACATCAGCACTCGTTTAATCAGTAAAAAAGGCTTAATGAAAGGAACAATGATACCATTGACGACACGCTATGACAACAGTTGATGTTTCCCTGCGTTCTCGAGACCGATTACCAGCGAAAGCAGTAGAAGATTCTGAAAGTTCGACAGGAGACACGGGGGTAAGTGGTTGATCTCCGTCCATAACACGTCTAACCATTGGGTCATGGGATTGTCTTCCAGACGACCGTCGTTCTGAAGAATTATACCTAAAATCGAGGGCTTCGCCTCCTGGACCCGGAGAGAAATGTGATGCGCGAGTATTCACCGAAGTTTGGGGTAGATATTGAATATCAGGCTGGTTACGAGCCGCAATGGAATAATCTGTAGAGAAATTGGAATGGTGTGCATTTGGGCTCGGGGTTACTAGCGTTGTATCAATCAACGGCGGTTGTTGTTGCTGGATTATGGACGATGTGTAGTCAAAACGCAGGATGCCTGCGGCATCTTCAATGTCAGCTTGATCCTGATACCGGACTTTATTGACACGCGGTAGCAGGTGAGAACATTGTAAAATACCATAGTAGACGCAAATGTAGTAACTCACAATCATGACTTTGACCAAAGACAGGGGAGTGCAAACCCGAGCCATCCTCGCTAGATTGCGGTCCCTCCTCGAGCATAGAAGGATGCTGAAAGGGAGAATAAAGGTCGCTGCTATTGATGCTCGCTACCATAGGCGTTAGGGAATTTAGAGGTCAAAATGGGATTAGTAGTCGTTGACGGCCAGTTCCTGGTCGTGAGCCACTGGAGATTTGCAGCAAAATGAGTTAATATCGTGTCCACGGTCGTGCTGGATACGAGATTTGAGCGAAGAAAAGAATATCACTTCAGCATAGGTATGTTCTCGAAGTGATGAGGGACAATGAAGAATAAGAATGCTCTGAAGAGCTGATGGATGAGGAAGGCACTGTGGACGTTGCTCGAAACTACGAAATTCTAACGCACGCAAATAGCGTTCAATGTTCTAACCAATGAAACAATCGGCAAGATGTCGGAAATCTTCTGAGAAAACGCGGACTTCTACGTCCTCGCGGTCACATCAACGTAACGCTCCGTAATCGGTATTCACATGCCACATGGGAAAATTAAGAGGTACGCGTTGAGCCAAGATCTTGGTTCTGTTCATCAGCTTCTCTCACACGACCTCACAGTCTGTTTCTGCAGAGTTTTGACCGGGGTAGCGAAGAGCACATAAGATATAATTGATCTACATATAGGTTATCATTTTTTGCTATATAATGTTGAGCTATTGGGAATATTGCAGGTTTTGCCAGTGTCAGAAATATAGGATAACCAGGTCGATGTCTGGCGAGGGAACACGCACCATGTTTACCATGTTTGATTGATGATTTCTTTGTTCCCACCTTCCAGAGACCCAATGTACATCCAACAGAATACCGAGAGCTGTTGTGCAGCTGGAAACACTACTGCTCGCGCATATACACGCCAGAAACAAATCTCACATAGGTATAAAAAATGTTGCACAGTAGAAATAGAACAGTAAGGGATGTACCGAGGTAGACTTTTAGCAAACAGGTTGGTACTCAATTTCCTGTTCATAGTAATGAATATTGATGAATGCGTTAAGCTTACTTTCAAGAATTTTTCTATCTACATAGTATACGGATGTTCCTTAGATGACACTTAAGCGCTGCCACTCAGCGCTGCGTCTAATCCATTCAGGATCTTGTGTTAACTCCTCATCGAGCTGAGTGTAATCTGTATAGGCCAGGTGCAGGCCACTAAACTAGCCTAGGCCCAAAGGAGGTCTGCCTGAATGAACAAACATAGGAAGGTGAGTATGACACTGTATGACAACTCTCATCGATTTGAATGATCACATTTTGGGTCGGATCGCCTTGAATGACCTTCAGAATGGCGCATTGTAAAGGTGTTCGTGCAACGGTCCAACGATGAAGCCAAATATCAAATCCGTCATGAAATGATTCCTTAGATGAATGAATGCATCTGGTGGTGATCAAACTCAGACCGTGACTGGAGAAGTTGCACCACGAAGCTCAAGCACTCAGGGTTCAAATGTGCTTCTCGAGAAGAGTTACAAGAGTTACGAGATAGGCGACAAAGAGTTTACTCCTTGACCGCAACAAGGTAACAATCGTAGAAATTACGGTCTTCTTCTGCGGTGTGTTTGCGCATTCCGCCGGTATCGCCTTTATTTGTACGGCTTTGATGCGCTATGATGTCGCGTCAAGAGAATTAACCCGGAATGAATCTGGAATACTTAAATTTAATCCCCTCTGTTCAAAAAATCAATGATGATGAGAAAACTCTGACATTACTTAGCTTTCAACGATGAAGTACTATGTATGCACCCTGGCCTCCAAGCTTCGCTGAGTACCTTCGATTGTACTGTACTTACATATACATAGATGTATATGTGCCCGGGAAAATTCGCTGGGACCACCGTCTAAGAACCTGGCCCGTGATCAGTGTCTAAAAGGTCAATTCAAAAAGATCAAACAAGGTGGGTGTGCATACTAGCTCCGACCTCTGTCATCGGAGTAATGTTTTCTGAAGTTGAATCCCTACATATGTTTCCCAGAATCCCCAAGTAATTTCATATATTTGCAACAAAGATAAGAAGATGATACCCTACTTGTTCAGAATTCAATGTCGCTTGTTTAGCTTTTGCAACACGAGAAGACAACGAGAAGGCTGACTAGCATGACATACGCGTACGTTCAACAAATTAAAGAATCGATGGAAGAATGATAGGACATATGTAGATGCATACATCATCTGAATTATATACAAGTCGACATGGGAAGACTTAGTCGAATGTAGTACCCTCAAAGACTGGGATCCTTCCGGTCTACTGATGATTCCGAGAGCATCCAGAATTTCCCTCTCTGTACATGTCAAATGAAATATTTGAATAATAACGAATTTCCTCTTCGGAAGTGTGCTCAGAAACAGATACTATTTGTTATGCACATCTTCCACATCTTCCACATCTTGCAATAACCAATCATGATCAACCGAGCATGAATTAACACTACAAAATAATACTATGCTATACTTGTACAAGTTTCTTAACTGTTCTTTACCATGCCCTTCCTACAGGAATACGTATATGCCAACTGTGATGAGCGTTATTTTCCGGTTATTCTACCAAGCCGAAGATTCAAATTGAAATCCAGTCATCCACTCGGCTTGTGGGGGGACATCCAGAACTCGGAGCTGATGAGAATTGAGTTTCAATAAAAACTTTTTCAACACCGTCGACACGATTATCAAAAGCGGGGTAGAGCTTGGCCAAGTCGTCAATCGGAACACGGTGGGTTATCATGCTGCGGGTTAAATGCGTGTTAGAGAAGATAAGCTACAGAAGAATAAAAAACACAGTACACGCTGTGTTATATTGGAAGAGCCTACTTACAACGTTGGATCAAACTTCCCTGGGATGATGTATTCGTTCAGAATCTCTTCCCAATATTTTAGAACAGGAGCTTGCCCGTTCCCAATCAGCCTATACGAGAAAATAGATCAATCCATCGAACAGCAGGGTTACGGGTCAATTTAAGAATGCGGAGTAACGAGAAGGGAAAACGGCGCTCAAGAGGGTCCCTTCAACTTCGATTAGTTATCAGGTGTTTGGAACGAACCAATCGCGTTGAGGTATGTCAAGCTGCATATAGAACTTCACATAGAACATCGCCTACTCCACCCTGAACCAGCACATTCGCTCCATGATAGTATGTAGATGTCTAGTAGTCTAGTCCATGCACGATCCCGCCTAATGATCTCCCATGATCCATCAAAGCGAAAAGAACTTTTAGGAGCGGACCGGCTTCGGAAACATGTCCTTGCATAACGGACACGGATGATCCAAATTCCTTCGGCAAAGTCCCTCTTCCCGAAAGAGGGTCTAACTAACACTTACCGAACACCTTTTTCCATCAAAGCTCCTACATTGACAGCATTTGCATAACCTGCATACGCAGCGATTATTCCACAGCGCCCAGTTTTGCGTACAGAAACTATCATCTCATTGATGGTTTCTGGCACATCGGTTTCAAGCATCAGCGTCTTTTGAATTTTATGTGTTATCGTCTTTGGTTCATGGAACGTGCCTATATCGGGGTATCATCATATCAGAGTGTACCGATTGACAGAAGACAGGGAAGTTATAGAAATCGAACGGGAATTTTTTTTCTGGGAGGGGGAGGGCGCTCACCAATCAAGAGCCACATCTAGACCCTTCGGACAGAGTTCGTAGATTCTTTTTGTGACATCAGAGTACTGGCTAAAGTCGATCGTTTCAATACCAGACTTGCTTTCCGCAAAATGGAGACGGGAGGGAATTCGATCGATGCCAATCACCCTCGAAGCTCCTTTGAGTAGAGCCCAGCGCGCAGCACATTGGCCTATTGGCCCGAGACCCTAGAAAAGGAAGAATCACAAATTATCAGATGGGACGGCATGAGAACAAGGGTGCAAGGGTGCAAGCCCCGATGATCGTAGCAAGTAGTATAGAAGTAGTTGAATAGATATACCCACCAGATTCCAACCACATCGCCTAGCTTCACACCCGTATCAACTACGGTATGATAAGTAGTCGGAAGGACGTCGGAAAGGTAGATAGCTTTTTCATCCGGGACACTGTCGGGGATAGGCAAGAGGTTGACATTGCCGATCGGTACGCGGACATATTCCGCCTGGCCTCCAGGGAATCCGCCCGTGAAGTGAGAGTAGCCGAAGAATCCAGCGTCACGTTGGCCGTGCATGTAGTTTTGAAGCCTAGAGGGAGTGGAGAACCGAGGAAAACCACATGGTTAGAAATCCGGTTAACTGTGCTAGCAGAGAATGAAAGACAACGCACGAGGAATTATTTGTACGGTCACAAAACGAGGACAAATTTTCACGACAATAGGTGCATTTGCCACAAGCGATCTGGAATGACGAAACAACTCTTTGACCAGGCTTAAGGTTTTTGACATTGGGTCCGATTTTGAATACCTTTCCCATGAACTGTGTAGCATCGAATAAAGCTTGAGCTATAGCACTTGTATACCGAGCCAATGACTGGATTGAAAGACGAACCTCGTGTCCTAAAATATCCCCCTTCTGTAAGGCCATAATCTCGCCATGGTATCTGATACGGAATAAAAACTCAGACATTCAAATCTCGGGGCCATTACAACGAGATTGCAATTGGTGTTGTTCAGCAGTTGCTACAGACTTACAGATGAATATCTGAACCACAGATAGTCGTACCGGTCACTTGGAGAATTACATCGTCGGGCTCTGTGATATCCGGGATGGGTGCAGTGACCATTCGGACGTCCTTGGGACCAAACCATGCCAGAGCTTTCATCGAGGCGCCTCCTTCAACAGGCTTATATTCTGGGTGTATAACGGTGGGTTCTGTGCCCATATACTACAAGGCTCATTGGTGTTGTGATTTGTGTTATTTGGAAAAAATTTGACATACTTCTTGAAATTTGTTTGCAGCTGCTTGCATGATTTTGTAATGGAAGAATCTGTGTAGCGAAGGGTCTAAAAGTTCCTGTAAAACGTAGAAGTAGAAGTGAAAATAATAAACGTTCAGTTGATGTTGGTAGCGAAACTTTTAAACCTATTGGGTGATGATGCCAACTATGACGAGTAGGTGGATCATCCTTCAACGAACTTCGATCGTCTTTGATTGACTGTAATGCCAGATAATCAATACAGGTATAATAATCAAACTTAGAGGTCTGGATCCTGGTGAATTAATTGAAAGAGGGCAAAGCGTTTCTATGAAGCACAGATGATCTTCAATAAGTCCGCGTTGCACAATTCCATTTTGCTACAGTTTATGAATCCCCTCAATGCTCACACAATGAATATGTGTTCCTCTAAAGACAGCTCAGACACTTCAACATTTGCATATAGAAGGACACTTACCCTTGCATACCCCCCTTTTGCATTCACCTTCCTCTCACTCATTAAAGTCAATCTATGCCCTTCTGCTTCTTCCCTTGTTAGCGTTCCTTCCAACACATAGTCACATATGATTTCAATCAATTCCGGGGATATCTCCTGTCCCGTCAATTTGAGAGAAACGATACGAAGGAACGCGCGGATCGTCGGGTCATTCGTTTTACGCTCCTGCATTGGGATTTCGGAGGTAGTGAGAACGTTCATATGGGACATACCCCTGATGGAAAAGCCAGGTTGGCGAATGTAATCAAGGGAGGATTGGCTCCCGCTGTCGTCAACGAGGAAGAAACAGAACTAGTGGAATTGTATTGAGAGCCTGAAAACTGGATTTGAGACAGATTCGAGAAAACAAACAATTTTCCGTGTTGCGACAGTTTCGTCATTTATATTACTGTTCCGGCTGGATTCAGAGTTCTTGACCAACTTCACCTTGTGCTAATTGACGTTGCAAGTTAAAATGAAGAGAGACTCCAATCAGCCATGACGCGAGATAGGAAGGAAAAGAGACATACCTGGAGCCAATTCGGGAATGAGAGGATCCTCCCTGTGCTATTCCCCTTGTGTTCTCCTTTTCTGTCAAGATCAAAATTCGTAGTTTGCACCGTCCCTAGATTGATAAAAAACGGCAGTGATGTGGTAGTGACAGGTATACGGGAGCTTTCGTTAACAGTTTCCCAGTCACTTGGGTAGTGATGTTCAGAGTCGTATTCTGGGTCTTCATCATTATCAGAATTTTGACCATCACCAGAGACATTGGTGTTCACGAGGAAGGATAGGTGAAAATCCTAAAAATACAGTACAAGTGAATAACGACAAGCACCAAGGGAAAAAAAAACTAGTAGGAGATACTTTTGAAATCACTCACCTCATGCGTATAGTCTGAATCCTCCACCGCCGGAAAGTCGTCATTTACATCCCGGAACTTGCGAAAACTCAGACCATGGTCTTGAATGGCAGAGTCGGTGGAATAGTAGTAGATGAAGGAGGCAATTATACGCTCATGAGGCTACATGAGAAGAGTTGCAAGGAAGGATATGGGCACAGAGGGCACACAGACGAACCATGCCTTCCATGTGCCACGAACCTTCATATTCTCGCCCAGGCGCTACAGTGTAATTGGCGGCCTGACAGTGAATGGATCATACATGCATGAGTGAAGGCAACAATAGTCTGTGATAAGAAAGGACATTACCTTGACAACAACCTTCAACTCCTGTCCTTTATACGTATTCGCAGCACCAACAAATGAGTCTTCTAGAACATAAAAACTCTCCTTCCCCGTTTTCTCTTCATGTATCTCTCTACGCAATCTTTCTTTCGCTTCTTTCTCTTCACGTTTCTGCAACTCCCACTCTGTTTGATGTTCAGAAAGGAACTGAGCCCACATCTCCTTTGTAAGTTCACCCTCGTGGGAGACGGCAAAATCTCGTCGTTGGATCCATCGCTGAACTGTATGGATTCAAATCAGCTTTTGAAGAAGATACTGATATACGCGGACAGAGAGACAAATACGTGCCTGATGGGGACGTTTCCGGTTTATACTCCTGTGCTTTCTCCACTGTCTTCTCGAAATGCGGTAACGCAAGTAGAAACATCTTTTCAATCACTCTGAAAAGACCCGGGTGTTCCTCCCTCGTACCTAGTCCATTGATGTACCCATCGATATGCACGTCAGTCCCATCCGGGGATACTTTGAAGACGGAGGGGATCCAAGCATAAGTGGAGATCATTTCCGTATCAGACAGGCTGCTTAGTTTGGTGTAAAACTTTCCTTCAACGGTCGGAGGCAGCTTGATAGAGGGCGAGGAAAGTGGAGTCACGCCAGGAATGTAAGGATCTAGTATTAAATTCTGAATCAGTTGCGACTTGTACAACAGATTATGATAGCTGCACGCAACAGAGTGAAGGATGTATCAAATCTTGGACCTAACACCGATGGAAAGATTCAATAATGGAGAAAGCTGAATGTGATAAACCCACCTTGCCAAATGAACCAGGATGGTAATCTTTTGGTTCTTTTGCAGCTAATGCGTCCAGTTCACGTTCGAGCTATAGTTTATAATCATTGTTAAAGAAATGACATTACAGAAGTAACCGATAAAGCGCTCACCTCGCGATGAACAGATTCTGGTACCAAATCATCAGATACAAAAATGCCTAGACCTTTCTCCCTCAATTCAGGCTCCCAAAGCGCATGTCTTGAACCGCGAGCATATTTGAGGGCATTGTTCCAGTCTGAATTGTCTACTTCCAAAACGGGCTCCTTGACAGGCTCGTGGTGTGGACCATTAGATAGTATAATTTCTTGATCGAGTTTGCGTATCGTTGAAGCACGACGGAGTTCTCTGGGGATGTTGATTTTTAAGCGAGATAAGCAAAGAAAGGACCGAAAGTGGGATACCTCACAGCCTCCAATGTCTCTCCTCTTAAAACTGTTGACCCCAGCGGCATAAGCTCCGCCTCTATAGACCATTTCAAAACAAGCTTCTCATCCCAAATTTTCCTTTCCCAATCCTTCTTCTGCCGAACGGCGAGACAGAATTGGCCCAAATCCTGCGCAGTGGGGTTTCGTTTTTGCTTCGGGGACATTCAAAATCTAGTAGGCTGGGAGTCGGATGGTGGATCAAAAGAAGAGTTGCAATCGATTGATCGTTGAAATTATCACATATAAGTTTAACGCGTTTATATGAGGATGACGAAAGGATTACTAGGATGGGACCCCGTCTCTGAAGACGGTGTCGTGTATCAATCAATCAATCAACCTATCTATCTAGGATTATGGAACAATCTGAAGACTCTAAACCTTCCAAAATTGAGACATAAGTCAGATTAATTCCAGTTGGCCTACAATATTTGGACAACAGAAGATCGATTATATTGACAAAATTGCGTGAGGCTTTTGGGGCTTTGAATTTTGAACGATGAAAATATTTAGTTTTTCAGGGAATTTTTAGGGCCCAGTACAAAATTACACGACTGCACACCTATTTGTAGTATATACCCCTCAAGCCCTCAATGTTCACACAATGAATATGTATTTTCCTGCAAAACCAATCAGTAATCACACCTCGACCAGGAGCTATCAACTTAGATGTTAGAATGATACTTACCCTTCCATACCTTCCCTTCACCTGAACCTTCCTCTCACTCATTAAAGCCAATCTATGTCGCTCCGCGTCTTCCCTTGTCAGCGTTCCTTGCAGCGCATAATTGCATATGATTTCAATCAACTCCGGAGGTATCTCCTGCCCCGTCAACTTGAGAGATACAGTACGAAGGAACGCGCTGATCGTCGGGTCGTTCGTTTTACGTTCCTGCATTGGAATTTCGGAGGTAGTAAGAACATTCATCTGGGATAGACCACTGATGGAGAAGCCGGGTTTGTGGATGGAATCAAATGCGGAAGATCTAGAGGGGGAGGATTGACTCCCACTGTCATCAACAAGGAAGAAACAGAGCTAGTGGGATTATATTGAGAAACTGAAAACTTGATTTGAGAAGACATACAATTTTCCGTGTTGCGACAGCGTCATCAGTTATATTGCTGCTCTGATTGGATTCAGAGTTCTTCACCGACTCGACATGGTGCTATGTAGGATCGACGTTGCAAGTCGTATGCAGAGAAAAGAGAAATATGAAAAGATGAATACCTGAAGCCAATTTGGGAATGAGAGTATCCTCCCTGTGTTGTCGCCCTTGCGTTCTCCTTCTCTATCCGAATCAAAATTCGTTGTCGGCACTGTCCCTAGATCGACGAAATATGGAAGTGCTGTGGTGTTGACCGGTATCCTCAAGCCATCGTCAACGGATTCGGTTTCCCAGTCACTTGGGTAATGATCTTCGGACTCGTATGCTTCCTCTTCTTCGTCAGAATTTCCGGATTCATTTTCATCAGCATCAGAAACATTGGATTTTGCGAGAAAAGAGAGTCGGAAATCCTAGTAAGATAACACCGCAAGCGATAAGATGAGAAGGAAAGAAGACTTAAAATCACCATTCGGAAAACCACGCACCTCATGTCTATAATCTGAATCCTCCACCCCCGGGAAATCGTCACTTACATCCCGGAACTTGCGAAAGCTCAGACCATGGTCTTGAATGGCAGGGTCGGTGGAATAATAGTAGATGCAGGAGGCAATGATGCGTTCGTGAGGCTGCGGGTGAGAGTGGAAAGGAAACGGACGGGGGATAATTAAACAAAAGCAAAAACAAAGAGAAAAGACAAGCTACGAACCATGCCCTCCATGTGCCACGAACCTTTGTATTCTCGTCCAGGTGCTAAAGTGTAATTGGCAGCCTGGATGAATCATGCAAGCATGAGTAAAAGACAGTATTTTTAATAGTATTTTATATAATCGGAAAGGACGTCACCTTGACGATAACCTTCAATTCCTGTCCTTTATACATATTCGCAGCACCAACAAATGTGTCTTCTAGATTGAAAAAACTCTCTTTCCTCGCCTTCTCTTCATGAATCTCTCTACGCAATTTTGCATTGACTTCTGCCTCTTCACGTTTCTGCGTCTCCCACTCGTTTTGATGTTCAGCAAGGAACTGAGTCCACATCTCCTTTGTGAGTCCATATTCGTTAGAGACGGCAAAATCTCGTCGCTGGATCCATCGTTGAACTATGTAGTAAAATCAGCTTTCGAGGAAGACACTGATGTTCGTGGATAGAGAGACGTATACCTACCTGATGGGGACATTTTTGGTTCATACTCCTCCGCCTTCTCCACCGTCTTCTCGAAATGCGGTAACGCAAGTAGAAACATCTTTTCAATCACTCTGAAAAGACCCGGATGTTCCTCCCTCGTACCTAATCCGTTGATGTACCCATCGATGTGCACGTCAGTCCCATCCGGGGATACTTTGAAGACGGAAGGGATCCAAGCGTAAGAGGAGATCATTTCCTCATCAAACAGGTTGCTTAGTTTGGTGTAGAACTTTCCATCGACGGTTGGAGGCAGCTTAATAGAGGGCGAGGAAACTGGGGTCACGCCAGGAATATAAGGATCTATAAATGATTGCATTCCGAATCAGTTGTGACTTGTAGACTTGAAATTGTGATCACTAGGTACGCACAGAGCGAAGGATGTATCAAGTCTTGAACCTGACACCGATGGAAAGATTCAATAATGGAAAAGGCTGAATGTGATGAACGCACCTTGCCAAATGAACCAGGATGATAATCCTTAGGTTCTTTTGCAGCTAATGCGTCTAGTTCACGTTCGAGCTATTGTTTATAATCATTATTAAAGAAATGACATTACAGAAGTAACCGATACAGCGCTCACCTCGCGATGAACAGATTCTGGTACCAAATCATCCGATATAAAAATCCCTAGCCCTTTCTCCCTCAATTCAGGCTCCCAAAGCGCATGCCTTGAACCGCGAGCATATTTTAGGGCATTCTTCAAGTCGGAATGGGCTACTTCGACAACAGGCTCGTTAACAGGCTCGTGGTGTTGCGCAGTATTGCTTTTGGGACCACTAAATAATGTAATCTGCTGATCGAGTTTGTGTATCAATGTAGAACGACGGAGTTCTCTGGGGGTGTGAACTTCTGAGCGGGACAAGCAGAGAAAGAACTGAAAGTGAAGTACCTTACAGCCTCCAATGCCTCTCCTTTTAAAACGGTTGACCCCAACGGTATAAGCTCCGCCTCGATAGACCATTTCAAAACAAGCTTCTCATCCCAAATTTTGCGCTCCCAATCCTTCTTCTCCCGGACGGCAAGACAGAATTGAATCAAGTCCTGATCACTAAGGCTTCGCTTTTGGGTCGAAGTTTGGGATCTGCGTAGTGATGGTGTTTGAGTTGTTTTAGTGGTGCGACGTAACATTGAAGAGAGGCAGAACTGGGATAAGAGACATCGTTCGAATCGTTCGAATCACGCGCAATAATTCCCACGCATGCTATAGGTCTTCCAAGTGAATAGGATTTTATTATGAACTATCCACACCTGATCCAGTTATGGTTCTGTCGTAGCTGAGACCGTGCATTTCTTTTACTGGTGGAGGCACGACTCGAAGCGAGTGGACATCGGTGGACACGTTAGCCGGAGTGTCGATGACCCCGTGACCGCCATAAGTTCCGTCTCCCAATCACCATACTCCGGTTAGGACTGAACCTGGTTTACAATACGCCCTATGTAGATATACATCAGCGTCCTCGACCTACGTATAGCGCAAGACATCTGATCGTTTTACTCGCCTACTCGAACTCTACATACGTAACTAGGAGGAGCGTTTGTCGTGGATCAACATCAGTTTGGGATGAGAGATATCATGATTCGCATAAAAGAGAGACAGAATAGATGACATGTCGATGCTTGATACAATGCAGAAGCAATGCAATGATATGGCATACCATTCTGGTCCGGAATTGCGAATTGACATTGCTAGGTAGTAGATGTTTTCGACGTAAACTTTACTGCCCAGGGCTTCCCTGCCAACGCTGATATACATCATGGACCAGAGATATGTGCAGAACTGACCGGAAAGTACGACCGCCATCTCAGAACGATGCCAGGCAGTTCAACTTTCAAGAAATGTCTCAATCTCGCCTGACTGATGTTGTTCCCGGAGTTGTTGCTGGTAGTATCATCGATGGAAAAGTGTTGACCGTAAGATTGTGTGAGTTGAGCATAGGAAAATTAACGGTGCCTTGTTTGAATCCAGAATAGAAGGGTTAAAACCTTTCGCACAAGCTTCCGGAAGCTTATATTCTGGAGCGGTTCTTCGCAATTAGTGGCTGACCAAAGAGTGGAATACCATAGATAAATTTCGGTTAGCTATATATTCAGCTGCCATCTGTGAATGAAATTTCTTCTGAACACCATGAGACGAGTGAAAGTGACATACCTGAATGGAATATTACCGTATCCGTGGATACTTGACCAGGGTTAGGGTCAGCACTGATCGGAATTATTTTGCCCTATCATTATTCCGAATTCGTGCTGGACTCTAATATGCCTCAGCGCCTTAGGCCTCAGGCCTCAGTCTTGACCAGAGTCGAGTTTTTATCTCATGTTTGGCTTTGTAAGTGCTGCCGTTGATGATCTTGGGAGACATAACTTACGAAAAGATCAATCTTCGAAGCCGCAGTAACCTGCAGTAATCAGTTCCGTGCTGCGTAGTTACCAACATCCTGACTCACAGCTCTTCCGATTCTACACCCGTCTACGAAAATATTCGCTTGGAAGTGAACATCCTGAACGATATATTCGTGCGTTATTCAGAACTCAACGGAGCAGCGTAGAAACTTCACCGTTGTCCGATTGACCGTGCGGTACTTTTCATCGGCAGTACAAACCACCCACAGTGAAGTGGGGCTTCGAAGTTGCACAAATCATTTGCGCAGCGACGACATCTTTTCGAATTTCAAACCTCAGGTCTCAGCGTTTCGACTATAAATACAGAGAGAGAGTTTTCATCATACGCTCACTTATCATCCAAATCTCTGCCTCCCAACTTTTACCCAACTCGCACACTCATTATGAAGTTCTTGGCCGCCGTCAGTATCATCGCCCTGCTCACCAGCTCTACCTTAGCCCGTCCCGGTAGTAATCTCAGCCAGCGTATTGCCTCCCGCCGCGCCAATGGTCGCAAATCTCAGCCCAAAATCAAAAGCCAGTCTTCAATCGTCGAGACTAATTCTACCTTCCATGAAGAATATAGCGAGAACTGGGCTGGGGTATTTTTTGAGTCGCCTCCCTCCGGTGAAACCTACAGCACGGTCACTGGCACGTTCACCGTTCCCTCAATATCAGGAAACGGTGCAGCTTCTGCTTGGGTCGGCATTGACGGTGTTACGTACACCGATGCCATTCTGCAGGCTGGTCTCGATTTCACCATTTCGGATGGCACTATTTCCTATGATGCATGGTATGAGTGGTATGTCGTTTTCAAGTTTCTTTTTGTCTGAACCGGTTTTTGAAGCTTTCGTTATCAGGTATCCAGACGCAGCTTTCGATATTTCCGGCTTTGACATATCTGAGGGAGACTCGATCACCGTTACCGTCGATGCTACCAGTGGCACTGAGGGAACTATTACCCTCGAAAACACTTCCACCGGCCAATCTGTTACCCAGACCGTCAATGCACCAGATTCGTCCGTAAGTCATCCTTCGGGTTGCAGCGATCAATCGTCTTATCTATGAACTGTACTTTTTCCCCGTCAGGCCACACTAGGGGGACAGAACGTCGAGTGGATCGTCGAAGACTTCGAGGAGAATGGTTCGCTTGTCACTCTGTGCGACTTTGGAACGATCACATTCACAGATGCATCTGCATCGGCCGGCAGTTCGACAGTAGACCTTACTGACGGTGACATTGTGGACATTAGCCAGGATAATCAGGTACTCACAGCTACTACTGTCGGTAGCTCCACCTCCATCACTGTCACGTACCAGTAAAGCTACAATACGAGTAAGGATAGGATAGGAGTAAGTAGTGGATGTGTCATACTATAGTACATACGGACAGTATAATTATTATCGCTCTTCGGTCTCAACGCGCAAGTATTACTTTCGTTGTGGATACCAGTTGTTGTATTCGAAGCATCTTAGAAATGCTCAGTATGGTATGCTCAAGTCAAAACATGGGTCGAAAATGCTCAGTCATGCTAAGTAGGCGTTAAAGAGCGATAGCAAAGATTCCGATTCATTTACAACAGGGGAGAATATGCTGGAAGAAAATACTTAGTATTAACAGAGGGCACCCAGATTTTTGGTCTCTTTATTCACCTAATCATCCTTCTTACCGCTTCCGCCAGACGGAGTCCTTCTAGGAGGCGGACCCGCTGGGAACCCACTTCCATTGCCGTTCACAGGATTGGGAGTAGGTGGGAAATTGGAAAACGAAGGTGTTCCAGGTATAGACGGCGGATATGCCCCACCCAATCCTATCGTAGAAGCACCTGGACCAGGAACTAATCCTCCGCTCATTGAAGGAGGCCTGGAATGGTATAAAGAGGAAGGTCGAGGGCTAGCTGGGAAAGAGGCGCCAGGAATGGGAGTCCCGGGGTTGGAAGAAGGCATCATAGGGGAGCCGAATGACGGCGATGCAAGGTACGGAGAAGGCGCAGGTGAGAATGATTGAGAGAGTGGGGTGTTTGTATAGCTTCCGTACCCGCTACCAATAGCTGGAGATGCAGGATTTGATTCCATGGTCCAACCTGATCCTTGACGAACCATCTTGCCCCTAGCACGGAGCTCGCCACCTCCCCACTTGGACCGCAGACCGCCTTTAGCGCCGCTAGAGCTCGCGGAGACGATGACTTCGTCGTCTGCTCCAGTCACGGCTTGTACAGCATGGGTGGTAATACGGATTGCATAACTCATGCATACGAACACTCCACCGATGACACCAACACATCTGTAAATAAAAGGTAAGCTCAAAGCGCAGGCTTCAATAATTTTATGCTCACCGGATCATTAGTTGAGTGAAAGTGGTCGTTCTCTGGTGTATCGTCAAGCTCATTGGATCAAGATCAAACTTGAAAAAGATGCCAGGTGTTCCTTGATTGTGTTCCATCACTCGAGTGTAATGAGTCACGCTGTATTGGTGGGTGTGCAGCGGAGCGGAACGAGGAGCGATATATGTGGTAGGCACGACATGGAGGAAGTATTGATATGCAACGAACGCTGCAAGAGGGTTATTTGATTTCAAGAACCAGAAAAAGGCTACAAAAAATACTTACGATCTTTGGCCAGTTCGAACGAGTAATCGAGAGGCTGCACGATATCTGGGAAATAAGGGCCAAAGGAAAACTCCGTTATAACATGCGAAAGGTTCATCACTATAACGGGGGTCATCGAACTGCAAGAAGAAAAATTCTGTAAGCTCACGGTTATGGTTCACATGTTCGCGGCTAGCATAACCATGACCTAAAGTCGTTATGTGCAAGTTGGCTGTAACCTTCTTGACTTCGATAGTTCCGTATACCCTACAGGCACTCGGGTGGGGAGGATGATCGTACGTTGGTGCAATTTCTGCATTTGAGTTTCTTCGGAGAAGAGTGTCGAAGAATCCGAGAGATTTTCGGGATTGAGCAACAGCCTGCATCGCTGAGAGCATCGCTGAGTGTTCTCTGATGAGAAAATTTGAGCAAATTACTACAGTAAAGGGAGACGACATACTTGAGCTTGGTAGCCTGACCAATGTCAAAACGAGTCTAATCTCGTAGCTCAGCTTAGAAGGATCATGGTAAAAGTAACATAAAACGTACCCCGTCCCGCTTCAAACCGCTTCCACTCAGAAACAGACGGTCCCCTATTGCATCTCTGAGATCAACACTGATATCTGAAAGAAGAATAAGAATTTCAGGATGGTATACGAGGGCGTAAAGACCCGTTACATCTGCAGGGCATTTTCACGACCAGATCGACGTTAATGTTCATGAAACTGGAGGTGTCCTTGTCAACGCTAAATTCGTAGTCCGGCCATCCCCAGATGAACTCGCCAATGTCATTCAGCATTAACAAAAATGCCAAAATACAGACAAAGACTGTCATGAATCCTCGAGACTCTGAACGCGCCTTATACGTCGAAGGTAGCTTGGGAAATGCATCGAATTGAGCGAGAGGAGCTGGGACAACAGAGTCTAGTTTGTCCAGAATTGAGGCGTCCTCTTGAGATATTGTCTCCATGCCGTAGAAAGGAAAAGACCACAACAACGATGGAAGTAGGTAGGAAAAGTAATGGTTTCAATTGCCACCTTGGCGCCGACGTGTCACGACACGTGTGGCTTGATAAGATAAGAATTTGTAAGTCAGCTTTCTTGAACTCTTTTCTTATCTTTCGTCTGTCATTCATTCATAGTCCCATGAATCGTAAATTCCAACGCTGATTTACTACATGGATCCGTATTGCTCTTGCCCTATTCAATAATCAACCCACTCTCGCCTACTTGTGCAGGTCCACGAGTTTATCAACAGGTTACAGGACCGTTTGCGGCTATATACCATAGTTCAAATTTGGCAATTCGATTTCGCAGAGCCGTGTTTGTCGCCCGCGCTAAGTGCTTAGTTTGGCGCTGAGACCCATGTCCTGCCCACGACGTTTTTCAATTTCATTCGCTGTCTAGAATCCTCGTATAATCCGTATTCCATAGTCTCATTCGAACTGTGTCGTGTATCAGGATGCCGCGGAGGAATTAGAAGAAATGTAGGAGAGACACGAAGATCATAGCAAGGTTGTTCGGTGACGATAAGACGTCGAAAATGGTGCTTGGTCGGTAAGTCTTACCCGGATAGTCAAGTTGCACAATCTTCTAACAAACATCCGCCTCAGGGTTTCATCGATGGGATTGGTCTTGGGGAATAGGTCTTTCGATCAACATATTCTGTCCACGAGGAACGCGTGATGGTCCTCGAGCGAAAGGAAAGGCGAAATCAAGTGTTACTTGTCGATTCTTAGGCTTCTCAATATCACCGGGAGGCGCAATTTCGGAGCAAGGGTCCATCGATGTCCATCCTGCGCGATAACAACCGGTCAGAGTCATTTGTCCAAGAAGTGTAGGCCGTAGTATTCCAACCTACTTCAATAATTCTATTGTGTTCCCACTACACCGGACACCGGTCATTCCTACTCAGTATTTGGAACGCTCAGGAGGATGCCATTGAGGATCAATTACAATATAATACAATGGCGGTCCCTTTTTCGCCTTTCACTTTCTCCAGCCTTCAACCCAAGTTTAGGCGAATCGAAGGTTCGATAGAGTAACGGTCTGCATATCTTTGGCTCGACGTCGGATCCAAGGTATGTGAATTGCTCGCTAGCTCTGATTCAGGGAAGCCGAGAAAATGATATGGCAGGCTACGACGGACCAACGATAGGCTGATTCTGCAAGAGACATTGTCACTTGAACCAACAAGCGAAAACTAGGATCGTCTTCTTCTCCCGCCAGTCTGGATTTCATCCTCCAATTCTACTCGTCAAATTGGATGCGGTGGAGGACGTGGAATGATAACTGGAGTGAGAATATCATGATGCCTGGCTATCGTCTGGTGTCGGATGATAGAATAAGACTGATTGAGATGTCAAAGGCTGGTTGAAATTTTGGTAAGTTTGGTTTAGATTTCGAGGAGTGCCGCTCAACGAGCCCATAAACTCGCCTGCAGTTAGGTAGTTCCAAGGGTGTGTCGATCCAATTTCGTCTTGCGCTTGAGAGTGCCACTGTTGAGTCTGCCCTTCGATTGCCTGGGCTCAAAATTTACGGTTCCAAATGGGATAGTCCGGAAACATGGGGGTTCCTCAAACGTTGAAAATCTGAATGTCCTATCAGTATTCTGGACAAAGTTGTGACCTTCCGCTTCTTATGTCGACTTTCTTCGGACTCGCGAATGCTTTGTGGCGGGGGGGGAGGAAACACAAGACGTGCAAAAGGTGCAGGAGCTGCGATCTCGCAGCAAGAGCTATACGATTTGTTGTAGGCGGGACAAGAAATGCAGCAATCTTGCCGCAAGGGTTATACGGCTTCTGAAGAATAAGATTCGGCCGGAGGAAGCTGTCGAAGGAGGTAGAACAAGTCATGATTCATGATTTCTTGCTGCTTCTCAGCCGCGTGGGCAGGCCAATGTGCTGGATGTAACCGAAACCTCACCAATCTTCTCATCGGAACCTCTAGATCTATCTTCATCCACTTCAGTACCTTTCGAACTTATTCCATCGTCACCATTGTCCTCCGCCGCCCCTCACTATCCTCTACATTCGATCCTTCATCTTCCACTTATTGTACTCGTATTTCCTCGGTGTCCAGGACTCGCCCGGCAAAGTCGTCAAGGATTGAGCTGGAGGATAGTTGAAGTACCGATTTCTTCTCCCTGTCTCGGCCTCTTCTACTACTAAGGACTACAAACGCCTCACTTTGGAGATCACTTTCGATGATAAACATTCCGTCTGGTTAGCGTTGATCGTCTCCTCGGGACGTCTCCATTCCCGGTAACGAGTTATGGGTTACGTGAAACAATTGGCGCCACAAAGGACTCGAATATACCAACTTGGATTGGGAATCTCTTCAGTAGACTTCAATTGTGTCATCCACGCTTTTCCGCCGATTGCAGTCTTCAGACCTTTCGATCCAGCCGTACCGTTGCTTCTGAATACGCGTTAGTATCCGCTAAAAATTGCGGTCTTGTTTCTACTGCCATATGTGCAAGGATGCGAAGATCCCCTTCTCTACTTCGTAGTTATGTCCCATTTTATCGTTGATTCTGCTTTTCTACTTTCCTCCCTGAAGTTGGCAGGCACATCACTGGAAGCCTCAGCTCAAGGGGTGTCTCTATTGCGAAATGGCGGTGGTATCTTTCCTCGACTCATTTCACGATAAAAATTGCTCGAGGCTCATTCTACCCACAATTACGGATATTGACCTTCCTTCACTGAACTAGACCGTAACAGAGGTCGTTGCGAAATCTCAAGGATATTTTAGTCTGCCTGTATTGCGGAACCAAATGTCCAGTGGTCTGCCAGAAACAACATTATATATCATCTTCCACTTTTTCTTTCGCTCATTGATGATCACCCCACTGTATAATGTGGCGTCAAAGCCCTCCAAAGACCTCCCAGACTGTGATAAAACCCTTCCATCTAGCTTTAACTGAAAGGGGTGTTGATGCGAGATCCACCGTTGTCTAGGAATCCCTGATGACCGGTCAACGTGTGGATTGTTCGAGAGAAAAAAGCAAATGGGAGCAGGGCGCTTGAGATTGGTCTATGTTTGCATTTTATGCCAGGCTTTTGCTCTGTGTACATGACTGTTCATTAATTTTCATTGTTGGATTAGAATCCACTACCTGGGCATCACGAACATCACAACGCTTATTGCTTCCCGTCACATTATCTTGCAGGATCCATTCCCGAGCAAGAAATCGAAATCTCGTTGTGTGTCGTAAGACGGTTGCAAAGCAGTACAATGTACATATACCTGTCCTTGTGACCCCCTCGAGCCTCGGTGGCCTATAGGCTCAAGATCATATCGATTACGATACGTAGTGAGAACATTAAGTATAGGTGTATCTGTGAGGGTGCAGAAGGGTGCAGATAGTTCGGTACGTCTGATATGATCTAAAAAGACTTCTGACATAGGAAGTAAACGTGCTAGGAACCGACGAACCGTGCACCATTCGATTATGGATACTCAGGAGTTTTCTCAGGACCAAACGCGGATGTCATTCGATGGAGGAAAGAAGGAAGGAAGTCATACATCTTCCATTCCTTGCCAACTTTGAGTCTCATCTTTGTTACTCAAGTTTCTATCTTGGTCCAAAATGCCCTCAGGTGACCGACATTCAGGCAACCTACATATGGCACTCAATATTCCAGAAGTTGTCACTCGTTAGGTCCATTCCAGAACTGAGAAGTTACAGAACGATGTAGGAATCCGAGGATATTCAATCCTGGTTCCTAGCCAGTAATGTTCTTTAGGGGTTACCGCCTGTTCATTGTGTACAAGACTGTCAGTACAGAATCAAGTAGTGAATGACCGGGTGCCCAGGTTAGGCTGAGGGATACATATAAGGCTAACTTGAACGGCAGAAGTCTTTCACTAAAGTCAAGCTCACATGGTTCATCTGAATAAGGATTCATGTGCCGGTCAAAGCTTTACTTTATTTGAGCAGCCGCGTTACTGCTTTACTTCATCCAATTTATCGGGTTTTGGGTATATGATTGCCTATACTTATGTGTGCGTTTGCGTTATAAGTATACAGCTTATAACCGTAGCAACGCTTTCCTTCCCTCCTGCTTTCCCTTGGATCCTTTCCCGATTCCGTCCCTCTACCTCGGTCTCGAAGTTCAGGATTTCCTATACACACGGGATGTTTCGACGATGGGGTCCACGATGGTGTAGGGGAACTGGAAATGTCTCGTTAATGATGATTTTCCTGTGTTTGCTGCTCCTCTCGTTGAATATAGGGACTGAGATATCTGGAGCAATGGCTGCCCCGGTCCATATGTACCACCGTAATATGGCGGCAAGGGATTTGGAGATGTCATTATTCACTAGGTATGGCAGATTGCTTTCTCTTAATCAATCTGATAGGAAATCGGGTGATAATTAGAAACTTGGACGTCATGTGGAGAGTTGATGTAGATGATCTGGAGGAGGAGGGTAAAGAAGGAGTATTGTTAGAAGCATGTGGATGGGACAAGGTAGGTCTATTTGATAATTTTGTACATTGCATCGATGATTTCCTTCCACTCGAGTTAAATTTCGGATAAATACTGGCTTCTTCAATTCATCTACCCCCTGCCCCACTTCTTTACCTCTTTCTCACCTCGTTTCTAAAAGTCAAAGCTACAAGAAGAATCCCGGCTTAGATCGTCATCGATACAAAGTCAGCCAGCTCTACTTCATACTGCTACTTCGCAAGATTTAGCTTCAAGAATTGATGGAATTTCGGCATCCACACACATACCCGAGGTCAGTATTCATTGCATTATTTGTACCCACCTTCCTTAATCCTCATCCCTGTCATTTATACTCACACTGCCCCCTCCCTGTACACGTATTTTGCTGTCTTGAGCGTCTCTTTTCTCGCCCCATTTTGTACTCATGATATCCTTGAATTTATTATCAATTTTTATGGTTATAGATCCTTCGATTCATTTGGGCCAAACTTGTACACTGTTCAAACATATTTACTGAAAGATTCCTCCCTTCACTAAGCTTGGGCTTGAGCTTGAAGGGTCTTGACCCGCCCGGCCAGAGAAGTGCACTTGATATTCTTGGAACAATTGATGTCTGGAATCAAACGGAGAATGAAGGAAAGTTGGAAATTGAGCAGGTCCTTGGATCGAGGTATACTAAAGTAGAGACCATGACTTTAGACGCAGTTCGGAAATTGTTTGTTTTGTTTGACGACATCCTGTACTAGACATATACTGAATACAAGTCGATGATTCTATCATCGTGGTCAGACGTGCAGAACCGTAAAGATCTCTAAGGTGATCTTTTTGGAGTGTTCAGTACCATTGGGCAAACGTACAAAGTCGCCCAGTTGGCCGCTAATATGTGAGGACTTGCCGAACTTGTGTTCCCCCCCCCTGAATCAGACTCTGTCGAAGACGCGCCAGATTTCACCAGTACTTAGGCAGATAATAACCCTGTTCTGAACTCTACTCCTCGCGCAACACCCCCAGAAAACATGGTCCCATTCTATCACAATTCTCTTCCATGACTTGTAATCGGTTTGGTGGATCATATTTACTCTATCTTCTTCAATGATGATACCGAATCCTTCCCACTGGCCCCCGAAAGCCGTCAGCGTGAGATGGACCATCAAACCAATGGTCAGTTGCTGAAGAAGCGTTACCTATCCTTCACCTTTGGCGATGCCGTGGATCTTCTCAAAAACTTTCGAATTTGTCTCAAAACTGCGTATCGTAAATCAAAAAAGACCTACCCGCAAAAAATTGACGATGCACATTTCTTTATTCACAATTCGCTTTCAAAACATGTTCTTCTGAATCCAGTATATATGGCACGGCTGTCGTCGACAGCGAAGTGAATTCGTTCACCGCAGGTGGTGGTAAGCTTTAACACGGGTGTACAAAGCTGACATATAATAATATGCATCCTCCTGCGCCTATGTACATAGTATTCAAGAAATAAGGGTAAACAGCAGCCGAAATTCCAAACCGCGGGCTGGGAACAGATCCAGGAGACATGCGATTGCAGGCCACTGCACCACCGTGCATGGCAAAAACTCGGCTCCTTTTTTGGGGGTTATTGAATATTATGGAATCAAATAAACGGGGCGCCTTACAGGCGCCGACATTGAATGTTTTTTAAGAATGAAATAAATGCAAATTTACATGAATTACAGTAAGTATCTATAGTAAGTATCTATAGTGAGATGCTGTGAGACGAGAAAAAATAATTTTGACAGAGTCACAGTCCCGTGATATCCCGTGCCGGTCACAAGAATTCAATACAATTCAACTCAGTGTTACATTTGGCCGAATAAGGCGAAACTACTGCCATAAAAGGAAATTATTTTTGTATGAAGTACCGTACATAAGGACGATACTTCCGTAAACTACAGCCTCGTAATGTCCCCTGTGCCCCACCAGCGTCGATGTGACCTTGACCATTCAAACACATTTCATAATTTCCTGTGCTTGTTTTACGCCTAAGTACTAACCTGTACGCAGCTGGAGCTTGACTAAGTACAGTGGAGTCTCACAAGCTGAACCTTGCCGCAATCATGATTAACGTAGGAAACAAGTATGGCTTTAAATTACATTACAGAGCTAAAGGTTACATGGATTGATTATGCTCGAATATTCAAAATCTTCGATGACAACGGATGTCCATTGTAAAAATCCTTAACTTTCAATCATGCCTTCAATGCAACTATTTTCCATTCATTTGTCACTTTGGTTTGAGGAAGTCAAGACCAATCAGCTGGGACATATATGATACAACATGCTACAGTACATCATGATATTATTTGGCTAGACACAATTATTGGCATTCTTCAAAGGAGAGATATTGATCCGCTCGGTCTATTGTGGAGTAGCAAAGTACAGCTTCAACCGTGTTTTGTTAGAGCGTCAATGTAAGTGAATATGATCCCTTGAAGCTCGCAGGTGCAAATTAAATTTCGCTTACCTTGATAGATATATTCGGCGCCTGTCGTTTCTTGCTATGTAGGTTCTTTGTAAGTTAGAATAAGGAATAGGTTTAAGGCTTTGACGTTGAGTGTTTCAAATTTCAATCAGAGCAGCCAGGTTGTAAGCAAGTAGAAGGGAAAACAAATACTTCCGCTTGCCCAGTTAAGGCCAATTGCACACAAAACGAACTACCGTGTGACTGAATAGCTGCTTAACGAAATGACGGCGATGGGAGGACCGACTGCGATGTACGTGCGGACCAGGTGCGGACCATCATATTATGGCCAAATCAATATTTATCCGCTGAGCATCCACAATAAGCAGAGCAGCAATATTTGATACCTCTGCTATCGCTTACTCTTGATTCAAAGGACGGCAGCAGCAAGACTGCCTTGAGGTTCAGTAAATGTCTGGTCAATACACCGCCCTTGTGGAGTTATGTATTCTACGATTTAGATCCATAGCAAGTATGTACCATTCGAGTTCCGCAGTGGAGCAAGTCAAATGATTGGCATGTAGGGGGAGGGAGAAAGATATAAAGAGCGTACGAAAAATGAATCCCATCCTCATTCCAACTTACAACCACAACAACTAGCTCGATTTAATACCGGAATATTCACAATGAAGTTCTCCGCTATCCTCTCCGCCGTCCTCGTTGCGGCCTTGGGTGTCACCAGCGTCACTGCTGCTGCTGCTGCTGCCGACATCGCTGCCGACCCTGACAGTGCTTGTCGCTGCCCGAACAATTGCTCTCACAAATTCGGTGACTCGTGCAAGTTCTACGACAACGGGAACGTTATTTCTGGCTGTGAGTAATTTCGGGACCAACTTGTTTATTACTGAGAAGGCTGACGAGCTTGCTCTCATGATAGCTTGTGTCAATGGAAACGGCGGGCTCACTTGTGCTACTTAGTGCAGTCCCAAGACAGCTGGTAGCATGCTAGGACTTGATGGGGTAGTAAGTGAGACTTCTCTTCATACACTGGAACCTAGGTCTAAATACAACCTTTGAAAGGTTATACACGACTCCGACACCCTCATCACGATGAAACAGGCAGTACCGTAGCCTAGATATTACCGAATGATATTTGTTCTATTTTGTGCGAGAACATTTGAAAATCCCTAATGTGTTAACGCCCGCGGATCGGGTATAAGTTCGGTTTGTCGAGCGTTGAGTACATTCAGCTTTGACACTGACTAAATAGGTGAACGGTGAACTCCGGCAATCATTGAGCGCTTATATACTTCAATCGACCATTCCACCCAGGCCTCGCGAGTTATTGCCTTACAAATTGTCTCTAGTGTACGCGACGCTCATACCGAGACTGTCTCGGACTTAGGAGGAGGAGAAGAGCAGGGTAGGAGGAAGAACAGTTCCTATGAGTATGCAATAGAATCCGTTCTCAGTGGACTGCTATGACATTTTCACAGCCACAACCCTAGGCAAACTTCAGCATCTGAGGAATGTACTCTAAAAGAGCTTGCCACCGTTCATATCATGACGAGAAGGCTGTGTCCCCATATTAACTTAACGCGTTACTCAACCGATACTTATGCCTCCCAGATACCTACTACTATGTATACAGTGACGCGCAAATCAAATCCACACCCCCCGATTTGGAAGGCCTTATGTCACCAGCCCAGAACTGTAAATCAGCGTAAATCTGTTGTTCCTCTGCTCAGAAATATTGAATTTTGAGGGTTCAAACAGCTTATATTGCCACAAGTAAGTCTTTATAGTAGAATCAACATGCTTTACAGGATGTAGCATACAAAAATGTTCACAAAAACAGTTTAATCACAAAATTTCCAAATCGGGGGGTGTGGATTTGATTTGCGCGTCACTGTACATGTCTGAGCACGCCCAATGCGTTCCAGCCGGTGTAGATATGGTGATTTAATGAGCTCTATTGTGATGTAAATCTCTTGGCACCCGCGCTCGAAAATCCTGCTGTCGCTAGTATGTACTTAACGGTGGATCACTTACCGAGTGTAATTGCAAATCGCACTTAGCGGTAGTCCTGTACTCTATGTATGGGCTCCACAATTTCTTTTTGCAAGTTAGTACCGTAAGTAGGCCACAACTTATGCCGTATATATCATACCACATGCCAGTGCATGCATTTACAGACCACAGTAACTCGACGGGTGGAGTAAGTATACTTGGAATGTGTCATGAACAATTGCAACAGAAGATGTCCACGGAAAGAAACAGACTATTTGTTCTGAGTCTGATGACTCTTAATATATCAGCATTTAAGCCCATTAACCAGGAGAAAGGGTACGGTATAGTAGCCAAAAATATTTAGCCATTTAGCAAGCGAGAAATAATTATCCAGAATTAGCCCCCGAGAATGAACGTAAGCATTCAACATCAGTTTCGAAAGTTACTTTTCCTCAAGTGATTGAGTAACGCGGACTGGTTTCCTGCATTTTTCCTGTTCGCAGAAGGAAGCCCAGCCTGCCAGACTGTACTGTGTTCAGTACTGATTAATCTCCAGCGTAGGGCAGTTCACCTATGGCCCAGGTCACATTTCTTGGAGGTAATATAACTCGAAGAGGGCGCGTACTACTTGATAATGTTGAGGTAGCAGTACATTGATAGGCTTCAACGGTGTTTTGCTCGATCCTTCAGTGCAAATAGACTGCATATTTCTCGCTTGCCTTGACGGAACGTAATCGGCTCCTCCTGTTCATACTATTACTAGAGAAGAGGACGGACTGATTTTTTACTCGGTTTCCCGGGTGTATGCAAGCGAAAAGGAGTGTAACACCATTGCTGTAAAAAGGAGATCCTTCCGCTCAGTTAACGGCCAAGTCATCGGTGTTATACACATACGCAGTTCAATAAGTATACAACTTCCGAGTAGCTCAACGGAATGACGGTAATGGGAGGATTATCTGAACATTTTCGTAATGAACTACGGAACTATACAGGCTAGTAAAAAAATTATATCTCTTGGAAAAATACGACATGAACTAAGTTGTGCAGTTGAAACTGCTTCAGCCCCATGATAGAGTAATGATATTCAGTGCCGCCCAAAACAAAGCCTCAAGAATCAAAAATGGCTTGAGGTCAAATGAATTAGCCGTTATGCGTTGTATGATCTGAAGTCAAAACAAGTATGTACAAGAAGACAGAAGGCTATGTACATTTCAAGCGTCACAGTGAAGCAAGCCGAATAATTGGCCTGTTACTATATTTGTAGTAGAGAGAAAATCAGATATAAAAAGCGTACAAGAGTTGTATTCTATCCTCATTCCAACTAGCACAAAACCACTCCAGCCAGCTCGATTCAATACCGAAATACTCACTATGAAGTTCTTTGCTATTCTCTCCGCTGTCCTCGTTGTAGCCTTGGGCGTCACCAGTACCACTGCTGCTGCTGCTGCTGCAGATATTGCTCCTGATGCCAACAGTGCTTGCCGCTGCCCGAAGAATTGCTCTCACAAGTACGGAAGCTCGTGCAAATTCTACGACAATGGGAACGTTCTTTCTGGCTGTGAGTAAATCTGGAATTACCTTGGTTGCTGCTTCAGAAGCTGACAAGTCTCGTTCACTTCATAGCTTGTATCAATGGAAACGGTGGGCTCACTTGCGCCACTTGAGTGCGGTCCTATGAAAGTATGCCAGTACTTGCCGGGGTAGTAAGTAGGACTCATCTTACTTGAGATTTTACATAGTACTCACTCCGACATCCTCTCAATTCTAGGCAGTTTGTAGCTGTGACCCAATAGTATTTTGTTTGACGATTTTGTACCGTAACGTTTCGAAAATTGAAAACCATTATGTTTAGACCTGAGCGCTGAGCCCATAGCTTTAATCTAGAATCTCATGCTCCGAGAAGAAGTTCAATCATCTTATCGTACTTATTGTGTTGATGAAGTTCAACTTTGACACTTCGTCGTTCACAAAACAGGCGACTCTTGAGTTTGAGAGCTGAACAAATTCCAGAACTTCCATCGGCGCCGGGCGGCAATCAGCAACAATACCGTTCCGCCCAACCTGAATGAAAGTGAATTTCAGAAAGGCCCGGGCCGTGTAATGCGTTACGTTTTCACCCTTCTACACCTACTACCATGATTCATACGAATAAACTGGGCTACTTTGGCAAAGGTCCCGTGGAAATTGGGCCCGCAGCGGGACGTGGTGAAGGTCCAATTGGACTGATAGCAATAACTTCAGTCAGATTGGTTCATCACAACCCTTCGAAGGCATCGAAACCGTATACAACATCCTCGAATATGCTGCACGTACACATGGAACCCGGAGAGCTCTTGGCTGGCATGAGATCGTCGATATTCATGAGGAGGAGAAGGAGGTCAAGGAGTAACGGAGAAGAAGAGGTGGAAATATTTCCAGCTTAGCGACTACAAGGATAGGATAGGATATCAACTTCATCGAGCTCAATGAGGATGTGTCAGAAATCGCGAGGGGTCTCTTGGGGTCTCATTGAAATTGGCGTTACTTTGGATGGTGTGTTCAATGAGGTTGGTCGGATAATCGTTTTGTGCGCTCAATCACATCCTCTTTTCCAGTGTCGACTGGCAGCTAATGGCCAATGCTTGTTATTGATCAGAGCTTCTACCAACACTCTACAACATTCTCCAATACGCCGTCAATCAAGTTTGCGAACCATCTAAAACCCTGGTTAGTGACGTCATTGCGGTTCGTGAATCCATCCAGGTGTTTTCCATCGACAAAACCCACCAATTGGTCAAGCCAAAATCAACAGAACCTTTCACAGCCCGCTCCACTGGACCACCGAAAAGTGTTGTATCACCCATGCCAACCTTGGCACCTGTTGGCGCCGTATATACGCTCCGTGGTCACCACCACCTCACCTATGACGATGCCTATCTCGCTCATGTTCTCGAGCGTATCGTAGAGCTTATCATGCCTTGCATTGGCATGACTTCCGGGTATGGTCGCGTCAAAACCCTTACTGATGCCCCTGTAGCTACGTTTCAGCCGAGTATTGTGGTCGGTGTTCCTGCTATCTGGGAGATGATCTGGAAGAGGATTGTCGCCCACGTTAACGTTGGAGCATTGGTTTAAAAAAGAGTTTTCAATGGTGCGATGTCGTTGAGGAAGAATAGTGTTCCTGTGTTGTCGCAGGCGGCGGACAGTGTCATGCTCAATAATATGCAGGCTAGCAATATTTTTGTACATGCAATGACTGACGCTAAGCATCATCCCACACAAAGTACACCTGCGACACGGACTGCAGAACATGTCTGATACGTGACCCTCATCTCTGATAACGCAATCATGCTTTTCACCCATTTCCTTAAAATGGCGGTTCACCGGACAAGGAGGAGTGCAGAGTCCCACCGACTCCAGCATCCAGTTGGAATTCAAAGGGGATAGTTTCGAGGGTTTTGGCGAAGTCCTTACAAGTTCGAGACTGTATGAAGGGATCACTGTGTTATCGACTGGTCAAGAGCTATATGCCGGCGACAAGTACAAACGTATGTGGCGCCGTCTTCTGACAAGTACATTGAATTCATCTGCTAATCGTTTTTTGTTTGATTCCAAGTGGCGGGAAAACTTGACGAAGGGTTTTGAAGACCGGCAGAAGGAGTTGTGGAAGTAGTATAGCAGTTGTTGTCGTATTTTGGCAGAAGAGCAGTGATTCATTTGTGGGTGATATCTTGGGTGGATCCTTGGCTCATTTCGACATCAAGGAGTCACAAGGAAGTCCGTTCTTGTGAACAGCTGAACAGCTTTATGTCAGGTTATTATCGTACTTGGCTACAATACTTTGGAAAATTGAGACAGCACATTAATGGTATGCTATGTACAATTCAAGCGAATATCGTCCCATTCTCAAACGAACACGATGGCACTGCACAGGGAGGAAAGATACCTTCCGGTTCATCTCCAGTATCTTTGAGCAACAAGGCAACGACACCATGCGGTGGGACATTGGTTGCGGTGAAGTTGCGGATCGCGGTACCATTCTCAGTGTGGGTCCATAGGTCCTGTTGATCAACACATGAGTGGAATGCATGATGTGAAGTTGTGCCAAGGGGAGCATCTTACACGGACAGAGTACTCCCTTCCAGCCCTGATCCAAGGAGATTCGGTAAGGTTGAAAAACATGTCAGAAGTCTCGTTGAGGGTGTTCAGCTGAAAGATGCATCCATAAGTATAGTAGGTATCGATAACAAGGCCCCAAAGCGGGAAAGGAGCTCACAAGCATGAAGACGGTTCCATTTTCTGAAGGTCCACTGTAATACTGAGCGGGGAAGGAAGAATTGCTTGTCCAGTCGGGCTGAAAATTCAAAGTAGCAAGTGCAACGGGGATGAAACAGGCAGGTAATTGAAGTTAATTGATACAGCGAAGCAAGTATGATGGTATGTAATACATACATTAACTCCCCACCTGAATGGTGAGATCGATTTTCCGACAACGGGATCTTGGTTGATGGCGAGGATTTCCGTGTTGGTCAGAATTTCGAGGATCTCAGGTGTGATTGCTGATAACTTGAATTTTATGATTAGGTTGAACAGCAATATGCTAGAGCGAAAATATGCATACGTTGGTCCCAATCTGGAACGCGAAGAAAAGAATCATTAGTATAAACCCCGCTAGAGGTATAGAAATGGTGCACATACCAGAAGCGGTGATTTCATCAACGCCCACGCTGTGAAATGAGATTTGGCCTCATCGAAGGTAAGTCCGCCGTTTCCTCTATGTCAAGACGTATTAATGGCGAACTTTGAACGGATAAGAAATTGGAGAAACTAACAGTTGCAACTAAGATAGATATTGAAGACAGATCAGTCAGTAAGTTCGCTATATGGATAGGAACCTTATACACCCACCATGTCCATGTCATTGTGACCATGAAAGTCCGTGGCTTGAGTTATGAAGGAGTTACTGCAGTGGTGCATATCGAGAACGTCATGATAAGCTTCCCGCAGTCCTTGAATTCCGGGCGAACGTACAAGTTGATGATCAGTGTCAGCGAATCCCAATTTGGTGAGATATCACCAGTCACCTACAATGATGATTGGATAGATATGAGCGTGAGGCTTCGAACAAAACTTCACAAGGAGTACGTACCCGCCAACTATGGCCAAGAGTCGATCCCCAACTGTGAACCAGTCCGATAGCATTAGTAAAACCAAAAAAATTTGTATTTCTGGAGCGTAATACTAGTAGCAACATACAGCCATACTTGTTCCTGATTTGTGCAATCGAAATCAACTTTAAATGAGAGTGCAGAACAGAGGCTGAAATGATGGACTCACCCAGCCCCATTGGCAAAGTGAAAATAGGAACGGTGGTTTCCCAGACTTTTTTGAAAGATGGGCGAGGGCATCAGCCATGCGCGTGAATTCTACAAAGTAGAGGAGGAAGGATTTAATCCAGGAGAAGAGGAGAGATGTGAATACACACTGCCTATCATCCCTTCGCGAATAACGTCATCAAATGGGACTAGGGAAAAGGTAAGGGCATCTCGAGTTTTTCATCCTTCTCATTCAAAACTCACTTGCACAATTGTCAAATCTTTTGGATACCCATCAGAAGGCTGAACATGATCATAGGAATGAAATTTTGCTCGCTTCAGATAATCAAATCCCCAGTCTTGGAATGTCCGTGCATCACGAAGTTCATTTTGGAAAGAACCAGGGTATCCACCGCAGGTAAACCAGCCGGAATCGCTGTACTGGGAGGGGGGAATGTGCACCTAAGTTTCCTGCAATTTGAGCCAGACTTATATAACGTACGATACCGGTTTTACTGTTCCCCAATTGGGTCGCCGAATTGTTCAGTACGTCCCTCATGTCGGAAAAACACGAACTACTCACAATCCCAGTGCATGAATTTGATCTGTGAGATTGTTCATTCCGCGTGAAAAACGAACCGAATCTGAGTTAGAATGGTCAAGAACATTAGTTAGCACTTTATTCTCAAGCTGAATGTGTTGACTCACTGGCAACAATGTCCCCATTCTCACTGCGGTTCTTCTCCGCATAACAATCATCGATGTTGACATATTCGTACCCAGCAGTTTGTAGACCAAGGGATACCATTAATTGGGCAGCCTCCAGGACGAGATCTTCATCAATATTGCACTGTCGTAATTTCATTGAATCCTTGTGTTTTGAGAAAATAAAGCAAAGACGTACGCCGTAAGCGTTCCAGGCTGCATCCAGTAAAGACTCTCAGTAACGACCTTTTCAAATATTTAAGTACGTACTATTGTATCCCAAAGCTGCAAGTATAGATCAGAGACGAGAATTGAAATAAACAAATGAGGGACGCACCAGGAAGCCTTCCAACACCATTCCTCAAAGCATTAACTGGAGTCAGAGAGAAACTGGTAGTGTAGAGTATAGCGGATCCAAGTCCGAGAAGACATGCTGTTCCCAGCATTTTGAATTGTAAGGATAGGATAGGAGAGTAAGTATAGAGGAACTGAGGCTTTTCAAAAATAGGTTACTTACCTATCTAAGCATGATCCTTTTATACCCAGCAAGTATTCCGTGTCAATCAGAGCCTCAGAAGATTATAAGTACATTGGCATCATTTTCAAATTCAAACACATGTGTGCATCTAGAGCTCGAAGCTTTCAAGGGATATCAATCTGCTCCGATCTGGTTCCGACTCACCTATCCTCTTCTCATACCGGGGAGAATACACATTTACACAGCAATTTGGTGAGAATTGCAAGAAGGCATCAAAAAATATGATTGAGAGGAATTTGTGCAGAGATTTTCCATTTGACATTGAATAGTCTTGTGTACCTGGCAATATCCGCTTTGCCATTGATATTAGCCAAGAGCCGGGAGTTTTTAGACCGGGCCAAGAACAATGGCGGTCGTCAATGACCGTGTCGGGAGAATACCACAGCTTTTTACTTAGCTACATCCAACTTGAGCCAACTTGAGCCAAAGGAGCGCGATGAATGATATCGATCATGGCCCATGGGAGCATTTTTCAAGTTACCGCCATACAACGATGGTGAATAAGAACAAATAGTATCTATGTACAAGCAGGTACAAGCTCACCTGTTTGACTATAGTATGATCCGCGATGAGCGAACGAAGGAGCCCATTTTAGGATAAGATAAGCAGATGGCTTAGCGCGCATCGAGCGCCTAAGACTTCTTGCTTCCGTCTCTCATCACCTTACGCGTTATCATCGTAAATTACCGCCCACCCTTCCCTCATCTTATCTAGCGAAAGAACAAATGGCAGTACCCAAACCTACCTGATGATTTTAGGTGCTTCTCTCGCCCTTTTCTGCATGTTTGGGCAAATGAAAACTTTCGGAACGTTTCAAGCGTGGTACACGACACACCAACTGATCACACTCGATGCATCCATCATATCGTGGATTGTCTTTCACTTCCGACCGATGTAACATCTGGCTACATTCGCAGACAATGTCCTCAAACTATTTGAAGGCGGGGATTGTAGTCAGTTGACCCCAGTATTCACATTCTGTAGCTAAAGCTCTTTTCACTTTCAGTCAGACGCTGGGAGAGGGTAGAACTCGCGAAGGCAATATTTCATCTGTTTTATTGTTTCAAAGTCTACATTTATTACAAAGGAATCTTTACGTCAAATCCTGCGGCGGTCCACTGCTTCTCTAATGTCAATAAACTATCAATAGTGTCGAGGAATGTATCGTCCAATGGCGTAAAGTCTTCGACCTTCATTTTCAAGACCTCCTCGAGCCTCTTCAAGTCAACGTCGAGTCGTGTGTATGGAAACTCCCGTGGAGGCGTTTTAATGAGTCTATCCTTCAATTCTGGTCGTTTCGCGTTGATTGTACTGATGATGTTAGCAAAGACCACCTCGTGTGGGCTGCTGATCATGATACGCTTACGGCCAACCTGTGAAGTAGGTGCCGAGTCCAATGCTAATAAGTGGGCTTTTGCAGCATCGCGGACGTCGAGATAGAGAGGGTAAGCAGGGAACGTTCCTTCAGGGGTTAGGAACTTGTAGATGAGGAGATTGGTGGATAAAGCAGAATAATCTGGGTTCGGAAGGGAGAACCCTTCGGCTAATGGCCCGTAAAGGAGGGGTGGGTTTACTGTGCAGATATATATCAGAAGTCTGGGGATGAACGAGGAACTGAACAGGACATACTGGTTGTTATCTCTATGTGTGGATGTGCCTCAGCGAAATCCCAGACTTCCCTCTCGGCGAGCGTTTTCGCAGCTGAATACGCTGCTACACCTTCAGTTTGGAGGGCAGCTTCCTTAGTTGTTTGATGCCAGTCTAAATCCGGACAGTACGTCAGTAGGTATCTATTTGGGTTCTAATATATCATTTGCCTTTGTCAGTGAAGGTCATCGCAGAAGTAGCTGCAGTGAGGATGGTACTAGTCACAACGATGCGTGTGATCCCGGCTTTTTCTGCATGAAGGATCACATTGAGCAGCCCTTCCACTGCACCCTAGATGGTGTCTTTCATGACAGTTACATTCACCAATAAAAAAGTTCTTTCACCTTCAAGAGAGACTTGGCATCATTCACTCGTCCAGATATCGGTGCAGCAGTATGAATGACAGCTTTGACACCTTTCAGTGCATCGGAGAACTGGTCTGTAGCAATATCAGCTATGGCCACGACCTCAAGTTGATCTTTGAAGCGCTCATAGCCCTGTTTGAAGTGGGCGGCTTTCTTTTCTCGAACTGCACTTTATTGATATAATGGCTTAATTCTAGAAGGATACAGTGCAAAATATAGAACATACGCTCGAACATGATAACCTCGTTCCAACAGCTGAATGAGAATGTGGGATCCAAGGAATCCAGATCCTCCGGTAAGCTATAAAACAGTCAGCAATTTCTGTGGTCCAGGATACTCGGTATGGGATCGTACAAAGATAATGTCTGAGTTTGTAGCCATGTTAGAGATCAAAGATGAAGATGGTGATCTCTATCGATTGCTGTCAGATTATATAGGCAGTTAAATATTCCTTTTGTCAGCCTCGGAGAAAAGTTGGTAAGTGATTTGTCACTTGTTTTCACGAATTGCATACGTGGCAGATTTATAACAAACCCAGGTCACTTCCTGTACTGTAGATAATTCCCCAACGAGTCGCAATAATGAGGTCGTCCAATTTGCCCAGTCAGTTGTTTGACATTTGATCTCTTTTCCCCCTGCCCCCCTAAGTCCCCATCAGACCCTCAAGGCCTTCTGCACATTCACTAAGCCCACAACAAATAAGCAAGACAACATCTGCAATGTAGATCAGCCAATTCATATGTATTGTATTGTCTGTGACCTTAACCAAAATAACACAGGATTTCGCTCAACTAGCTTGGGTTTGCTAACAAGTTGAGCTGTGTTTCATTCAAATCAAGCCGGAGCCTAAGGGCGCTTCGAGTAGAGGTAGTTGCTGTCGTAGGGCAGGGGTGAGGCCTTGCGGAGTGAGGATAAAATGGGGGGGGGGGGGGGGGGGGGGGGGGGGGGGTTGTCTTGTACAGGAGAGCTGAGATCTGAAGAGCATGCGGAGCGAGAAAAAAGGACAAGGATAGAATAATGTAGACGACCAGCGTGTTGACGTAGTGGATGCGAGGTGATACTATTTCTGTTCATAGATGAAAGTGATTGGGAGAGAACTTCAACAAGATTCACACGCTCGCCGAGATTGCTCAGTGCTTGTTCTTGTGCTAATAGCAGTTTCTGGGAAGTGGGCTCTTTGGATGAAAGTACGACAAACAAGGTATATGGAGGACTCTAAAGCTGAAGTCATGGGCGTTGTGAGTATGCCACGACAAAATCTTCTTGGTCGTACAGTGTACTGATTCCTCTGATCCCTCTGATCGATTCGGCATGCCGAATCAGTTACTAGTCTTTGTGAAAACTGTTTCACCTAAAACTTCGGCTGAACGTGTTATAGTGCTCTGATGAACAAAGGAAGACCGTTTCGATGAATTTATGACATTGGTGCATTGGAGCTAACAACGGCTTGGGGTATTCAAATGGTAGTCAATGCTTCATCGTATGTTCACGGACCGGGTATGCAATCATCTTGTTGTATTATTCTTGCTATTTTGACCCACTGTGTCAACTCAATCCACCCGCCAACGCGTAACACTGAGGGTACCAACTTGTCTGGATGACCTTTATCGACATCAATTATCCCTTTTTCCGTTTCCTCCTTTGCCACTTAGCGTGTCTATCTCTCTAGGAGCGAATGCTTGTCCGGAGTCGGAGGATCCTTCTGTTAACACTTAATAGTTAGGATCAATCTGACCTCCCGCGAAGTTTTTCGTTATGTCAAAGTTTTCGAGAATGCCCATTTGGGGTGAGACGATAGTTGAGAGCGCAGAGTGAGAGTGCAGAAATGAGGGATGGTTCAGAGAAAGAAATACACCTTGGGTAACCTATGAAGTTAGTTTTTACGGAAAATTCTCGAGCTTTCGTGAGAAATCCTCCAATTGTATTGATTATCTCTGCTTCAAGCTTCAATCACCATCAAATCCTCCAACCTCCGTCCTCAAGCGTCCAAAATTTCATTGAATTGCATCTACCATCTTGCAGATGCTCAGCCTTGCCTATGACACTATAACTATACTGTGCATATAGGCTGCCATCTCTCTTGATTAGTTCCTCATTGCACAATTAATTTAACTTCAGTTGTGTACTACACCAACTGAGAATTCATTCAGAATTGAGTCTTAATAGCAGTGTAAGTGTTGATGTAAATTGCAGAGATATTACTATAAGTACTACCAGATCCATAGTTTTTTGAATAACTTTAATAATTTTATTTCCATGGGTAACCACTTATAGTAAGTATCAAAGCAGAAAGTCCCCCTGAGAGTAGAAGCTCAAGAACATCCATGTCAATGGGGGAGGTATAGAGCACATTCAGAGGCAGTTGTTGCAATATTAGACCCATTTTCCTTGAGACACTACACAAAGTTGTTTGAGGTTCGACGTCGGACGCTTGACAACTCATCAATTGAAACTCCGGAATTTTCCGTGAAATCTGCCGTCATAGTAACCGCTGGTAACCGTCGGGTGAGTTGAATTGTCATCCGAGCAGATGATGCTACTTATTTTTACAGAGGGGCCAGTAGCCAACGCATTGTCATCAAGGGTCATCAACAGTCGAAATTTGGTTAGACGGCTAAACAAGCGTACTTCGCAGCACAACTGGTTTCCCTTCCATCTTCCATCTCTCTCCAGTCTGTCTTATCTCTTCTTTGGCCGGTCCAAAATCGAGAGAATCTCTCTTTCTCGTATCATTCGTTCCTGCTTGGTTTCTCGTGCCACCTATTACGATTCATACCGCACCTCTGCTCGCCGCTCCTTTCTCAGTCAGACTCATTCTACTTTTCTGCGTATACATATCACACGATGTATTTTAACGCTATTTGGTCGTACCTTATGACCTTGTGCATGGCCGCTACTGTTGTCTACGCGGCACCTGTGTCCGACGTACGTTTATCCTTCCTTTTCGTCGAAGCGTTACTAATTTTGAGCTGTGAATGCTATTGCTATCCTTAGTCGAATAACGTCCTGTCCTCACGAACGTCCCATGCTCAAGTCGGACATCCAGTTTCAACTTCTCCGCTTCCGCAGATCACAGCGACAATCCTAGAACCGCTTTACAAGACCAGATTGGAGAATGACTTGAGATACCAAAAAGCCACGCCCCAGACGAAAATTGTATGGCCGACGGGGATGGAGGTTGTACATGCAACGATGGAATGGGTGATGAAATGTGTCTATACTCGCCATGTTCAAGCTGCAGGTGCCAAAGCTGTCGGTTTTAGTAGCCACACCGCTCACAGTACTCCATCTGGACGATCAGTGGGCCATCTCCATGTCGAACTCACCAATAGAGGCGAGGGGCTTCCACATATCGTCTTCGAGTTCACAGGAGGTCCTTTCGGCGCAAAGGCTTGCGATCCATATTGCTTTGCACAGTTTGACAATGTCAATTGGGCGCCGGAAGGGATTGTTGTTTCGTGGAGTGGGGAGGTTATTGGGTATTGTGGGGAGGATTATGGAGGTGAGTGCGTCGGTTTTGCATTGTGCAGCCTTACTCATTCTCCTTTTCTCGGGAGTAGAAGAGATGAGGTGGCATAATATGGCTATGGAGATTTTTGCCAAGTGGAAGCAGGAGAAGGAAAAGAGTGTGAAATAATAGAGTCTGTAACTGAGGGGTTAAGTATGAAGCTTGAAGATATTCCACAAGTAATCATATATGAATGTCTTCACACCTTTGCCTTCCACTTCTTCTCTCCTTCGTCTTCTAAATGCTCATTGAATTTTTTTTCCATCACTTCATAATACAAGGTAGACAAGTCAGTGAAACATGTTAATTTACTCATACCTATTTACAACCTGTGGACTGCTGTACATCCTCATTTAGCAATCATAGAGAATGTAGGTGCAAAGGCTCAAGATCCATTTGGCAGCATAGTTTGGGGCCCTTCAAAAGTATAGTTGTTTCTTAGTACTAGGAAGGTTATTGGGTATTATGGCGGATACTATGAAAGCATGTATTTGTCTAACAGGATGTCTCATTCAATTATATGTCTTCTTTTTCCTTTTCCCATGAATTCTCAATATCTTTTACCTACATGTAGCTTTTCACTGGTTGGAGAGATAGCTTATGCCATTTTGGAGCCAGGAGTCCAGACACTTTCAATTTAGTTTGCTATTTAACTTAACAACCTACTATAATACATTGTCATTCTAATAGTCATTATCATCCAGAAATTTCTGTTTCATGACAATTTCCTGTATGTGCACGGGGAGATCAAACCGAAAGAAACTTTGAGTTGGCCAGTTCATTGAACCAGCTACAAGAAGCACTTTTACAGGACAGGGTGCTCCTTTGATAATCTTGTTGACAAGAATGCTCATCAGCTCGTAATGCTCACTGCACTGGTCTACCCTGTCCAGTACAATGTATACTGGGCACCTCTGTCCCTTGTAAAAACCAATTACATGTGCCGCAAGATTGCCAAGTGCTTGAGCTTTTTCATCACTCCGCGACAATGGGCAAGCAATATAATCGTGAAGGGCCGCCATTAATGTCTCATATTGTCCGTCAACATTGCTGCCTAGATTTGCTCGATGTGGCCACAAGAGCTGAAGCAGAATCATGGGGAGAGCCTTGAATAATGACCTTGACGCAGGGTCTGCAGGGTCAAATATATGGGACGCATGATACTGTGGATTAGCGCCATCTTTGTGAAATTGGCTAATCAGGTGGAGTGGAAGAGGTGATAACCAATTGTGGATCTTGCCCTGACTCAGGTTCTCATTGTTGATTCCCCGAAGGATGAGAACACTTGAGAAATTTGGCTTAGCCCAATCTGCAAAGGGAATTGTGCATTGCAGTTGTTCAATCTCTTTCTGAGTCATCTGTTGATAGATTACTTCTTCATCATGTTCATAGAACAAACGAGTCCTATATTCAGCAAGCATTTTGCGATGTATCACAGGTGTCCATGAGCCCAAGCCTAACGCATTTTGAACTTCTAAAAGATGGGCAGTATTCCTGTCCTGCTGGAGCTCTGTGACATTGATGAACAGTTTTCGCATGAAGAATCTCAAACATGCAGACTTCTCACCTTCAATCTTGGCATGTAGCTCTAAAATCCACTGATTAATTCTTGCTATTCTTTTATAAACACAAGAAATTTGGTCACCTTCATTGCGGCCCTTGAGTGACTCCATCCCATGGACAAGGATGTCAATCCTTAAACCAACAAGCTCCTCACAACGAAGCCTAATATCTGAGAGTGATTTATAGACATCAATTGTCATATCCTTAAATTTGCTGGAGTTGAAAAATGCTGTGCTCCAACGACCTATGAAAGGACAAGTGTCAAATGAGGCCCTGCAAGGATAGTCAGAACACTATGCATACGGTATCCTGGTTGAGTAAAATATCTTGTGATTTCCATAGAGAGTTCAATGAAAGCAAGATATGCAAACAATATCTTCTTCTGCACATCTAATTCAAGTTCATTGTTCTCTGTGTATATTGCCTGATACATCTTCAGTCCCGGAAGTCTGTCTCTGATACCCTCGATTGCAGAGGATAGTTCCTCTTCAATAGTATTTTTCTTTCCAGAAAACTGCAACGCCAAGTTAGCACTTTGGGCAATGTTCAAAAGGATTTCTCACTGTAAATAGCATTGTTACTGTCCCTATGGCAAGTCCAACATAGGGTATTCCCATGCCCGTAACAATATCAAAGAGTGGTTTGAGGTCCTGCATAAATGACAATGCGCCTTCTGAAAATTCTTGATACTTTTTAGTCCATAGTTTCCAACCTGTCCTGTGTTGCAACTTGAACTGGGACTCAGCTCCTGTGCTCCTATCAGACCAAAATTCAGCAACATCTCTGAATGTTCTGCAAGCTAGCGCAGCAGTCTCCAATGAATCCAGCTTCTGTGTTTGTAACCACTCATGAAACATTTTTTGGTTTGTCTCACTTTCCAGCAATTTGGTCCTAAAAAGAAGAAAATATGAAAGATGATTGATGTCAATTCCGAACTGGACAGCTTGCCATTCCTCCTTGGTCAATGCATACTTCTTCACAATGCTATCATCAATGCTGATATGTGGTAACATTGACAATTCCTTCGAATCAGACATGTTTTGTAAGGATAAGGCTTGCAGCAAATCAGGAAATGTACTTTAGTAATAGCTATTGAATATCCCATGGAATGCGACACACCTTTTCTGAAGTAGGAAGGATACTTTGAGAAGGCAGAATTGGAAGGGATGTATTTATTCTATCTGAATTCCATTGCTCGGGTGTATCTTTTTCCAAGAAGGTTTACTTTTGTCTGTACAGCAACTTATCATTCCACACCAAAGCGAATTGAGGTTATTTATCTACGGATCTACTTCGATCCTCATTACAAAATTGCTGCACAGTTGACCATAATTATATTCAACAACACGCCACATGAACCAGCTGATCATTTATTATATTTAATATTCAATTGAGTCATGAGTGCATATCAGTATAGACCATGAGGATATTTGGAGCTTTTTTTGTATTAGTGTTATCTAGGCAAACCACGGGCTCACATATATACACTTCGATGTACACGTTCTCTGCTTTCCACAAAATGACTGCAGTTCCTGGTATTTCGATGTTGGTGAGTTCTTATAATTCTCCCACATCTGTAAAACCTGTATTTTCGGCTAAGAGTTCGAAAGCAGCTGACAGCACTGTCCAACTGGGAAAGTGCTCCCAGCAGTACTGAAAAACTGCTGGGAGTGCTTTCAGCGCTGGACAGTGCTCTCCAGCTAGTACCTTTGCTCTCGCGAACATCCAGGTTTTGCAGATGCATCAACATTTACGGGTGGCTAAGAGGAATACCAAGTTACCTCTCGAGGAAAAGATCAAGTTACTTGAGGAAAGATTAGCCACATTGGAGTCAAAGTACGGAGAAGTGCAGGTGGACAAGAGCACACAGTCAGAATCATTGCAAACAAATGGGCAGGATGGAAATAAAGAAGCAATAGATGTTGATGTAAGCACAGTCTAGTCTTGAATGTTCAGTTCACTGAGTACATGTAGATAATCTCGAGAGCGCGAGTTGTTATAAACAGAAGGGATGAGACAACAGGAGAGAGGAAAGATTTCGATGTAACAGATCCGGCGGTCTCAGCTCCTGGCAAGAACAAAGTCGCAACAGAGCAAAACTATGCTTTCCTCCTCAGGAAGTTCATCTTTTATACTGACGATCCAACGAGTGAGCTGGAGATCACTGGGATTGAACTGCGGAATCTCCTTAAACAGCTTCTTCAACACTATCCTTATGATATTTTTCTTGGAGATGCCGTCTCGATTTCATCACCATTCGAGTGTCTGGTTCTGAATTGGGACTTGCTCGAAAGCGAAGCTCAAAAGCTAGGCAGTACCCTAGATGACCAAGTTGCACGAGATGATCTGAAACTTCTCCTTGCAACTATCAAGGAGAGCTCTGATCCAAAGCTGGAGGACTATTTCAGGATACGAGACCATCTTAAAGCCTCTAACAGCATCACATTCGACACACTATGGACAATCTTTCCACCTGGTACTCTTGTACATAGTGCACCTTTCTTGAGGCTTGATCAGCTCTTTGTTGTCCAGGACTACCAGACTGCTTGGCCAAACAATGACAATGCCCGTTCTAAAAGACTCTTATACTGGAATCTGGACTGCTGGACATATGATTGGAATGGCCAATATTTTCAACGCTATGGGATAACACTTAGCATTGATTACTTTGAAGGTTTCAAGCCAATCTCATCTCTTCCTGTGCGACCCTTCGATGTTGTTGAGAATCCAAGCAAATTGAAGGACAAACTACTTCGAAGAGGTAGACTCTTCCGAAAATACTGCAGCATTCCTAAGGACTGCAGAATGTTCCAGTATTCAGGCAAAGCCATCCTTGACAAAAGTGGTTTTCGTGGAGTCAGTTCTAGCTCAGTGAGTGATATAATTCAAAGTGCTTTCTATCTGGTCCTAATGGACTTCAGGATGATGATAGCCAAAACGCAACCGGCTCTGACCGCCAAAAACAATCAAATGTAAAAGACAGATTTTATATTCCATTTCACAAAGATATAGTACTCAGACAATCTTTGTGGATAGGTCATTGGTGATGTGATGGTGGACTTTGAGTCTTACTATAAACATGGCCTTGCTACTGCACAAATAGCTGACTTCAACATTTCCGAAGAAACAACTGAATGCAAATGTCCCAACTGTACTTCCAACACAACACTTCAGAACATATTTCGAGTTAGGTATGATGGCGCAACAGGAGACCAGAGTGAAGAATGGGAGGAGGAACAGATAATGCTCTGCCCCCCTCGGCTTCTTGGATATGTGCTCCGCGAGAAAAAATGGGCGCAACTGGATGTAAACAGTGTTCTTGTATCAAAACATGGGGAGGTAAATGCATTTTGGGACAAGTTAATACTTGCTGGTGAGGATGGTGGGAAGGAGACGAAAGCGATGCTCCACGGGTTAATAAAGAACCATGGTAATAGTGAGAGCGGAGATGGGAAGACAGGATATCATCTTAATGATATAGTGGCGGAAAAAGGGAAAGGTCTGGTTATACTCCTTTATGGTGAGCAATAATCTTTAGCTGTTACATGAAATGGTGAAGTGACCTAATACTGTGATTAGGACCTCCGGGAGTTGGAAAAACCTCCACGGGTAAGTGTGCATAATAAGATTAATATTCGGAGTGACCGTCAATTTCTGGTTAGCACAAACTATTGCAAGTGCAGCAAGGAAGCCCCTGTTTTCTATCGGTGTAGCCGACGTTGGCACTTCTGCTGGGCTTGTAGAGTCAAATCTTGAGACAATTTTTGACCTTGCAACTACGTGGAAAGCCGTTCTTTTGATGTAAGTATGAATTTGAATTTTATGAGATCCTCTGAACCCAAGTGCCACTACTAACTGTGAATGTGTTTAGCGATGAGGCTGATGTGTTCTTACAAAGTAGAGCAAGGGGACAAGCAGGTCCTACGACTGAGCGGAATGCTCTTGTATCAGGTTCGTTCGAAATCCCATATTCGGTCTCCTTGAATTTTTGAATGACCTGAATTCAATTATCTCAGTCTTCCTCAGGGTGCTCGAATACTACCAAGGAATTTTGATCCTAACCACCAACCAAATTTCCCAATTTGACGTTGCAGTCCAGTCCCGAATTCACATTGCCATCCGATATGAAGGACTCGATAAGAAGCAAACTGTCAGCATCTTTAAAGGATTCCTTGAGCAATATAAGGCTAGGGGTTTAGTACAGCAAAATATTTTCAAGAAAATTATGGACTGGGTTGAAAGAGATTTGTCCAAACGCAAGTTTGATGGTAGGCAGATTCGGAATATTGTAACAAGTGCAATGGGAATTGCACTGGCTGATGAAGAGAGGGATACGCCTGGTTTGACTATCGAGGACCTGCAGAGCGTGGTTGCATATATGGGAAATTTCAAGGGTGACCTTGAGTATCAGATGAGAGCATATGAAGGTCAGCATTTTGGTTTGCAATTTCACAATAGAGCATCATACCATTGATATCTCTCTCACTAGATGCACAAAATGGGGCCCGCTACTCATAAAAGACGTTACATAAATTTCGAATATTAGTTATCGATCAGCAAACTTGTAGTTGTATTGTCCATTGAATTGCTTGGATGCATCTTTAATGCTATGTGATAGTACATTCTGGTGATAACGGGTATACAGGTGACTCCGGATAAGAATTCTGAAATGGCTCTCACCTGGGCTTTACAGATGAATAATTACTGAAAAAAATGCAAATTCTAGTTCTAAACAAAGCTCCACACAGAAAAGTGGAGTAGCAAGATGCTGGGGAGGAGTTCCTTGGTAGTGATACTTGTCAATTAAGCTTGGATTCCTGAACTTTGATTTCGGAGTGAAGTTGAGGTAATGGTGTTGGATCAGTATCTTCCACTACATCTCCAAGGAGCGGGAGGACGTTCCGGGACACAAATTTATGAAGAACTGAGGCAAATTTGGGTGAATTCAACAGCTGCGAAACTGTAGACTGCCAGTGGCCAATAGAGTTCGGAATGGAAGAGAAAGTTTGAGTTGGATAATGGAGAGTACAGTTTCTGGTCTCTGGAGTCATGAGATGACACAGATACCGAGAAATTGGTAGATATGCACTCTGTGATCCACGTCATCCCCAGCCAACTCGGCCCATGGATATTGGGCAGTAAGGAATCCATACACCTCGCACAGGAGATTATGATTTATCGGTTGACCTTTACTTCCATTCTGCTGCTAAGCAAATTTTGAGTAATTCAAGCGGGAAAAGGAATGAGGCACAATTTGTGGCAGGATGAGAAGTCGGGTTGCCGTGCCGAGCGCCGGTTAAGCGTCTCGTCTAAAAAGGTCACGTCTCCGTCCACGGTCGAAAGTCGAGACCCGGCTTGGAATTTGTATCACTCTAACTTCTGCTCTCACTCAAGTCTCGTTTCTTGTCATCAATACCTCTGGAGGTGAAAGTCGGTAGTATCAATTGAAGAACAGTGCGCGCAAGTTTGCTAAGAATTGGGAGCTGGTATGGTTCCTCATTGACAATTCAAACAGGTCACGATTAATTTCCTGCCTATCTTTAGCTTGGAGAACATTACTTCTACGGTCGACGTGTATCCATTGAATCTCTAGAGCATGGTCAGTCTCAATAATTCATTTGTGGTACAACATGTAATAATCTTCAGGAATAGCTATACCCATGCAAACAATGTTCCCTTCGACTTCACCTTCAATACCTTCCGCAGGCAAACGATTTGATTCACTCAATGCCACTCAACGACGAGCTCCAACAAACAACGTTCTGTCTAAATCTAGACCAGTCAATGAATTTGGCAGGAATAACGCTCAGGGCTCTACGAGAAAAGTCTTTATAGCAAAAGATGAAGGATTCTTCATGTCAGTCGAGGACGAGTTACACGACTTGCGGAGAGTTCACACTCACGGACAAGAGGACGATCTGCGGATGGCGTTGGATAGGTGTATGGGTAGAGTTGGAGAGCTGGTCGGTTTGTTAGCAGCAGCTTATTCGGCTTTAACCGACGTAAGAGTCGAATTGGACGTGACGAGGTCGAATTTGCAGATGATTACGGCGAATAATGATATGCTGGAGGATGCTTTGAAGAGTATGAGCAATAAAGTGAGTTTTTTCTACATCTCGTTTCGTGATACTTTCCTTAAGCTATATGATCTATGTATTGATCGATTTTTAGTATTCTATATTCTTCTTTATCTCGCGACCAAGGCACAGCTAATTCTGCATCCTTAATCTAGCATGGGACTGATCCTCGCGACGTAGGCAGTGTCGGATGGCGCCGATCCGGTCCAAACCCCAACTCCACCGCGGTAACGCCTTCTTCATCCTCTACCCATATCAACACTATCTCCAACGATCTAACTCGACCTATGAACGGTGAAGCTCCAATTCCAGGAACCTCACCACCGTCTTCACCTCCTCTTCCTGCGTCCGAAAGTACTACTCAACCAATGGCGATACCTCCTGCTCCTACTCCCCAGCCAGCTCCTGCACCCCAAGAATCACGGTTTTTCAAATTCAGATTCAACTCCACCTCGTCTTCCTCAACGAATAGCCGTCCACAAACTCCTATCGTTGGAAATGATACTGCGAGTCCGACGATAGGAAATCTCACGGGACGACACCGTACCGAATCGTCCTCGAGCGTTTCGCTATTGGCCGGTGGAGGCAGTATTGCTTCAGGACCAGACGACGTTGCCAATGCCAATAGTTTCGACGATTTACGACGAGATATTGAAGCTTTGAAAACTCAAATGGCAAGGGATAAGGCTGAGTTAGAAAAACTGAAGGCCAAGCTGGACGTAGAGAAAACGAGGAGGGAGAAAGAAGAGGAGAAAGTGGGGAAAGCAAAGAAGGAGAAGGAGGAGTTAGAGGCCGAATTGGAGAGCTTAAGTCAGGCATTATTCGAGGAGGTAGGTTTTTCGCTGTTACATTCGATTCACTTTCCATATCACTTCCTCCTTCGCCGAATTTCGTTTTTACGTATTCTTACTTACCCTTGCTCTACTTAGGCAAACAACATGGTCGCAACTGAACGCAAACTTCGCGCTGAAACTGAATCGAAGCTCCAGCGACAGCAGCAAGATCTTAAGGAAGAGTTGAGAGAAGCACGAGCACAAAGGGAGGCCCTCCGGAGCGCGTTACAGGTAGTCGAGAGCGAAATGGATGTGTTGAGGATGGGATTAGGTGGTCGTGACTTGGATGGAGGTACTGCTAACGTTGACCCTGTTCTACGTCGGAATGTTATTCAACCATTGGAAATACCGGAGCCAGACGAGTCTAGCGATGAAGGATACTTACCAGAGTCGGAATACAGTGCCTTACCCCAGACAGCGTCCACGATGTCCATCCTATCTGCAATGTCATCGATGTCTGCTGTGCATGGGATGCCTGGAATTCCTTCGCAGTCAGAATCTGAAGCACCGCCGGAGCCGTCGTTCACGGTTCCGCATGCCAACAACCACTCGGAGAGTCATTCAGAAGAAACTCATCCACATCCTCAATCACGCTCACGCTCGTCTTCTCAACGTGGCATCAAATCCCCGCCGTCATCGAGACCTGGGTCGAGGACGTCAAGACGTTCAGGATACTCAGACTTCGCAGGATATTCGAGGCCGAACTCGGTCGTTGTACCTTTTCAAAATGACGGTGGGACGGAGGGATATCCCTCTTATGGGGATTTGTCACAAGTAAAGGAGTCGCCTCCTGCTCCCTCCACATCAGGATCGGTACCAACTCCCGCAACGCCAACAGTGAAACGGAACGAACCAAATCAATTTTCACGCTCTTCCTCCTCACATCTAGATCAGCTGGCGCACGGTCTCCCGAATTCGAATTTATTTACGAACAAGTTACAAACATCATCTTCATTCTCAACGCAGTCGCATTCTACTCTCGATTCTGCTCTTGATTCAACCAGAGCAATATCGCGTTCACCTTCGCCAGTAGCCTACTCTCATCAGCCTCCTCAATCTCAACCCCCTTCCCATTCGCCTCCTTCGGATTCACAGGATCCGTCGTCATTCGTACCGCCTTCAGATTCTAAATCATCGGATTCGACTCACTCAAAGTTGGCCCAGGCAGTCAAAGTGGATCAGGAGGACGAAGAATGGGATAACGATACGAGCCAGAGAACGGGAACGGAGGAGTCAAAGGCGGAGGAAGACGTTTCGAAGTTTGCGTCAACCTCGTCCCCGGTTCTAACCCCGACGATGAATTTCATACCAGGAATGGAAGAAAAATCGCCGTGGGCTGACTGAGGTACGTTCTCTACTAATCTCTTCTGCCCCATATTTCCCGAGTGATCAATTTTGCCACACGTATAGTCGTGTGTGACATACATAGTACATACACATCGAGGTTCTTTTCGGTTTTCTATGTCCAATTTCCTTCATGCCTACAACGGGCATTCCTTACCGCACGATATCATGTTTTCGACTACATTTTCAATATGTATACTATACGTACATACCCTTTCATCGTGGTACATAAGGATCTAGTACATGTTGTCAATTGCTTGCAATGCAACACACCTTGCCTTCAAAGTGAACGAAACGAGCGGAGTGAAAAATACGGTGTTCACAACGAAAGAAGAATCTGGGTCGTTCTCGAGACAACGCCGACCGGCAGATCGGTCAACTGATGGGACCGCCGATCGCCGAAGTCATCTTTCCACTACCTACGCTTAAAATGACGGAAATTGCCACTATCATTTCCGTTGCCTTCGTTTCTCAAAACATCCATATCTGATCCATATACATCAATATAACAGAATGTCATACAAATACACGCGAACAAAGCCTTCATTAAACCTATCCCAGCAGAAAGCAACAACCTGGCAACATCTCAACTCGCAGTAGAATCCCTTCAAGTACATTCTTTGGAAACAACTCGAAAAAGTATTTAATGATATTGGGGCAGGCCGCTTCATACACTCTCCCTAAACCTGTCATTTATTCAAAAGAACAAACCATTGAAACCGGTAAGCATGACAATTGAGATGAGTGTATTGAAAAAAGCATTGAACCGTAGCCTGAGGAAACGTTCAGTTCATCTAAGCACCCCTTCTAACCGCAGGCTCTCTGACCCTACACTACGATGAGAGTCTATGTAAACGCTTTACAATGCTTCAACCTGGTTAAACCTGTCAGCCTTCACCTACTATGTGTTCTTCCTATCATTAATCTTATTGACAATGTCACTGCCAGGTTCTATCAGCGATCCCGGAGCCGATAGCATCAGTACTCATCGCTGCGCTTGAGGCGATTCTCGACGCGGTCGAAAAGGTAGACAATCGTCTTTCACTTTAAGTGAACTTGGCCTTACGAATTGTTGCCTCCAGGCTAGGGATAACAAGAACCAACTCAAAGTTCTATTCTCTCGCACGTGCGATATTCTGAAATCCTTGAAAGTCCCGCAAAATTTCGCAGATGAGACGCTACAAAGAAGCGTAGAGACCTTGGTTGCGTGTGTTTGTTTTCTGATTGGTATTGCTCGACGACACTAATTTTAAATGATTTAAATCTGATTACAGGAACCTGGAAAGCATCAGGGATTTCGCGATGTCGCTCAGAAACAAGAACCTTTTCAAAGCGATGCTCCAGAGTGGAGACATCAGGTTAACGATTGAAGAACTCGAACGGAATTTGTGGTCTTCTTGTCTCGCTTTTCAGGTGCGCAGTCACAAAACCTCATCTGTATTTATGTTCCCTGATCATTCAAACTTGCAGAATTCCGCCCTAATCCTAGCCAACCAAAAACTCGACGACCTATGGAATCTTGCAAGCGACCACAACCGCAACCGAATTTCTGCTGAACAACTCCATGCTGCAAAACTCGACGACCAAAGAGAACAACTCTTACTGATCCAACAAGCCGTTGCGTCTCTTTCTTCTTCTGGAACAAATACGAACATGCTCGATGCGATCCTTGAAACCATCAACGTCGACGCAACTGTCACTGTCACCGGGATGACTGCCCTCCTCGAGCGCCACGAAACGGGAAGGATCCAATTGCAAGAGTCAGTGATCAAGTTCTTGCGAGCTGGGATTACCAGGATCAACGAGCAGAGATCAGCGAAAGATTCGATAGTACAGATTAAGTCATGGACGGTAACTGCTTGGGAAGTGGAAAGAGGGTTCTTGTTGGGGTCTGATATTACATCTTTTATTAGAGCTGGGAGATGGCTGGGGAAATCGGTGGGGATCGTGGAGCTGAAAGATGGTGAAACGACCATGAGGTTCGTGAAGGTGAGTACAATGTTATCTCAAGGGTTCCACTTATACGTTGATTCTTCAGGCTTGGAAAAATCTTCGAAGTAATCGTGTTCAGGGTATGTTTCTTCCATTCACTCAATTTACACTTCGCCAAAATACCCTTCGTCTTGTAGGTTTCCTCGGAGCTTCAACCGTCGATACGCCACCTTTCATCCTCGTCCAAGCTTCGCATCTCAATATTGTCGAGTACGTCAGAGTGACTGCGCGACCCAATCATCGGAAGCTGGTTAGTACATTACTTATTTTGATCTCAAAAGCTTCACCGCTGACTCGCAAATTTCTCAAAGGTTCTTGACCTCGTCCGTGCCGTTGAATACCTCCATACGCGAGTTCCGCCGGTCATTCATGGCCAACTGAGACCAGTACGTGTTTTTTTCTCTATCTCTCCTGTTCATTCTTCCAAAATCTAACCTATCCGTCAAGGCTGTCGTAGATATTGACGAGAACGCAGAAGTATTTGTTGGATCTATTGGTCTCAAACTCCGCGACTTGCGTATTCGGGAATCACAACGCGCAGAAATAGGACAGATCCTACACAAATGGACTGCCCCAGAGCTCCTGGAAGATGGCAGTATGGCACCTACCACCACCTCAGACATATTCTCCATTGGTGCCATAATTTGCGAACTAATATCCACTATCCACGAACGACACCCCACCCAAAAACTCCCCCTCCTAACATCCCTTTCAAAACAATGTACCTCTCCCTCTCCTTCCTCCCGTCCCACAATTCCCCAGCTCATCGAAACCCTCGAAGGAAAACTCCAGTCGAAAGACGACGAATCCATCTCGGATTTCCTCGCAGTGATGCCTTCTGCTGAAAACATCACCGAGCTCACCGGGTTGCAGAACGTTGATCGGTGGAGGGTGGTCCCGTATGTGTGTAAAATCCCAGCCATGTTCACGGAGCAGAACGATCGTTTGTATGTGGCTTCTGCGCCGTTGCAGGGTCTAGATGAACATCCTCTTCGACAGCTGTGTGTGGAAGTCAAGTGCCATGATCAAGGGAAGGAAAATACCAGTACGTTCTTGTCTCTGCTTTCTTGTTTTCTCTTAACTTATCACTCCCCTCGAAATCCAGCTGCTAGTCCAAGAGATGGAACCTGGACGTGGATCGAGCTCGTGCTTTTACGAGAAAACGCCGATGGAAAACGCACTCAAGTTAATCTCGAGAAAGCTCTCAAAGGACAACCAAGGGGATTCATGATCGAGGACACTCGATACGAGATCATACGTTTGCCATTCGCTGATTCTACTCCCCGGGTTCATCGTGTTAACCTAGATTGGCGAAATCCGTTCATCAAAGTATGTTTCTGTTTGTCTGCTGTTCTTTCTTGATGGCTTAGGATCTGATTCATTTCCCCTATAGGAAGCACGAAAAGGCGATGTTATCGCTCTCCACCCTAAAGCTAGGTCAGTGAACCTACATCATCATATCTTGCTCGACGCAAATGCTCATGGCGATTTTTCTCCCCTGTTCTCATATTCATTATAGGTTTCCGGGGTGGGTGAACTATATGTATTCAGCCGAGATGCACGTTATCACAGAACAGTAGAAATCTGTTTACAAGTCTGCGGGTGACTTTTCTGAGCTTTCGGAGAGTGCCACATCAAGATGAGATCGCAGTGATAGTTCAAGTAAATTCATCTTAACCATCGTCAGGATCTCCACCAGGTCTCTATCTCGTATAATTTACCAATCCTGTTTCCAAGCTGATGTAGCGGGTAGCTATCCTTCATTTGTTGAATTTGCGCTCTTGCATCTGCACATATGGGATTTCAAAACCTCAGACTACATATAAGCTGTATCCCTCGATAACAGCAGCAGCATTAGTTAGTATCCATGGAAGAAGATGCGCCCATACTGCTGCAACTGCATCTCTTAGTTCTGCCAGTGCTCAAAACTGTCCTTTATATTTAATTTTGTTTTGCTGTTTAAAAATTCCTCGGAACTCACAAATAATGAATATTGACACCCTGTTTGTTTCGTCGCCAAGAAACCCTTCAACTGGTTGGCTATGGGGCTGATCCTAGGTCGCATGTCGCGCGCCGCATGTTTTTACGGTCAAACTCATCGGTCTTCATGGTCTCATTGCGTTGCAGTCAAACTTCCAGTAGATTCCAGTTCATCGAACACCACGACAATTTCTACATTTCACTCAGAGTTGTACGGGTATGCCACGTACATACGACGCCAGTATTAAGCGCCCAGAAGCGCTCCGTCGCTTACGTTTGATCACAACTTGTGATTCACGATGCCTTTCACAAAAAATTCCTAATATTAACAGCGTTTGCTATCTCGCCCAAGAAATTTCTTTGCTGTTACTTATATATCATCGCATCGAAGGAAGGTACTAAATACTGAGGTTCGTCAAACGCCACTTTATCATAAACGGAAGAAAAAAATAAAAATTGTATATGTGCTGATCGGAGCAAACAAAGGGAACCAAACTAAAACCGCCCACGAATGCAAAGATACAACAACAACAAGAGGCCTGTTCGTAAACGACCAATCAGAGACCGAACAGTGACGACCCTTACTGGGAACGACGACGAGCACAACCAAGAGGTCCTTTTTTCAGGACCTTCTGCTTCTGGCGCCGCCGCTGATAAAACCAATAATAACAAACCCAGTGGATTCAACGACGACCCGTCCGTCTTTTCTGATAGTAATCCTGTCAATTCCGGTGTTGCAAGCTTCGAGTACAGTACTATGCCTTCCCCCTCCACGTTTGGCTTTGGCTACAATAGCTTTGTCGGTCCAATGAACCCTGGTGGTGTTACCGCTCAGCAAAATCATCTGTCGTCCTCGTCGTCGACTTATTATAATCAACCAATGCTTCCACCTGGAAAATCCGACCTTGAAATTTTGGAAAATCTCAAGGAGCGAATCAAAAAAGGACAGCACGAGTTTTTTCGTGCAACGCCCATGCCGGAGCTTTTAGCTGGGCTTTATCTCGGACCTTCTGGTGGTTCTGCGCAAGACTTGGATGCTGTTCAAGAAAAAGGGTCTGTTGCTGTTGCTGCTGCTGCTTCGACGAATGGAGACGGGAACGTCGGTAATAATAAGGTGTGTTGTAATACCTTGTTTTTGTTTTCGCGTTGATCTTTTACGATCTTGCTGCTAGGCTTCCTCTAGTACCACTACTATGACTTCGCCCTTGGCTATTTCCTCAGAGAATTCTCCCAGCAAGATTACCTCCATGTCGACCTTTCATCAAGAAACTAATGGACCAAAGAGTAGCAACGAAAATGGCAGCAAGAGCGCTACGAGTATGCCACCGAATCCGACGGATAGTAGTTCTCATGGGTTGAATAACTCAATCAACATGGGTTTGCCTGCCAAACCCCCGCTTACAAATGCTCACGGTACTAGTATGAACGGTTCTTTCACCAAAGACGAAAGATCACCCTCATCGTTTGGGAGAGAAATATACCCTCCTCTTCCGTCCAGAACCCGGGGTTCCTCTTCATCTGGTGCTTCTTCTTCTCTACCTCATTCTCATTCTGTGTCTGCTCCGGAAAATACCCATGCGACGAACAAGTACTACGATGCACGCGATATTCGAGATACTCGTGAACGGGATAGAGACAATCATAATAACAATAGAGACAAGGACCACGATTCTCGACGATCCAGTTCAGTTTCGGTTTCTGGCGCCGAATATGCTAGTGTTCGGTACGGACCAATACGAGATATACGAGATATACGGGACAACAAGGATGGTATTACTAGTATGCGACGAGATGGAAGAAGACCATCAACAGCTTTCCACTACGATTCTGCAAGTTACCGTGAAGAAGATTATCTGCCTCCTTCGGACGATTATCGTCGACTATCTGGTCCTCCTTCGACACCGCAGGCTCTTCCAAATGAACGATATTCTAGACCACCTCCGTCTACTGACGAAAGACACCGTCTGGACGATCGTTATCCGGAGCGTGTTCCACTACCGCTTTCATCAACTCCATCGTCGTCCATTCCTACATCTTCTGCTTACGGTCCTTCGTTTCGTCCAGATGAACGAGAACGACATCGATACGATACGCACAGCACCACGAACTACCCCGCAAATCATAACCATCATGTTCCTCACACGGGAATTACTCCACCCACTCGGCCAAATCACGTCCATAACAGTACACACGTCCTCGCGAGTCGATACAACGAGAATCGACCGCAGATCGGGGAATCGCCTGTTGCCGCGGCTGCAGCAGCCGAGAGGGAACAGAGGGAAAGGGCTGCTGCTGAGCGGGAACAGAGGGAAAAGCTTGAAAGGGAAAGAGACAGAGAACGGATGGGAAATACTAGAGATTTCAGAGAGAGGGATATGAGACCGCCGCCTCCGCCTCCTTCTCAGGTGCATCAAGCTGCTCCGGCTAAGCTCGAGGAACGTATCGCCTCTCGCGCGCCAACGCTGCAAGAGCGTTTGAGTCAACCTCCAGTCGGAGAGAGTTCCAGGACGCTCTCGTTGGAGGAGAGATTATCTAACCATCCGAACACTGGCACTGGTACCAATACTGTTGCTGGCCCGCCTGCCAGTCCTGCATCATCAAAGGGTGGCTCAGTTGCTCCAGTTCCACCTGATTCGGCTTCGTCGGCTGCTTCGAGTGAGTTCATCTTTACCTGGGTTCTACGTTAACTTGAAGCTTACAAAGTCCCACAGCTACGACGATTGGGACTGCTGAACGTGCTGTTCCTGCGTCAGCGTCTAGTGGTGGTGGTCCGAATTCCGTCGCTACGGGTGTATTACCCAATTCCAGAAGCTTCCCTGCCACTGCTGCTAGAGACGAAACTGGACCTGTTCGTGGACGATATTCATCGCCTACGCCTTCTGAAAGGGATCGAGAAAGAGAGAGATCGAGGACGTATCCTTCTCCGCCGCCATACGACAGAGATAGAGACCATAGACGCGTCAGCAGCGGCGGCGGTGGTAACATTTCAGGACGGGAATATATCTACGATGAGAGAGATAGGCTTAGAGATAGAAGAAGAGAATGGCCTCCGTCTGCAGATGAACAGTATTTTCGATCTTCTTCTGGCACACCTGTAGGGGCATCGAGGCCAGCACCGTCCACTTATCCGTCGCCGCCTCCGCCAGGAACGTCGGACCGGTATGAGCGAGATCACCGAAATGGACTTCGAGCTCCATGGGAGCAACGTGATCACGAACGGCGTATCTCTGCTCCTGGTGTGTCTGCGGCAGCGACAACTTCGTCTCCACGTTCCGAGGTCCCATCTCGAGGAGGTACAGGGATACCTATACCCATACCTATACCTATCCCTGTTTCTGCAGACGAACGTGATCGCGATCGAGACCGTTCCTATCGAAGTTCAGATTCTCGTTACCCTCCACCATCCTCGTCTGTGACAGGAACACCTTCACCATACACTCACGGACGTGTTCGACCGCGAAGCCCGAGTCCTAACACTCGAGGACCTCCTGTAAAAAGATCAAGAGATGATCTATATCCTTCTTCATCATCGGCAGCGGCTTATTCATCACCGTCCGGGTACGGAGGCGGTTCTCCTCCCAATTCCAATTCGAATAGAGCCTCGAGAAGGATGTCGGATTATCCACCGCCTCCCGTAAATATGTCCATGGACGAATACGCACGTCCGTTACCCATCCAGTCTATGCCGCTTTCTCAACTGTCCCGCGAAATAAGGGATCCTAGAGATGCGTATTACGATAAATACGACAAGTATGATTCTCGTCCGCCGCCCTCAAGTGGAGGTGCAAGTGCTTATCCACCACAATCGTCTATTCCTGCGAATTATGATAGACCTAGGTCTCCACCGCCACCGAGGAGTGCTGCTTATCCTGCAGGATACCGCGATCCGAGGGATGTAAGGGATTCGAGGGATGTAAGCGATATGCGGGATCCTAGAGACATCGTAAGAGATGCTAGAGACCCCAGGGATATTCGAGACGTACGCGATGTACGGGATGTTAGAGACATGCGCGATATCAGGGATCCAAGAGACATGAGAGACGTGAGGGACGTGCGGGACATGAGGTATCCGAGAGATGATCCTAGGCGATTCAGTATGCCTCCACCGCCATTACCTCGATAATTCCGAGGAAGTGAATGAATTTAGGTGTGTTTGTTAAAGCTTATCTGATGATGAAGTTGTATACTGACGAATTGTTCTTTCAAATGCAGGTGTCTTCGCGAGTAAAGCGTGGCTATGCAAGGATGATATACGCTTGAAGGAGTTATTGATCTCTCGACATAAATGGTCGTTGCGCATCGTATCTAAGATCGCTTCATTTCTTACAACAAATTTCTTCTACATATGGAACAAGTTTCTTATCGAAAAATCTTCAACCATGTCATCTTTATCTGGGATTTTATCTTCTTGGATCTTTTCTTCCTATGAAATATTCATCGTTTTGTAAATACCTATTATATTGTATATGTGATTCGTGGTGTAAGACGAGCCAGCAATGCATTATGCTTCACATGTCTGGACGTTGTTTCCTTTCATCTAACCACTTTCCATCGGAGAGATTTCGCCAAAAGGTGTAGTATAAGTACTATAGGCATCCGTAGACATGAGCCATGACCGCAAAAGCACTTCAGATTTTTTTGGACTTTCACTGATAGTACCAATTTGCCTCGAAGCAAAGGCCACTGAGCTCATGACCTCAGGCTCGTAACGATGCACCTGACAACTGACTATTTTGAGCCACATTCCAACCTGAGGCTCCTCCCGCACTTGGTAAAAGATTAGTTGTTGTTGCTGGGAGCTCCACTTCTGATCCAGAAATAAATGTTGTCTTGTTAGCAGCTTTGTGGACATTGAGCATCATACGGGTAGTGAGCATTCCGACTGCAGCATGGAAGGGACTATCAAATAAATAAGCACATCCATACATTGAAACTTCGAAATTATTTCTGAGATTAACTTCTTCACTTACCCATAGCTGAACCAAGGAATATGTGTGATGCCCTAGATGACCATCTCCAACCATGAGGATATGTTCCAGAAACACATATGTACCTTCGAAGCCATACACTTACCACCACCATCAAATTGTTGAAAACCAAGATACAAGCAATACTATTCCGAATTTCACAATCAATCCTCAGACCTTCGGAAATCGGAAACCACTCACCCAAAAAAGTACACAAGGTTGTCACGGAGAAGAACAGAACGCAACGAGATTTGACCACCTCTCCTCAGTTGAGCTGCATTAGTCTGCACTGTCTTGCACAATGCGTACCCGAACAGTATGCCCTCGTATATTGTTGCTATAAGTTCAGTTTCAATATTTAATCAGACTTGAAAATGTTATCATGTATATGTTAATAACCAACTCACCAGGAACCCATTGCGCCCATTCTATGCCGGTATGAATAGAGGGGCAACCTGGGAGGGGTAGAGCAATAGCACTGGCAATAACAGCACGGCGTCGTTGAGCATTATGCACCAGAATGAACATGAACCCCGCAATGGAGCCTAGAAAAAGTACGGCATTGAGGAGGGCGACCTAAAGGTCAATACGGATCTGATAAGCATTACTTGGCAATGTGATTGCTAGAGGATATATACCCTCTTTGAGCAATTGTAGAGAGCATAGACCCGCAACTGCATGATGATTTCCACAGACCATAAACTAATGGCACTGACAATCCTGATAATGGAGTCCATTGCTACGCAGCTAGCAAGTCAGTAGATTTTTCGAAGTCAATGTGAGTTTATGTTCACATCTTGAAAAGAGGAATATACTAACACATTGTCCGAAGTTACGCCAGGGAGTGTGAAGACATGTATCTGAATAACATCAAATAGCAGAATAGCCAGAGTGTAGTATCGTATCTGGATCAATGATATTATTTTGTAGCAGTGTGAAGGGCCAGCAAGCAAGACAATGAAAAATCTGTTACCCAAAGAAACATGAACTTTGCAAAGTTGAGTTTTTGTGGCTAACAGCTGGTAAGTTATGGCTGTTCTAGAGTATAAATTGACATACCCATATGTGATGTACCTTGTCACGACCAGTCAGTTCTGGAAACAATCCTCATATGTATACACATACTTCATCCTCAATTGTCAGAACTGAAGTAGCAGAAAGGTATCGTGAGAATAAATCATCGAAATTCAAATACACTGGTAGTATCACATACAATAGTCATGAAGCCCCCATGTGAATCCAACCACTGGCAAAGGATTGTTTTTGATATGTGCAAATTCCGAAGAGGGGAAGGCACATACAACAGACACGAAGAGGGATCAAATTTGCTTCATAGAGTGCTAGATATTGGCTTTCCTTGTTGGTCATTGCTGGATACCAGAACAGAACTTGAGAGAGCCAAACAGTTTCGAGTTGAGGGGGGATGTACGGCCTTGCCTTTCTCTTATATAAGTATGATTTGATATATTCTGGCCACTGCAACACCAGACTTAGAGCCGACTTGAACGGCAGAAAAAGTTGTATGTATTCAATCTGAAGTCAATCCATCATATTAGTACACACATCGCTAGTATGGTTGATATCCTATCCTCAACTTCATTATGTACATCTAATGATGGTTGTTGTCAGACATCAGTGTCATTTTCGTGGCGCTATCTTTCGATGATCATGCCAGTGATCTACTATAGCTACTTGATACTGATATCAGAATCAAAACTAATGGTGTATCATTAGCCCCAGTCTGAGCTTGTCAGTAAAAGGTCTCGTTACTTGCATGTTGTCTAGATTTATACTACGGAACTTGTCATACAGAATGTCAGAGAAAAGGGAAGAACTTTCTATCAAGCACAGGTGATGAATGAAATTGGAATGGGAGATCGAAGACTCACACTGCTTTCAAGAGTGCCCAGACTCAGGCTGAGATCCATCACAATGGGGTGGAGAGCATCTTGAGTTGACTTCAGGCCACAGATTCATTGACAAAGTATAGCATCTGGTTGTTTGCCAGAGCAATGATACTTGCTGGAGAGGGTTGTCTAGCTAGTAGCAGTATTGATCAACTGCTGGGAATACTTTCCCAGCTGGACAGTGCTGCCAACTGCTCTATTAGCTGGAAATCCAAGTTTTACAGATGTAAATCTGCAATGCTGTTCCTCATTTATGGGATAACAATGAACCCAATCTAAAACCTGCAGGGTTCAATGTGAAATACTATTATCAAGGTTTCCAATTAACAAATATCATCTCAATTGACATGTGCTTTAGGAGACTAGGGATATCTAATTTGGAAGATTCTCGTGAGTTGAGTTACAGTCACTCATGAATCTGAAAATTTTTAAACTACTTTGAAGTTTGAAAAACTGTTCCTGTCATGATTGTTTATGAATCTACTGGCAAAGGCTTCGAAGACTTTTAAGCCAATGACGAGGTGAACATATAAACAGAATGCTTATTATATGAATGATGTGCTTAAAATATTCTGTAAGGTGAGTTGGCGTTCTAAGTGCGGATCGATACAGAGGCTCGGACCAGTAGATGAGTAGGTGTATCCTCGAGGTAATAAAATATAGTAAAAAAGAAGACATACACACAAAATTATATGTGCAGGGTGAGATATGCGTACTGTCTACAGTCGGTCCAATCTCTCACTCTACAATTCTACAATTTTGCAATCAGTTTTATCTAGTAAGACCAATACCAGAAACATCCAAACCGAGCATCTTCAACTTTTCCAGTCTTTCCCGAACATCCTTGTAGGAATCACCAGCCTCAATGTCGAAAGAAACCTTCTTCAATCCTTGATTGACACGACTTTCCATAAATGCCATTGCTACATCAAAAGCATCGTTATCCATTCGATTTCCAGTGAAGGTTTGAAGCAATGGAAGAAGCACTGGCCCCCACTGAGGTTCCCAAATGAGTGACACAAAGACATCCTCATTGAGAAAAGGCTCGCCCCATTTTGCCTCACTCTCAGAACCCTCAATGGCATTGAATGATTTCAGTGTTGGCAAAGTCCTGAATATTTCACGGACATTGTCTGCAGTCGGTGTCCAAGCATAAACAAGAGTGAGGTGTTCTAGCCTGCAATGGGATTTTTGACAGAAACTGAGAAATGATGATAACATTTCGTCGACGTGTACCCGTGCCATTAGGTGTAGTGTTAGGTCAATGAGATTCTCAGCGTGGAGATCTTCTAAATACTCCCAATGATCTGATACTCCTAAGCTGGTGGTAAGCTGATAAAGGTCAGGAAGTATGATAGATGATTTGGAGGGTAGTGAATGGTCAAGATTGGGATCCCAGCTGTAGATATTTGTTAAGACCAAAGAGTGGAGTTTGGTACAGTCTCGAAGAGCAAGCGCCTGGGTGGGCGTGATTCCAACTCCCCGAAGCCCAAGGTGGTGGAGACGGGCCCAAGGCAACATGGAAAATGCATCATCAAAGGACCGCATACATCTTGGAAAAGATATGTCCAGGTTCTGATGCTTTGGATCACCCCAATGGTGGTCTGCATAATTGGGTTCCTCGATGATCAGCTCTACCTGAAGCATGTGAGCAGCACTCTGATCAAACCAAAATTCCAAGATGCCTTTCCCTAACTCATTCCAGAATCCTGCCTTATAATCAACATCACAGTCGACAAAGTCAATGCGTATATCCCGCCATAATTCAGAGGTCCCAACTGCTAACTGGCTCCATTGAGTACAGACCTTGGTCAATACGTTCAAGGGGTGTGATTGCATGAAGATAGTGGGAAACCTGGGATCAGATATCGGGATAGTTGGCAGACATTCAATGAAAATGAGGCGTAGAAGATCGTCCACAAGGCGGTGGATTGCACAGGTGCGGGGATGTGTGTTTTCTGATATACAATTAGATTTATTCATCTCATGAGGGGAATTGGTACATACGATGCTGCATTGAATTCATAATGACTCGTCTCAGGAATGAGGTTTGGATGGGGGGTGAGGTTTGGATGGGGGGCTCGAATGAATAAGGTGGTGGTTGGTCCTGCTGACCTAAAACACATAAACGGTGAAAGCAAAGTCGAGAGCAAAGGATGTAGCCAAGAATAATGGGCAGGATCAGCCAAATCGCACTACTAGCAAGTTTAGGTAACCAAACGAACTTGATAGATCCTCCGTCTGTGTATTATGGTTGAGCGCCATTGCAGTTTGAGGTATCCTTTCCCAAATAATTACCGTGTTGTGGGGAGCAGGGACGTGAAGGATAACTTGTTTGCTTGAGGGAAACAATACAATCATGCAGGTGCATTATATATGGGATGTGCCCGGGCCACATGAGCTTGTGCATCAGCACAGTCGTGCTTCTCCAAGACAAGCTACCGTCCCATCCTCATCTTAATGCTTTTGAATCATATGATGAGTCCTTATTTAACTCCATTTCGGTCGCGCAGTGAGCATGTGAACCTCTCTTGCCCAGATAGGGCATTGCCGAAGGATTTGCGCAGTTAAGAGAGAGATTCTAGAGCAAATGAATACGGCGTAGGAGCTGCGAGAAGTAGAGAAGAAGATAATGAAGGACTAAAGAACGATGAAGAACGAGATTATGTATGCGAAATTCTCACTGCGGATGCTGACGCTCGAGGGCCTCACAGCACGCCAGAACGTCTTGCCAAGTATACAGAGAATTCATCGAAAGTTCTTCGTACTTCTGGCACAGTTTCTCTCTTGTTAAGTCGTGTCAGCCGGGTTCACACTGCAATCAAGGAACAGAATGGATATGTTATGGGTCGTCAGAGCTTGATCGATGATCTTCCATGGGCATGTTCCATTTGTATACAATGTACAGAGAGACTCACGAAAGAACGTACCTCGAATATCTCTCATCTTCTTTTGTGCTGGTGGCAGACTCTAGCTAAGTACTCATAGGCATCCTATAGGCTCAGAACATCTTTGTTCTCCTCGACGACATCTCCCGCGTGTTATCTCGATGGTCTTTCAGCTAGCACTCGTTTCCGTGGTAGAATTGTTTGAGGATGCGTAGGATCAGCTCAATTTTCAGCCTTCATATATTGATGTAAACGGCCTCTAGAAGAGTTTGCATTGGAAGGATATCCAGTCTACTTCATCGAAACAAATGATGGGGTTTGAGTCCTCCGGCGAGTCAAGGCCTTATGACGGATATACTGTTTTTGTGCTGGGGGATGGGAAAGACGATCTTCCCCCGAGACCAGATTGTCGATGACGTGGATAGAGGGCTGGAGCGTGGTGTAAAAAGGAAGAGGTTGCGATAAGATTCGGCGTAGTAAACGGTATGAAAAAGTGCGACCAGATCCTGCGAGATCCTCGTTTTACAGTAACGTTTGAACTCTGTCGTTGTACTGCCGCATGGTCTCGCGGGCCAGATTTCACGAGAGGGAAGAAATTAAAGGTCGGAACCGTCGGGCGCCTGTAATTACGCCTGATGGCGCTTATAAGTTTCAGGCTCCTTCTGAAGCGTTCATGATCATATCGCTATGAAGTTCTTGCGGTGTTAGATCTTGGGCCAAGTTGTTTGATTTAACTTCCTTCCTTCCCTTCCCTTCCTTTCTTTCTCCTCCTTTCTTTCCCCCCCCCCCTTTCTTTCTCCTTCCAAGACCGGAAAGAGTGACCCGGTCAGGAACACAGGTTCCATAAGGCAACACAGCTTTGGTTCGCGAAGACGCGTACGAATAGCCTCTGGGCATAAATCGCTCTTGTTGTATATATAAAACATACACCACTTCCGAGCTCACTCGGAAACCCCGAAGATTTGCTGGTCAAATTCGTTCAATAAGATCCTCTGCACCTCCCCCTACCTCCCCTCTCCGCTCGAAAAGATCGCTTATATATAGATAACGTTGGATCTTTCTTTCGTTCCACGCTTCCAATTCGCTTCCTCACATTCAAACACCCCAGCAAACCAAGAGAGAAGAAAGAGAATAAACGATGTACCTCAATCCCGTGTTCCTCAGCCTTTGGCTCTTGGCTTCGATGATACATGCTATCCCTATAAACGTAAGTACCATGTTGAATGCCTCCTTGATTTCCCCACTCAAGATACCAATTTCTTTAAGTCAACACACACCATCCTAAATACCATCTCCTCCCATATCTCTTCTTTCAAAGAATATGCCTGGCCTCAACCAATCATCCACATTCACTTCCTCCCTGGTGCCTCCGGCGAACCCTACTACGAACCCTACCCCAATACCGTCCAACCCGCAGGTCTCGTGCCCCGAATCCGCCAAGTAATGGCGATGCATTTCCAATTTGTCGATTCATCTTGGCAATTTCGATTCCGGAATGGGTATAATGGGAGTGAGGAACTAACGGGATTTACGGTGAATTTTACGGGTCCAGTAAATGAAAACTGCATGGAAGGGCGTTGGTGTACCATGGCTATATGAAACTTCGGGTTGGGTGCTACTACGTATAATGAATAGCAATTTGTATACTTGTGCCCTTAAGCTTGGATTAATTGAGTTTTACGCTTTAAATAAGTAAGACTCAGCCAGCGCTCAGCGTCACTGATTTTTTGGAACCAGTCATAAGTCAGTCCAATCCGCTATTGGTCCAGACTTCAATCTAATCAAGTTGAAGCTACTGTATAATATCTGGAAGATGAAAGAAAGCATGTTAAATTGGCAGCACATTTCCATTTCCCCATCGATCAACATTCATCGTACACCATTTCTTAAGACACCGCTCATCGACATTACCGATCCTCTTAAATTTGATCGTAAAAACGCCATTCGAGTCTTGCCGCCACACCGCACTCCCATTAAACCCATTTTCGAAAACCGTCTTCCAAGTTTGATCAAAAAAGTCATAATTCTCTGCAAATGCGGTACGGAGCCAGGTTCGGACTACTGGGGGTTCTATTGTGGATTTTGATACAGGAAGACGCTTTCCCGGTGGTTGGGTCTATGAATCTGATATTGACTGATTTTTTAGAGATGGCCCGTGATTGGATGGCGGCAGTACTGCTGTTGGTCGTCTGACTAGACATACTTACCGTCGTGTGAAAGACAAGAAGGAAAGTGGTTGTGAGCGCCAGGATTCCACGATGGTATTCGGACGACGTACATGACGCTGAAAGTGAGGATACCACAAACAGAGAAGGAAACAGAATAACCTTGTTGAAGTCCAGCGATAGGTCCAAGTAACACAACATTCATAACAGACAAAAAGATCAGGTTAAAAAAAGCACTTGAGGCCAAGCTCCTTTTACGCCTAAGAGAGAATTTTGCTAAGGAGCCTCGAGTCTCGACACTCGAGCCACTTACACACGATTTAATTTTAGAAAACATCCTCGCAGACTAAGTTTTACGTCGGCAGCTCAAGTCCATCATGCTGTTATGGATATGGTGAAAGGCATCGTACCCGTTTGAAAGAGCAACATCTATCGAAAATAAGAAAACCAGAAACAAAATCCAGAAGAAAACAAATGTAAAGACGAGAAGGCGTCGGGACTTAACGGGACCCGGGACTCTGCCGGGACTTCACTCTGAAACTGAATCAAACATGTGATTTATACAGTCGTTGCCGACCCCCGGCATAAAATTAACCACCGACCGGTACGCAGTCATCCCGAGTTTTTCCCTTCTTTATTTTGCCCTACAACAATTTTTCGTTCCTTACTACTCGGTTTCTTCCCATCCTTCACCATGGTCCTCGGTCCCACTGCTCGCATGCTCCTCCCTTATTTGAATTTTACCATTGCCACTTCTGCGCTTGCCTTTCAAACAACTGTACTATATCCATGGCACCACGAGCTCGACACTGCTTTTCATACGCTGAGGGCCGAGCAACTCCAAGTTTTGAAGGAGTTTCATGAAGTGAAATTGGGAAGAATCGAAGAACTCGAGCGGAGGCTGGAATTAGCTTTGAGTGCGACAAAGAACGCTTCGGGAATTACGGGAAACCAGGTGAGATGGCTCAGATGTCGTCCGGGTTAAGCTCAATGGGGTTCTTAACAGAAACTCTCCTCAAATGTTGCCCTTGCGTTTAACGAACTTACTTGAATGTCTCCTTCTCATTTCGCATTCCGCCCCTTTTTCATCTGTGATAATTGCTAATTATTGGGCGTATCGTTGACCTTCAAATACCTAGAACAAGCCAGATGGAAGGCGAAGTTCCTAGACGCTTGACGGTCATCATCGATATTCTGAAGGACATTGCAGTGAGTTGAGTCTCTAGAACATCATGTCCCGGTCTTAATTGAATTTACAGGCAGCGGTCTACGTAGACGATAGATCATAGATCATAGACGGGACTCGCCAGCATCGAATATTACATACACCCTATTGTCGATATTCACATTAATATTCATTCGATTCTACGCAGTATCACTCATGCAAACTACATCGAAGCTAAGTTCATGACCCAGCTCTACGCATGGGTCCTGTATGATCCATTTACACTAATGCTGAACCCCAGCGTATGAGTATGGGTTGCTAGGGTGCGTTTTTTGGCTTTGCCCTGCGAGCATGCGCGGGTCTTTGAAAACTTGTGAGCCCAGTACCACCCCAGATTCAAACCTGTCGAAACCATTGCCTCTAAACCTTTCGGGAGGATGCATGTATTCCCCTGATCATTGTAGCTGCCGATGGTCGATGTGATTAGGTTTTATCCTTCTCCTCATGATAACACGAGATACTTATCTGGAAATAGGAATACATAGGACCACGCTCCTCAATACGAACAATATATATCTTCTTTCTAGACGTAAACACCAACGCGACATTGGGTCTGCTGTTATTCCTCCACGTCGTTCCACCATAGAATCAAATTCGCACCGAGCCGCGAAATGTGCACCCAAACGAGTATCCGAGTAATCAGCACAATTACCGGCATACTATCATGTTCACCCGGTTACAACGAAGATCATCATCACATCAAGTCAACCAACACCTTCCTGGATTTCAGAAGCACAGGCAAGCACCGACCTCGAGCATGGGGTGAATCTGATGGTAACGCCTTATCGCCAATGGTGAGAATGCGGCAGGTGAAGAAGACAATGAATCATTTTGGTCAAAGGCTGCGAATCTGGAGGTTAGGTGGTGCGTCTGGGGGTCCTCTTCGATACATGGTGTCTCACCTTTCCACAGACCCTCTTTCCGCCACCTAATACATTCGGCTATGCACCAGCCGGTTATCAATGGTTCAGAAAGCTCAGACGTATGGTCGGCTTGTTCGCTCGTTGTTCGCCTGGCTTCCTCCGTCCCATTCTACTCGGTCCTGCCCAAAAGCAATATGGACGAATGGCACCCGCACATAGATCAAGTCGCAGCATTGTTCTCCTCAACAAACCCCATGACTGGAAAATAACACCGATTCACTCTAGTGGAGTTAGTTCTCTGTAGCATCCAGACCGTCCTTCAACCAAATAGTCCATGTTGCTTCAATATGCTATGTTCGTAGGCTTGTCCAAACTGTCCCCTAAGACAGAGCGCGTATTGTGGAAGTGACGCTACTTGGTATTCTGGGCGCTTTACGGCGAAATTCCTCTACAAGTTTTCAATAAAACGGCTACATTGGCATCATTTTATCCAAATTTTAGTCGGCCACCTTTCAGACTTTTGGAACTTGTATCAAAGCCGTTCTAAGCCACTGAGATGGATCTGCGAGATTCTCAGCTACAATTGACGTTGGCATTGTACCTCTGACTTCCGGGTTCATCCATCCTCTATTCAGAAATACTTGGACGCAGGGTGCTCTTCTCCGGTAATTGACCTTGTCTCCGAATCTGGGGTGTTAGGTATTGAAGGGGTTTTAAGAGGTTCGGGAATTAATGATCAATTTCATCGAAGAAGCCATTCATTCTATTGAGGTATATATGTTTGCGCGCTTTAAGCATCATTGACTTACTACTGATCCTTGTTATTCTCAGATTTCATGCTTGACGATCTCAAGGAGTTTATCACTGTGTGGATGTAAGATCGCGTCATATTTGCGAAGAGTTCCGTCAAAAATGACAGTGGAGGGAGAAAAATGTCGTGGATATGCGCAAGGTGCTGAATTTAAGACGAAATACGCTGTTCTCAGGTGGAAAATGAAAAATATAAATACCATCAATGCCAGTAACTCGTTCCCTGCTGGTGTCCGCGATTCAGAAATACCACACTATGAAAATCTCGGGAAAATCTATTGGATGATACACACGTCCCCGCCGTTTTGGCCTTAAGGCTCCTCCCCATCGATCTACGAAGTAAACGACGAAACACCGCCAAAGTATATTAATTTACGGGATCGACAAGTGGGCTCGATACTTCTAAAGTCTATTCTGTGTCGTCAACTACTGGACCATGCCGTGTAAAGTCTCCTTTTCTTCCCCAATTGCAATTCATATAAGCCTATCAATCACTGCTTTGGTAGCTCTTCTGCGTCTTTCTACCAAGATATAGCTCACTAGAAGTCGGAAATATTGGTGAATATTTTATCTTTCAGAAGACATCATCATGCATCGTCATGTATTATGACTTACCAAGCAATCTGTCTAGAAAACCGATAGCTTGCGGCTGCACATCCCAGGATGCATGACGCGACATGAGAAGTACCATGAAATAGCGTTTGTGAGGCTCGTACACAACGGAAGGGGATTTTACTTCGTCGCCTACGCGTACAAGCTGGCTTTTCGTCAGACAAGACAAACTCGGAATAATGGAGCTTTATAGTACCTGCAGTCTACGATTGTGCGTTTTCCAACGCCATTCCAGGCCTTGCGGATCAATGAAGGTGCCTCCTCTAGTGCGGGGAATCGCTCAATGAGCACTGTCGAATTCGAGCAGTGGAACTTACATCTTGTCTGAAGTTGGCTTAAGAAAGTCAATGTCCGACATCCACTGCCCTAATTCTTCTCCCGGGGCCACACTATTCAAAAACCGCACTCTAAACCTCCCATTTTGCCACTTATTCCCACTGACTTGCTCGATCTCCGCGATGAGCCGTAGAGCTTGCGTGTCTGGGTCGAGGATATTGATCTTCGTCAACTTTGGATGCCAGTATCTGGTGACAACTTCATAGTAGAGCGAATCATCTTTCGTGGCAAGGGTCGTGTTGCGCACGCTGTTTGCAGTGAAGTATAGCTTTTGCTCCTGTTCAGCAGTAGCCTGGGATGACTGAGAGGGAGGGTATGCCCAGTTCGGTGCGCGAGACATGTGTGATGTCGATGGTCACAAATTGGGTCAAACACTGGCTGGGGTCGTAGAGGAAGCAAGAACAGAGATTCGGAATATAGCTTTGCCTTCAGCCATTTATTGGTGCACCTTGACTCAGGCCGTGGTGTTCTTTGTGGGATCACTCGGATGATTCTGAGAGAGCGGAAGAGGCTTTCACTATTGACCGGAGGTACCGAGTGGCATTCCCGAAAAAAATAACAGTATTTTCGACGTTCGCTGACCCGGTATACGACAGGTATAGGACATGTATATGAACCACGCGTGGACATTTACCATATGCAGGAACTCGGTCACCTTAGGTGCTATTCCGGTTATTCGGTAAATGGGCAGTGATATTGTACCCTGACTCTTCTTATCTCTTTTACTTCTTGTGCCCTTGTTAAAGATTGGATCCTCAGGATTAGCTCTTGAGATCAGTGGGGGTTTTCGGACCCGGTACTTCTTTTGTGAAGTATGCAAGGTTCCCCCCTACAACATAGAGTAGTGAACGCGGCGGCATCAATTGCCAGCTCACCTTTTCATTCCCCAGGGACGATGGTGCATGCGGTGCATTAGGGATGATCCCTGCAACCCGCATATAATGCGTGGAGTGAGCCGTACTGAAGCAGTCATTACTTCCCTTTACTCCACATATCATCAAGACGAATTTGCACTCGGTCGACTGTAGCTGGTAGCCTGGCATCTCCGACCAATAGCGTTAGTTTCTTCTCCTTGGTAACGTTCGCGGATATTTTTTTCTTCGCATTCATAGGTGGACCCACTATCTTGGTCAAGATTCTTCACAAAGTCTCAAGTTACACGATCAACGGCATGCTGCTGTTGCTTGGTATTGGTTCTACTGGCTGTCCTCGATGTCGGGTCGTGGGTTTACTGTGACCTGATATTCGGATGCGACTCAGTCCTCCTATTGGCTGCAACACACGACCAGTTATCAGTTCCGTATTTTTTTTACTATGCACCCATCCTCGACGACAAATTCGCGCCGGTCTCTGTCCATTGTCGTGTCAAGTTATCTGTACTGCTGGGTATGCCTCAGGAAATGAGGAAAGCACGTAGACGAGATTAGTGATCCAACTGATTGCTTTTCGGCCAAAGAGAGAACCTTCTCCACTTGGGATGGTCGGGAGAGATGGGAAAACGATCTTAGAAGTCCGTGTTTTAATATGCCTCCGACTTTTAGATAATACAACGAATTCTTTAGCCCTTCACCGACTTCATATCAATACAATACGGTCAAAGCATACAGGCTGAATGTAAATGCACTAGAAGTCCTTTCCAATGATAGGAACGCCTTAATGGCAGCAAGACTGTGGCAATTGTTTTTGAGCCCTTTTGAGGCTTCAGCCACCATTGAAAGGTTCAGGTATAGGTTCAAACAGCTAGATGCGTTGATCCTGTGGCCTGTCAACTTGGAGTCAGCTTGAACGCGGAAGAGTTGAACTGCCTAACCTCTGCTGCTAAAATTCCGCTCGCGGAATTCGCTACCGATTCAGCGAGGGTTTTGGTTTACCTTTTGCGTTATCCCCGTCTAATTCACTGACATTATAATCGTGGCTCATTATCGCACTACAAAGCTTGGCAAGTTCCCCAGCAGACTTCATGACAAGGCGGAGATAACTTGGAGATTTTATCACCGTCAAAGTCCAGCGGAGAAAACATAAGGTGTTGAATTGGATTTGACTGAGTTTGGTCAGTCAGAATAGTACAGCGTGAATGCTTCTCTCTCTTAAAGTGATAGCTTGTGGAATCAATCGGGATGTGCAAAGGGAAAGAGCGGGAGAGCTTGATGAATGACATGCGGGTGACCAGATCTGCCGCAGTAAGTAAAGAAATGTTTAGCGTATGTCGTGGACATAACATGTGGTAGCGGAACTGATAGGAATACGAAGTACGAGATATATACACCGTACAGACCCTTCCACTATGGGCGCTCGATTATCGGGAAGAAGGATTGCCTGTATCGTCCTCGTCCCGAATTATCCCAGTTGGTTTTTGGTGCACGGCAGGCAACGAGATCAGCTAACATCGGGATATGACATGTATCGAAAGTTGGTCCCGCCGTACGGTAGAACTGGTGGTCTCCGAGCCTGAGATACGTGGTCAGCGAATACGGGATGAGTAAACGGGGTTTGACCACAAAAAACCGAGAAAAGTTTCATAGATCCGAGCCGAACCTTCGTCTTTTTTTTCGGGCGACCCGACTTTCGAGAGCGTAAGAATTTGGAGACATGCAGTCGGATGTCTTCTCAGTAACTCGGTAATCAAATTGACTCAAGGATCATCGATAATTGGCCGTTCAGACCAATTCGACCATTCGATCTTGCCATAGATGAGCGAAGATATGACCCATTGGGGGTGGTCTGGGTGTGGTGTCCGTAGTGGGTGGTGTCCTGTGGTATCGATGGGTGCGAAATGGAGTGGCGCTTCTCCTTGGGGATAGGAAAGAAGATCGAGTCAGGATCCGGAGTGCAGTCTAAGTAAACTGACAACCTACATGAGCTTATAACATACTCTCTTCCCGTATGTTTCCTCATATCTTGCGATGATCAACTAACGTCCTTTAAACATTTCATTCAGACATATGCAAGAGAAAAACGTTGGCACTCATCTAGCTATAGGCTTGAAGTTTCACCAACGATCGGTTCCAAGTGTGGCGAGATGCGAATAGTAATCACAAGGTAAGATGGTGGCTGATTGCGAGTGCGAAGTAGGGTGACTTGCTTCTTATTTAGTCGTGCGCGATTCTGAGAATTCAATTAATGAGATCGGAATGAATGTCCACGCGAAATGTGAGAACGCGGTAGTGGTTTCCCAAATCCTGACTTTGGCTTGAAATCTTCTGGAGACGAGGAAGGGAATTTTGCCTTGAGGAGAGAAGTAGTCAACGTCTTTGCTAACCGTAGGCGTAGAATCATGGACGTTTAATTGTTGCCGGTGTTGGTCGTAGTTGCATTGTCGAAGGCAGATTGAATGTCCAATGTTCTGGGTCATATATGCCGACCTAAATCAGAATCCGATATAGTGCAGATCGACGAACAGATACTTGCAGAAACTGAGATAGATAATATCGAAAGATAGATGATAGTGATTGGACGTGAGCTAAGAACGATCTGCTTCCAGATTATCATTGGTCAATGGCTATGGGAGTTTCGTCGGAGGAAATGGATTCGTTTGGTAGGGCATTGAGATAAATTAGAGGCTTTCGAAGAGGAAAGATGGAAACCGCCATGTACATGTACAGTGATTTACTACAGCAACTAGCGAAGACGTCGTTGAAAGACGAGTACGGAGCGCGAAGGGAGGTGATTATCAGCGATCTGCTGTTAAAATAGAATTCCAAGTAGAACAAGGGGGCAATGTCTTGCAGTGCACGGGATTCGAAAATCTTCGATGAATGAGCACAGGGTCCAAGCATTGACTCCGGATGACAGCCTATTGATCCCGGGAAGCATGAATCATGTATCTGCAAATGATTTCTGAATGAATCAAGGGAATGGAAAGCGTGTAGTATGTCTGGCACTGTGGCACAACGGCACGACCAGAACACGAGTTTCTGAACCTAGTTTGAGCTATGAAAAATAGATGCGGGCCGTCGATTGACTATCCGAAAAAGGAACCCAAAGGAGATGAGGCGTTAAGTAGCAGGGGTGAACGTGAGCCTATCCTCCTATGACCGACTTGGGAATTCCCGTGGGTCACAGAACGTTTTTCCTTGGGGAAAGTTCTGATTCTGTCTGGAAAGCTGTTTCCGAGGAAATATCCCTGACTTTACGCAGGCAGGGTCTGTTAGACGGCGCCGGTATGAGTTAGGCAGTGTCATCGCAAAGGACTAGCAGTGACGCTGAGTAGGAAATAAAATGAACAAAAAAATGAATCAGTGTTCATGTGGCAAAGCAGTGAGGAAACTTTTTTAATGAAGAGGCAGCTGAAGGCAGTGAGCACCAAGGCGGCGCGGCGCTTGTACCAAATGGAGATGAAAGCCGACATTAGCGCCCGTAGCCGTATGTAGAACACGAGGTACAGTCTGATTCGGGGTGACGCTTGCGGCGTTTCCGAATTACGGGTTGCTTTATAACCCCCACCTCAATTCGCGACATCCTTTCTGACTTTAAACTGCAATTTGTGGCTCAGCCCCCCATTGCCCCACAATCATCTACTACAATTTCCCTACCATTCCTCTCCTCATATTTCAATACTGCCCCTCCTCCAGACGGCCGCCTGGATTATAGCAGTTTCCCTGCGAATTATACTGGGCAAACTGACTTGGGGAATTACTGGGTAAACAACAAATACTGCGAAACTCCGCCCTAGTCCACAGAACAGGACAGAATATACCATATTTTCCACAATCACCCCGAGTTACACAGTATGGACACTATTCGTTCGCTAGTACAACCGCTCGTTGGGCCGTCTACTGCTTCCTCTGCAGGAATGATAGATGGTATGAAGCTTGTTGTTCTTGGAGGAACTGTCGCAACTGCGAGAAAAATGGGCAGTAGAGCTTGGTTAGTTTGGCTTACGCGTATACTTGAACCTCAGTGCTAACTTACAATATAGGAATCACTTTGTGAACTGTGAGCATCATTCATAATACGTTGCAGCTGCCTATCCGGCGTCGCAACTGCGCACCGCAGCTTCCCTGCTTTCTACATGCCTTTGTCGTGCAATCCATATTACTGACTGAACTATCAATTAGCATTCTTCTTGACGGCACACTTCTCCGAAGATGATTATCCATACGATTGGCTCATGCTCTGGCTATCTCGGCGACCTGAATGGCAACGGTCACGCGAATTTGAGACCACGACACGCCTGGCAACGCCACTCTCCGGTGGCTCAAATTCGTCTTCCAGTAGAACAGCCGACAACTCTTTTGGGGACGAGGACTACAGAGAGTGGTGGGCAGAAGATCCAGCTGAAGAGCAACCACAAGTGTATAGTTATGATGGTGACGACGTGCCTGGTAAAGTCAAGACGCGGGTAGTGTTTCAGCCAACATTCGACACTACACATACGATTTATTACAGAGGGCACTGGTTAAGAGTGAGGAGATGGAGGAAAGGTGATAATATGGGCAGTAAGCCCAAATCTCTCTGTTTCTATAGTATTGAGTCTAACAAAGTAATTCTTTTTTCCAGATAATGGAGGCTGGGGAGGCAGTTATGGATATAGCTCTGGCGGAGGAGGAGAGATGTTGAGTGTTAGGTATTTTCGTGTTCCCGAATCTCTGATTTCTGTGTTAATCAAAGCATCTTCGTAGTGTTGTTGCTAGATCCAACACCATTCTCAAGCAACTCGTATTGCAAGCTAAGCGTGAATATGAAGCAGAAGCTATCCATCGCATTCAAATTTACTTTGCCGATTCTCATGGAGGCTGGAGGTTGTTTTCTTTCCCATCTATCTGACACCGGTAACTCAATATTGGTCTCATAGGTGGACAGATTCCCGTCACAAGCGCCCCATGAGCAGTATTGTCCTAAATCCTGGTTACAAAGAAATGCTTTTAAGCGACACTAAGGATTTTTTGAACAGCGAGAAGGTATACCTAAACTCCTAACAACTCTGTCTTATCTTATTTTTTTCCTGGTAGTGGTATGCAGATCGTGGTATCCCATTTCGTAGAGGTTACCTTTTGCATGGTGTACCTGGCTCAGGGAAGTCTTCTCTTATACACGCCATCGTAAGAGTTCTCTCTGTATGTTGATCACAATCATCGACTTACTTCCCAATCATAGGCTGGGGAACTCATGCTTGATATATACGCCTTGTCGCTTTCTGCTGCCTGGATCAACGATGCAACACTCACTACCCTCATGGGTCGCGTTCCCGCGCGTTGTATTGTTCTCCTTGAAGACCTTGACGCTGCGTTTACCCGAAGTACCGGACGCCGTTCCAAGAAGGATAAGAAGCGCAAGGACAAGAAGGACAAGAAAGATAAGAAGTCGAAGGACAAGTCGAAGTCTGACTCCAATAATAACGGCTCTGGCACCACCACCGGGATAAATTCTGGGTCATCTTCGAGGAGGCGCAGAACTGGTACTTCCGGGATCAACGGAGGCGCGAACACTACTGACGCTCTGAGCGAAGTGAACACCCTCAGTTTGAGTGGTTTGCTAAACGCCCTTGATGGAGTCGCTGCGGCAGAAGGAAGATTGCTTTTTGCGTAAGTGCTTTTTCGTCTACTAAAGGCTTCTTGTTTAATGGGTGTTCCCCCTATTAGGACGACGAATCATCTGGACCATCTTGACCCTGCCCTTTCGCGTCCTGGACGAATGGATGTCTGGATTGACTTTAAGAATGCCAGTAAATGGCAGGCAGAAGCTCTTTTCAGAAACTTCTTTCCAAGTTGCGAGGAGGATTCGAGCTCTGGGGATCAGGAAAAGAAGGCTTCCAGAGCATCAACGCCGACGCCCGTGTCACCCTCGTCGTCATTGCCTTCCCTTAGGTCTTCGTTCTCATCTCCATCTCCATCTTATCGCCAGTCCCGTGCTAGCTCGACAAGCCCTGCAGAACCAACCGACGACGGTACCATCACTCTAGATCCTGGCTCACTTCCTCCATCCGCTCCAGAGCTTTCTGCCGAAGAAGAAGCCGAATTTGCTGCGATGGGTCTTGTCCTACCTGATGTTCCCCGCTCTGCTTCAACGCCAGAGGGTGACGTCGAAAACCTCGGCGCAGAAGGATCGGGACAGAGTTCGAGACCGAGTACAGCATCATCTGGCGTTGGATCTTGGGTTGGAATGCCTACAGGGCTATCGTCTTCAATGGCCAATTCTCCCAAGGTGACTGAGGTGTCGACTCGACATACCGCAGCGTCAAATGGGACTTGGAGTCCATCTCCCAGTCTTTCCTCGTTGAGCTCCATTGGATCTGCTGTCTGGAGTATGCCAACGTTCATGAGTTCTACTGCAAGTCTCGTCACAGGTGCGGTCGGAGCAGTAACTGGATCTTCACCCCGTTCCCCCGCAGCATCGTCTCCATCATTGCCTCGAGCCACTTCCTCCACCTCGCCTCAACGTCAACCTCAGTCTAAGACGCCACGGCAACACACGCATTCCCCTGCTCCTCTTTCTCCATCAGTCTTGTCCAAGCTGGCGCAAGAATTTGCGCAGAAAGTTCCGGACGAAGAATTCAGTGTGGCTGCGCTGCAAGGGTATTTGTTGCGGAATAAGAGTCGACCTGAGGAAGCTGTCAAGGGAGTCGAAGCGTGGGTAGAAGAAGAAAGACGCAATAAGGAGAAGCAGAAGGGCGGAAAAGGCAAAGGCAAGGGTTCTGAGGAAGAACGGAAGAAGAGAAGAGAGCAGAGAAAGGAGAGAAGGGAGAAGAAGAAGAAAGGTAGCGCGCAAAGTAATCCAGTATCTGCTGCTGTTTCTGTTAATACGAACCAGCCTTCTGATCCACCGAGTGCTCCTCCCACCGACTCTATGATCCTCATGCCGCTCGCTCAATCTGATCCAGTATCTGCACCTCCTGTGGTCCTTTCGCCGACTATAATGGCCCAGCCCCTTCCCGTCATTCCTATTCAGAAAGCAGTCCCACCTGAATCTGAAGCGAGCACGAAGAAGATTAAGTCAAAGAGCAAGTCGAAGTCACGGAAGAGCAAATCCGCTAGCAAATCCGATGATAATGACGGCTCGGATAGTGATTCTTCCTCTTCTTCGAGCACCGACAGCGAGTCTAGCTCTAATTCTGACTCTGACAGTGACTCGAGCAGCGATTCTAGTAGCGATGATGACGATGAGAACACCGATCCTCGTCCTCGACAGAGCACGACTTCTATGGCGAGGTCTCCACCATCGCCTCCTATACCGTCATACGACTGGTCTGTCGAACCCGCAGCTTGGGAAGCCACCCCTGCAAATGGTGGCTGGGGGAAAGGCTGGTGACTTACCACGGTTCTAGGTCGGATTGAGAACGCTGAGAGAAGGGAAGAAATCATCAAGGACCAGAGTATGTTGACTCCATCACATAACGAAAGTGTGGCTATGGACGCAAATTCACAAGATGGAGACGAAGAAACACGATGTTCCAATTGGAAATCTCCTGGTGAGATTTCCGACCTCATATCTACGGAGGATAAACCACCTCTCGTAGATGGTCATTCAGAGTATGAGTTACTCTCGCCGAACGCTATTGATAGAAGTCAGGTTAGAAACCTTGCCTCATTTACTTCCTCTGCATATGCCTTACAAATGATGCTGCAAGCACATATATATGCTGTCGCGGTCTACTCTTGTCTACTTCATCTTTATGCTTCGATTTTATTGTGGTTCTCTGGTTCAGATCGATTTTCTTGACCTAGTTGAACACAGATAATGCCCTTATGTGCTTCTTCTCTTCTTGGGTATTGTTGGTAACTAACTGTCTACACCAAAGCTGTACTTCACTCCCATTATTACTGGAATGCATTGAAATTAAGAATATCATACAGTATAATTACTTGCTTGAAGACAATGTTTGAGAGCAATAACTACCTTTGTCAGTCCGTTGCTTAAGTTAAATTAGACTTGTACATCTTCACCTGCCAAAACCAATGCTCATCTGGCTTGACCCAGTCCTTGTCTGGAATCTGGTGAAATTCAAGTATTGTCGGAACCGGATTCTTCTTGTCCATTAAGAGCAGAACCATCATACGATTCCTCACCGCCATTTCAAGCCTTTCCTCCTAAGAAATATGACGTTTTGAGTCAGTGTTCCTGCCGGAGGCAATAAAGAAGATGAGGTTTACAGTGAGTCCCATCTTTTTTGCGAGAGCCATTGGAACTGGATCGACAGATTGTAAAGACAGCGAATCGACGTCATTTGGGTCTTGACCTCGCCTTTCGAAAGCAAACCAAACAGCGAATTTTGCGGGAGAGTATTTGGAGAGATGACCGTTGTAAATCTCGAGACAATGAAAAGCCTATGGAGCGGGGCCTCAAAAATGGTTCGGCAAACGAAGAAGAGCAGCTCTCACCGCATATTCCACCGCATTATTGTTCTTCCGGTACCATTGCTTCAGTGTGTATGGATTCAAATATTCTCGTCCTTCGCTTGAAGCCTTGGCCGCTTCCTCGTTGATTTGACGCATTTGTATGCAAATGGGCTTATGTTCAGGCCATCGTACTCTAGGAGCGCTTGGGTGAGTATTCAATAGTGAAAAGGAAATATAAGGCATACTTTTGACATTGCTTACTGCGACGAGGAGCAGAGATTAGACAATAACAGCCCCTGATTTTTTCAGCGACAAACCTGCAATATTTCGAACCCTTGCATGCAGAGCATATCGCAAAATCTTTTTCACCAGGAAACTTGCCACATGCTTCACAGACCTGCCTAAGGGGAGCACTAGATGGAATGGCATTCAACAACCGGTCTTTGGACATCACTATCGGTTGACCCAGGGCATTGCTCGTAAGGACGACGGAGTCATTAGGTATTTGTGATGGTTTGAGATATTTTGAGCTTCTGATGAGAAATCCGGAGATTTTACCACTTACATCGATAGCGAACGCAGTGCCAAAAGAGTCATCCATTTCTTGATGGTGGAGGAAAAGATAAGAAATGTGTCAGGTGATCGATATTAGATATTTATAAAGTGCTATTGGTATCAAATGTTCGTGTTCATAGATTGAACCTCATCAGAGGAATCACACCTCCGACGCTTATATCCTGGCGGAGGTTTTCTTTACGACCCGAAGCGCAATACAATGTATTCAGCACTATTCAACAGCTTCATCTCTCTATTGCCTCTGAAGTATTTCGAAAGTCTTTGCTTCTCCCGCTACATGTCGGGTGTACTGATGTATAGCAGTGCGACGGGTTGGCGACCCAAAATCCCACTCTTTGTTGTCGATCTGACGTTCGATGTGGAATCCATCATTCTTTTTGCGGAAAGCAAAACGTACTTCGATTGGGGGTCTTTCAAAAAGTGGCCTTGGCTGACCAAACCACCCATACACCACTACAAGTACAGTCTGGAGCGTCTGGTGTTGGTTGAGTGCTTCCCGAATTTTGAGCGTGAGTTTGCGTCCTGACGATTCTGCAAATCTATGGAGGTCCGCGTGCCTTAACGTCTCGTCATGTTGATTCTTAAAAAAACCACAGAATCCCTGCACTGTGAGTATCTTCAAATGCTCAAGTCCTGAAAGGTTTCTAAGAACGAGCATACTCTCCAGAAGTGTAGCCTGTGAATGTAGCAACGATACACATGTCGTTAGAACGACTATGTATATATTGAAGGAAGGGGAACACTGACCGTTGCGCTCTGATTGAATGTACATTGAAGGTGAGTTAGATTCGGACAAGCTTCTACGATGGTGTGAATATCATATGAACAGATCCCTTCAACAAAGAGCTGATGGTGACGAGTGTCCTTTACGATTAGTCGGCGAATTGTAGCTGTTTGCCTCAGATCCCTATAGAGCTCGTCTCTTTCCACCACTTCGTTGGATCTTCTGTCAATTAAGACCACCAGTGACTCTAGTGGTCGTCTACCATTTTTACACAACTTCCCCGCCTCTGGTAGATACCCACTGAATCGTGTCAACTTTGGGACTATGTCTTGATTTTCAGTAAAGGACATCTCATGGAGACAGTGATAAGCTAATTCTCTAATATCTCGGTGGCGTTGAATGAAGGTCGTGATATCGAGCGCTCGGGTGTGTTCCACGGACTGGGAGAAGCTTCTTCTGTCAGTAAGCGAAAACACCTCAAGCGATGGGAAGGTAAAAGCTCTATCATCGAATTGGGCTTGAAGATCATGGAAAGGCTTTCTCTGCCCGCCGGGAACTTCGATGCAAAGTTTAGTCAAATTACCGCAACGTTCGCCAACTTGGTTTAGAAACTTGGAGAATGAGCGAGGATCTGCTGCGGTTGGACCATCAACTATAGAGAATACAAAGGTTTTGATCAAGTTACCTTCGTCGTCCAAGGGCCTGTGGAACTCAATAGATCGTAGTGAAGGACCGAGGGCCATTTTCTGAGCCACGTGAAAGCTGAGTACATACAATAATATCTCCGAAGCATGGGAATGATACGAACCAGTTTAGCCAGACTCTGCCTAAAATCGTTTACCGGAAAACAGCAGCGGATAGAAAGCTGCTGGAGAGACCCAAAAAGCTCCTTGCCCTCATCTATATTCCCAATAAGTTTTGCAAAACTTGTTGTCCCGATGTGTAAATCAATTGTCAATGACCGTAATGCTGCCTTCCCGCCATATAGGGAGATATTGTGCAATGCTCGTGGCATGTGTTCTTGCACGATACGGGTAAGCTTGACTTCTTTTCGATGTGCTTCTGGGTCCCCCAAGTCCTCGTGTGGAATCCATATGTCCAGATGTCTGACAAAGGCAGCTGGATGTGTGTCTCGGAGAGGGTATCTTTCATTCTGAGCTGTAGCAAGCGTAATCAATCCCTTTACCTTGTCGACGGATTGAAATAACTCGGGGGTGTAGGCAATATGGATATTTTGAGATACGAAGGTTAACGCTAATAAAGTTTGGGTATCCGTGATTTCTTCTGCAACAAGGTGGTGCAGCTCCGGGGGAAGGTCATTGAAGCCGATAGCATGATGAACCATGGCAAGCTGCTTGGAAGGAATGCGAGGAGAATATTAGGTAACCCCCGGGTCACAGGGATATCGGTCTCTCACAATCTGACGAAATTCGTGGCAAGTACTGAATGGTAAGTTGGGGAGCTGTTTGTTATGGAGCTGAGAGAAACCCCTCAGCAAGCAGCTCTTATAGCGATTTCGATGTTTTATCAGATGATAAAGAGAATTCTGCATGCCCATGTCGACCATCATTGATTTCAACAGCAATAATTACAGGATGGAAACAGCAGTTAAGAACGACTGTATTTTTTCCAAGAAAAGCAAACTATTACGGTCCTTTGTTCTTGAAATAGACAATGAAGAAAACACAAGGCAGTCTTGGAATGGTTAAATGCTTCAGATGAGTCAAGGTGATTATACATTGAATCGCAATGAGGAGGGTGTGTTTGGGGTGTGAGAAAAAGAGTCAGAAGGATTCAGTAGCGTCCCCCTAATATATTCGCGTGAACAGACATGAACAGACAAAGCAGAGGCCACGAGTATCATGGTTCCATCTGTACAAATGACCTACATATGTCAAAATCATAGGCTAGCATCAAAGAATGCCGACATGCATACCTTGAACAGCCTTCAAGAAGAGGCATCTCAAGTATTCGAAAGAACGAGGGTCCCCATGCTGTGACTTTCGTCTACTGTTTTAGCACAGGAACTTTCTTGGAACGTTTCAATCTCTGTTATAAGTGAGTTCTCGTTATGAACGAGAATGATTACCGCAATGGGATAACATGCCTAGTGAACTTGGAATTAGTAAAGCATGGAGGTAGGATGGAATGTACGCACCGCCGCAACGATGGACATGGCAGTGATAACGTTCATGGCTTGCGAGAAGCCAATGTCCACAACAGTATACACATCCAATAATATGAATACAGCATACACTGATTGTATTCCACAATATATGGCTCCGGACTCAATCAAGAGCAGGAGTATGCTCTCGGAGCGTGTTCTTTTACGAATAGACACCGCTGCCATGAAGCGATGATGATTCCTAGGGATTGATGGTCAGGAAAGAAGATACATAGATAGATAACGGCTTACCAGGCTTTGAATGCTATGAGAAAGGTCGCAAAAATATTAACAGTCAAGGATATTATGCTCGAGAGCCAGTCAAGAGTAGTGGAGCTTGCGATCTCGACACTGAGTTCGATGTTACCCCAGATACAATCAGCGACATTGACGCCTGCAGTGCCGAATAAGTACTATGTACTGTCTAAGTCTCACAAGTTCCAGCTACGCACCTATGTTGGCTATCATGAGAACCGCTAGAGAGATCTTCCAGAATTTTTCGTCTTGGAATAATATCCACGCTCTCCAAACAACGATGCAATCGCTCAAGAGAAGCTAGAAAGATATTTTCAGCTTCGGATAACATGGTGGTATCATATTGTTACGAGGAGCTTGAAAGGGTACTAACGTTCACCGTTGCAGCCCACGACGGCATATATTGCCATACCAAGGTCTTCCGATCGGCCGCTTCTATTTGAGCCACCAGGCCCTCTGGTGAGGTTTTCACAAACGTATACCGGATATCGGTCACGTTGAATCCTCCAGAGTAGAAGACGTCCCAAGTGAAGCAAGTGAACATTACGAGCAGACAAACAAGTAGGATGGTCTGTGAACGTCCCCAGGTTCTTCTCCTGTTGAAATATTGTCAAAAATATTTGATCAGAGCTCTGGTGTTGGAGTTTACACACCTGAGAGATACAACGGCAATAATCGTTCCCAAAACAAATGCTCCTGAGAAGAATCAAGATTCGTGTGTACTTGTGCTTTCCCCGCGACGAAATCCACGCACCATACCCAGTGACAGTTACTATCAGATTGACGGTGTTGAAGAACACGATTTGGGCTACGGAGAACACCGCCTCTTGCTCGTCGGGAGTCATTCCGAGTAGCAGAATAAGAGTAGGCACCAGCAGTGAGACGGAGGGAGGGTAAAGTCAAAAAAAGAACGGAGATTTATATCATCCGCGTACTTCTAAATTAGTCTTAGCGTCAGGATAAGCTAGGATTAGCTTTGTTTACCGTTTTTGGTGAGGACCCATCACACGGTGGATTGTCGTATAGTTAATTCGCTGTCATTACACAAATCTCAGCAGAAGAGCATAGATAGGATCCGTCCATCTTATATGCAGTGAGAAGCAGTGAGCAGGAGTGTTATGGGCGTTGAATAAACGAGACCACCTTGGAGTGGAGAGCGATACGTCGCCTTTTTTCGTGCCTCTTGATCAGAGAATCAAACCATCAATCAACAACACGAACCAGCCACAGGACTCAGGAGGTCTCAGATCAAAGGGTATCCGTCAATCCCTGAGCCTAAGGGAGAATGGAAACAGGATTATTTCGTACCGAGCGTGACGCGTGAAGCCCTGTGAAGCCCCGTGGTTGTCTACACAGTGGGTTCTTTGGACTTATGCTCCCGAAAATGCAAGCTTGATATTCAAGCTCAAGTCCCCATCTAGAGTCGGAATCTAGCGGCGAAAACAGTTATTTAAATCATATTAAACAAACTGGTAAATCTCCTCCCGTGAGCATGACGCTTGTCCTAAAGCTTGGAAACAAAGCTATCCGTAGAGGATGTTCATCGAGATGTCAGATTATATATTATAACGGTACAGAAAATACATACGATCATTTTTGCTCAATACACATAGTAAAGGCGCAAAAATAACCTCTACGCTCGGTGATGTTTTCGACAGAAGGCATCATGGAAAGATAATCGTATCATGAGCAGATCTTTCTCGCACTTGGATTCGGTTCGGCTGAAAGAGGCGCAGGAGTCACTAGTCAAAGTCAGATTAGAGTTTGGCTTGGTGAGCCCGAATTCCGAGGACACGTTCCTGACAAAATGACACATTTTCTTTCTTTCTCTTTCTCTTCCATTCTCTTTCCTCTCTACAAGAGGACGGACCTATTCACATACTTCTCTCGCGCGCTCAACAGACCTTCATGGCCTTGAATTGTTGTCCTCCCACGACACTCCTCGTTCGTTCAGTCATCAAATGAGACTTCTCAACTTCTGGTAGACCCCTTGGAGAAATTTCTGGTGGATTTTGCTAGCGATAATGGGCATAAGTAAGTTTTCCCGTATGATTGGGTGGCCGAGACGGTCGTAGATTGTAAATCTCGATTCGCTATTTCACTGAGGGTTCCAACCTGATTGTTGCTTGCTTGGCACAGTTTTAGCCCATCGCTCTCTGAAAAATTGCAATTGTGCTTCGATAGTCACTAGAGGATGCAATTCCAGAGTACCACCCGACCACCAAGATTAAAACGCCGCCCCGAGCCATCACCCTCCCCCGAAGCGACCTGCCATCTAACGACGAATGGATGTGACTTTTGACACCCGTATCTACGCCAGTTTCATCGCCGGCGTTTTCAGCAGTCGATCAAACAATACATCTGGTCAGCATATGTCGGACTTTATTCTCAAGGCTCACATGTTATAACGAACTCAGGATGTTATTTTGAACGACCGGACAAGGTGTACGTGTGGCTGGCTAGCGGTGGGCGGGCCAGTAGACAGGCCATGGTCTGAGCGGACCTCAGTATTCCTACTTGGGAAAGACTCTCGGCGAGTGTGAACCAGGTCCTTTCATTCGCTTGCAGTTCTTCTTACTCTACATATTTACAGACTTGACTATGGATGATTTTCGCGGATAGTAGAGACTATTCGGATTAACAACATTGGTATTATCCATGCTTGATAACGCGATCCCAATTTTCAGTTCATTTTGTACTGGATTTTTCCAGTCCTTGTTTCGACACTTTCGAGCCAATTCGCGTCGATAAGCAGCTCAAAGGCTGCAGCTATCATGATCATCTACTTCCCCAGGCTCAGTTGTCTGATTGTGATACAACATGTCTATTAATGCAATGGGTGAGGTCGCTGTGTTCATGAGTATGATGACTGCAATGGGATAACATCAGGCCTAGGTGTAAGTCGTACTTAGTGAAATGGTACATACGGATGAGACAAAAAAATGTGGCAGTAATAACATCCATAGCTGGTGAAAAAAGTCTCCAAAGCTTATCATGTTGGAATAGTTTTATCACGCTCCCTGTAACGAGAAAATCGCTCAAGAGCAGCTACAGTTCTAGATAATGGGTGGAGATGCAAGGGTATATTATATATTCTGAAAGGAATACTTCGAAGAGAGGTTTACTTCTCACATTAACTGTAGCAGTCCATTTCCACCCCGGCATGTATCGCCATGCCATGGTTTTCATCAAATCAGTGAATTGACCTCCAGCATCGTCAGTTGAATCAACAAGCATTGCTGTAGCAGTGTCTGGGAAGGACTGCCATTAAACATGGATCGGATAACAGTAAGATTGAATCCACAAAAGTAGATGGTGTCCGTTGTGCAGCAAAGGAAGACCATGAACAAGACCTTGAAGACAAGCACGTTGGTCACTGAACTGCTGCTCATGGATAATTTTCTAGTGGTTACCTCATGAATAGAACTTTGTAGGAGGGTCTGTTTCACATACATACCTTAGAAACACAACAGCAATGCTTATTGTTATTTTGCATGCAAGGTTTTTGTTCACATACCATATCCCGTGAGAGTAATTATCATACTGACTGTTGAAGAATGCGATTTGGCCAGAGGAGGATATCAGCTCTTGCTCGATGGGAGTCATTTTGTTCTCAGCAACGTCCAAAAGCAAGAAAACTTTCAGAGGAGTGATTCTATTTATATTAGTGAACGGATACTAGTAACTATACATCACCTTCTATATGTCCTAATTGAATCAGCAATGGATTACATTAATGTTGCTCTAGTTGCTCAAATTTATGAAAGATAGCTACTCGTTATCCATTACATCAGCCTTGGAAAGGGGATAGTTAAACAGTACAGAAGGCAATGGTCACAATCAATTTACTTTCATTCAAAATGTGAATCTGATATGATGGCCTCTACCTCATCTTTGAAAGCTTGTGGAAAATTCACAAAAAGCAGCGACGTATATAACGCAAACTGTGTTGAGCAGGCAAGGAGTGCGTAGTGGGAACACTCTCCAGTACCATACCTGGTAGTAGAGCTTAGTGTCTTAGTGAGGCAATAAAAGTAAGAGAGAAGCGAGTTGGATTCCAGTACAGGATATGGCCTGTTTATATACATAACTGTATGACAGTATTACATAAGGAAGTACAGAGGAATCCGCATATAGTAAATGACTAAATATGACTACATATGACATATAACACATGATCATAATAGTGGCATGTGAACAGCATAGCCGCATTCAACACACCCCCTTGCTGAGCAGCACAGTAAAGTACTTTGCTCAAAGCAATAGCGGTAGGCATCAAACAGGACAGACAGCCTAAGGATTGGTGGACGAGTAGAACTCAAGTCCAAGCATTGAGCGGAATAGCTCAAATTTGATGTGCCCAAGATTCTTTGTGAAAAGATCTGCAGGGTTGTTACTGCCATCTACGAAGAATACTTGCACAAGGCCACGTTCAACAACTTCACGGATATAATGATATCGGATGTCAATGTGTTTCGAGTGCTTGCTAGTGACAGGATTTGATGCCATGAAAATGGATCCTTGATTATCTCCAGCAATAGGAATAGTGTCAAGCTTATAGCCTAATTCTTCAAGTAGATTACGGATCCAAACCACTTGACGGCTGCAATCAGACAATGCCATATACTCAGCCTCTGTAGACGAGTGAGCGATTGTCTTCTGCGCATGGTTGGTCCAAGAGAAGATGCCATTGGCAAGCTTCATGAAAAATCCAGTCTGTGACCGGCGTGTATAGGGATCGGAAGCCCAATCCGAATCAGTCCAAGCGCTGAGACCGATACCCGATTCACCATCATAGCAAAGTGCATATGATCTAGTACCTAGGAGGTAGCAGCAAATATAGAGTGCCTTGTTAAGGTGCTCTTGAGATGGGTTAGCTGCATGTTGTGCAAGCTTGGTAACAGCAAAGGAGATGTCGGGACGTGTGCCCAACATAAGGTAGAGAAGGGAACCAATAACCATTTGGAACTTGCTACGAAGAGCGGAATTCGATTGGCCTTTGGTGGGTTCGGGTTGGAACCCTGCAGGAAGTGGTGTATCAGCCATTTTAGCATTTTCCATACCGCAACGCTTAAGGACTTTGTCAAGGTAGGCGCATTGATCAGTATAGATCTTTTTGCCACGACGATTAATCCGCATGCGAAGGAATTCTTTGGCTTCACCAAGATCTCTGCATTCCCAATGTGACATGAATTTCCCTTTAAGGGAATCTACGAGTTTCTTGTCAGGTCCAGCAAAGAGTGCGTCATCAACGTAGATGATGGCGATGACTAAAGAGCCATCTTTTCCTCGTCGGACAAAGATACCTGCATCAGAGCTCAGGCGTTTGAAGCCGAGTGTTTTCATGTATGAGTCCAGTGTTCGCCACCAGACAAGACCTGCTTGTTTCAGTCCATACAGAGCTTTGCGCAGTAAGAGGACTTTGTCCTCTTTGCCTTTGATTCGAAAACCTTCAGGCTGTTCCATGTAGATAGTCTCATGTAAGACGCCATATAGATAGGCATTTCGAACATCGAGTCCAGTGAGATACCAGTTGTTCAGCGCAGTCAAGGCGAGCAACAGTCTAACAGTCTCAAACCGTACTACAGGAGAGAAGACTTGGTCATAATCAAGACCTTCAATTTGTGAGAACCCTTTGACAACAAGGCGTGCCTTCTTACGACCATCAGATTTGATGTCGAAGACCCAGCGGTTCTTAATGACCTTTCGGTCTGCTGGATGATCCATGAGTTCAAAAGTACCACGCCGTTTGAGCGCTTCAAGCTCTTCTTGGCAGGCCTTAAGCCATTCCTCACGCTCAGCCTTAGGTAGGCGAGTAATGTCCTTGTAAGTCCATTCACGGACGTTCTCAGAGCTTTTCAGCTCCCCCTCAAAGGGAATGGCCTTAGCCATGAGAAAATATATTAATTCAGCTCCCCCTTCCCGACATAGTCTGATCAGGGTATTAGCTTCGTCACCGGGAGTGACAGAGGGTTGTTCTCCATTTTCAGGAGTAGGATGCTCAGTACTAGGTCCGGGAACCTGTTCTGGCTCAGGGCGTTCTTGCTCAGCTGAGGAGCTACCTGGCTGTGGAGCTTTAGCGCGTCTCTGAATATCCCTCATTGGTCTCTCTACCTGTTGTTCTGTAGGAAGCTTACTGCTGCTTCTAGGGTCACCGGTAAGACGAGTAGGTGGTCTCCGCACACGACCTGAACGTCTCAACTGTTCTTCAGCAGGAGGTTGTTCATTCCGGGGTTGTGGCGGCGGACTAGGATCTTGTGCTGGCTGTTCAGCTGGCACAGGCGGTGCAACATCTTGCTCCGGATCCTGTCTCATTTGGGGAGTGGTAGGTTGATGAAAGATGGGAACATCATCATCACCAGGTGGAGGAATAGGATCTTTAGGATCTGGGTTGCGATCTGGTAGTCGCGTAGAGCGATGACGCTCTGAGGATTTACAACAAGGAAATAATTTCTCGTCAAACACTGCATGCGTAGCAGTGAACATTGCATTGTTCGACCGCATGTAGATATTTCCGTGTCCACCGTCAGAAACTCCGAGATATGTCATTAGTTCTGACCTAGGCGATTGTTTGTTTGTCCGTACTTCTTCATGAAGATAGACATACGCGCCACAGCCAAAGACACGCAAGTGATCTATGCGTGGAACTTTGTTGTACAAAATCTCATATGGTGTCTTCCATTTGTGACGATGCATAGGAGTGCGGTTATACACATGCACAGCGTGTGCAACAGAGAATTCCCACCAGGAATCAGGAATACAGGCTTGAAAGCACTGTGGTTCACTTTTCTCAATAATAGTCCGGATAAACCTTTCGGCTCTTCCGTTCTGCTGGTGGATATGAGGAGATGACCATTGTGCTTTGATACCTTCGTTCTTAAAGAACTCATCAAGTGCATTGGATCTAAATTCTCCACCACCATCAGACATCCATTCCTTGACGTTAGTCTCGTATAGATTTTTGACTGTGGCAATAAATTGCTTTATCACCGGAAGAGATCCGCTCTTCTTTTTTAAGTGGCAGTAGAACCCATGCGAAGTATAGTCATCTATGAAGAAGATCGTATACTTGTACTTGTGGTACGAAATGGTAGGCCATTCTTTGAGGTCTGAGTGAATAATCTCGAAGGGACGTGATGCCCGACGATTAGTTGGCGGAAATGGACGTAAAGTCATCTTTCCCTTGGCACAACCTTCACAGAGATCTTCCTCATGGGGAATGCTAAAGGTGGGAACACCTTCTGCATGTTTCCTCAGTTGAGTGAGTGCTTCGCGCGATGGATGACCCATACGGCGATGCATGGTAGTGTAGTCCACTGAGTGGATCACTAAATTTACAGCCATAGGCTGTGGTGAATAATCTTTGAGAATGTAGATTGTATTGCTGTGAGTTCTTGGTTCAAATGACAGGAATAAACCGTCGTTGTCCCAGAAGTCAACTTTGTCTGCGTTGCCGCAAACAGTTTTGCCATCTTGTAGGAAGCGTCCTTGTGCTATAAGGCGATGACTCAACTCCTTCATATAGAATACTGGAGCGATTCTTGCCAAATGCATGCAACCTCTTACATCCTTGAAATTTATCAAGACAGTCCCAACGCCAGTAATGTAGGCAGTTGTGGTTGCAGTTGCTATGAGCACTTTTTCCTCAAGGTCTTCATACTCAATGAAGTCACTCAAGTCAAAGGTAGTGTGTTCAGAACAACCAGAGTCATTCATCCACCATTTAGGTTGATTTCTCTGTTTACCCTTACACTTCTTGCACACAGAGTATGAAACGTCATGTACGCAAAAATGTTCATTGGATATATACTTGGCATCGATACGGTAATTATACAAACGGGACAAGAGATCAGGCTCAAAGGCCGACTTGCATGTCTTCGCCACTGCAACCAATGAAGGTGCGTTAGTATATCCCATATGGTCAAGATCAGAGGAGGGTATTGACCCCATGGTGTCCATGAATCCAGTGATTGCCAAAATTTCATGATCCAAGTCGAAGTTCATCAACTCATCAGGGTCAAAAGAGGCAGTTCCTGGGACCTCAAAGTCCATAGGAGGAGATGGAGGAGGCGGCGTAGGAGCCTTACTGCCATTCTCAACATCATCCACAGGAGACATTGCACGAGTGCGCTTTGTCGGAGGATCAAGTTCATCATCACTGTCCAACTCCGAAATATGCCCAGCTGGCTCAAGGGTGCGAATGACTTCGGCAGTCGCACGGATGCCAATGTCACGGGCACGTTTGATGGCCATCCTTGTCTTCTTATGAAGATGAAGGGACGTAGCATTAGGAGGAGGGTTGTAAGGAGGATGGATGGAGTGCTTGCGCACATCTTGAACAGAAGGAGTAAGATCAGTACGTACCGGACCAAAGTCAACAGTACTGCCAATCGGACTGAAGTCCATAGAGTCTGCATCAGCTTGGGCAGCGTTTGCATTCTTCTTAGCCTTCTTGTTCTTTCCACTGCCACGCTTATGCTTCTTCTTGTTGTCATCATTCCCATTCTGTCCCTTCTGCTGCTGGTTACTACCGTTACCATGCTGCTGTTGGGAGAACTTGGGATCGTTTCCCTTGCGATGAACGTTCGAAAACTTGTTTGCGTTCTGCGGTTGGGAGTTGCCAATGGTGTCTCCGCTGAAAGTGTTCATAACAGCGATACGGACTTTAGCAAAGGTCAATTTCTTGAGCTCTGCAGTCTCAAGCTGAGACATGGTTTGGACAACGACAGAGTAACGTGATGGAAGCTTAGATAGAAGAATCAGAGCTTCGAGGTGGTCAGCAAGACCAATGTCAGCTTCCTCCATACGCGTGAAGTGCATGCCAATCTCCATCATAGAGGACAGTGGATTTTGCTTGTATGGAATTTTGACAGCCATGGCGGCAGCAAAGTCATTAAAGACTGCACCTAGACTCTTGACATTGTAAGTCTTGGCTAGATATTTCCAAAGCTGCTTAGCTGTGTCACTCTCATCCTTAGAAAGGATGCGGATTGACGGAGAAAGGCGGAGGCGGATGTTGCCAATAGCCTTGGTGTCAATCTCCTTCCAGGCTTTGAAAGCAACCTCATAGTTCTTCCAGGCTTCAACACTGGCGGCGTTTGCCGCAACAAGTGGAGATGGTTCACTGGGTTTGTCAGTAGTAATTGCTGAATCAAGTCCTGTAGCCTGAAGGAAGGCTTCCATTTCAGAGGCCCAGGTGTCGTAGTTATCACCTTTGAGGGTGGTGGTAACAGCGGTGAAGAGTGCAGAAGACATTGCGATCTGGATAAAATCAACAGAAAATGTCAGCATGCAATTCATAAACGCTCAAGACAACAGATGGAAACAAAATGGCATGAATGTTATTGCCAGTAGTGACAAGCTGCGACATATGTCTAGCAAGCTGTCATCTACAGTGTCAAGCACTCTTGGGCGATGTCATAATCAGCACTGTTAAGTGCGATATTGACTTCAGCACCAGAGGCGATGTTCCAGGTAAAGGTCTGTGTCAGAGACAGCAATCAAATAGATGCGTCAATGACAACAGTAGACCAGAGACGCTGCGAGCTTAGAGCTCAGCAAAGCGTTCATCTGGGGCCCATAACCTGTTGAGCAGGCAAGGAGTGCGTAGTGGGAACACTCTCCAGTACCATACCTGGTAGTAGAGCTTAGTGTCTTAGTGAGGCAATAAAAGTAAGAGAGAAGCGAGTTGGATTCCAGTACAGGATATGGCCTGTTTATATACATAACTGTATGACAGTATTACATAAGGAAGTACAGAGGAATCCGCATATAGTAAATGACTAAATATGACTACATATGACATATAACACATGATCATAATAGTGGCATGTGAACAGCATAGCCGCGTTCAACAAACTGGTCATAAAGATTTTTACTGTTTTGTAATAACATCTCAGTTGGATACATATAGTGTGCAGGGGAATCTATAGTGGACAGGAGAAAAGGCAGAGATCATCATGAGCAATTGCGGTGAACAAGATATGATGTAAACTCACTGACCTGGCTTGAGGGCGGAGAGTGATGACGTCGCTTTTGCATGTGGAAGAACAAATAAGAATCTCAGCCACGAAAAAGCCACCAAACAGCATCAATCAGCCTACTGAAATGGAACGCATCGTCGGGGTCATGATTGAGGTTGACGAAAACTAAGAAGTGTCTTCCTCCTCCAGGATCTCGCTAGTCTTGTTTTTCCTGCTCTTCTTCCTCCCGATCCACTTTATCTGCCTGAATCTGAAGGCGGTAAGAATGACGACGGTTCTCGTAAACCTGAAACAGGCAAATGGGGAGGGGGTTGAGATTCAGGAAGCTTCTAGCCAAGGTGAACATAATATTGGTCTGGTGGAAACAAGAATAGAATGCAACTGCGTTGTGAATGAACTTGTTCGTGACTCCATTCATAGTAGTTGTGATACCGGGCACCGATGTGAGGAAGAAGCGACCGAAAATTGAGTTCGTTCCATTTCACTATTGACGTTGCAGGTGTTAGTACCGACACTGATGTGGAGGGAGCAGGAGGCGATTGGTTTAATTGTGACATATTCCCCCATGAGAGGAACCTCTCTCTGTTCGACTGTCAATTTGAAAAGGTATAATGACCGAATTCGGCATCGAAGATCCTGCGAAGTCTGAATATCCTACGAGGTCTGAGTATCCTGAGCATCTTGCCAACATGCTCGACCCAGGTCTCGATGACGGCGGGAATTTAATGCCACGTTGAGAAGAGCGTGAATGTGATTGACGATGTGGATGAGGTTCTTCTGCTGAATGACTCTCCGACTTGTTGGGATGCGGATGCGTGAACAACAGCTCCGGTTGTGCTTGAGACTCTGGCTGCGAAGGAATTCCACGCATCCCATGCACAGCAGATATCGATGACCTCGCAGATAGAATAGACATCGTGGACACTGTCCGGAGCAAGGCACTGTATTCCGACTCTGGTAAGTATCCTTCATTGCTGGACTAATCTGGCTCCAGTATATCCAATTGTTGGGGAATATCCGAAAGTAAAACAAGGTCAAGGTCAGCAGCACCACCATCCAGGTCCCGACCACCTCATCCCATCCTCAACACATCCATCTCACTCTCGACCACCTGTAACGCGCTCCGGAGAGCCTTCGTGCTCCTCTCACCTATTCCTTGCGATCTTGTTGCTGTCGTTGGAGCTTCGATTCGGTTTCAGTGTGAAGTTTGCATTCAGTTGCGACCATATTTTTAGAGCAAGGGTAAGTAAGAACACGTGAAAACGAAATTCGGCCAACGAGGAACTTGAAGTGATGCCAAAAGGAAATCAAATATAACAGCGAAAAACCTACCTCCTCGAATAATGCCTGACTTAAGCTCTGTAATTTGGCCTCCAATTTGCTTTCCCTTTCCCTCTCTCTACATCCAGCTCGGCCGTCAGTTTTTCTGAAGCCTTATCCCTTGAGATTTGAGATTTCAAAGTTTCAACATCTCGCCGTAAATCATGAAGACTATTGGCATTGGCAAGGTCGTCTGGTCCTCAAGCGAGACTGCCTCCACCGGTCAGTAGCGAAACACTTGACGACGATTCAGTACGATGTCGTCCCGTGAGATTTCCTATCGTCGGACTCGCGGTATCGTTTCCAATGACAGGAGTTTGCGGACGGCCAGATCTATGTCATCTCATGACTCTAGAGACCATAGAATGCACCCGCCGTTGTATAAGATATTCGAGCATCCTCATATATATCAATAGTTCATTCGAAGAAATATATATATATATCCCCTCCAGAGTCAAGTGATCCCAAGGATCATATGTGAAAGCTATGCTATGATCTAAGTAAGCAGGTGTACACACTTCAATCTCAATCATTGAATCAATTCCGCCACGATTGCACGCATGCTCATGGGTATGATGGTCAGGTTAGTCAAGGCATAAGGTGAGCTGAGGCATAAAATGAATGAAGGAGCAATTGTTTGATATCCAGAGTCGGGTATAGCGGTTATAATGGTGAAAAAATAAAGTGAGTGCATAGAATGAGCTCAAAGTACTAGTCGACCATTTCGTCCGTCTTACCCTCACAATTCAGTCCTGCTGCGCGCTACATAGTCTAGTGTCAAGGAAGAGATGGCTGTGGTTAAATTGAGGGAAGAACATATAGGACACTCTGTACTGGACCTTAGATATATAAGGGCATCGATATTTCACCATCTCACAAGTCAGGTACTTTTCTCTCCTGCTGGTCAGACAAGAGAATTCTTCTGCTAGAACACCCCTCACTTTACATTTTCAAACAATGCATATCTCAATGCTTGCTATCCCTTTTTCTTTGACATTTTTGGCTGCTGCTGCTCCATTCCACCAGCCTAGGGTATGTTTCAATGGCAACCTACAAAACAAGGAAATAACTCACATCCTGAGTAGGCTGGACATTCAGATCAATCCAGTACTAACCCTTCCAAGTCTGGTTCTACGTCACCTTCAACCAATAATAACTCTGTGAGTATTATCTGCTGAGCTTGGCCACAGATATGCTTTCCCTGCTCAATGTACCTAGCAGTGTACTGCACTCACAACCATCACAAGGTCTAAAACTTCCCACAAGAGGAAGCGAATTGATGCACAAGTTCAGCACCCTCTTGGTAAAAGTGATGCTGTCTTGTTTCATGGCACCTATAGGGAAGACCATGCTGCAGAATTACAATCAGAGGTAGATCTAAGCTCTATAAAGCATGGTGATTTGCACGATGTTGCGGTCTGTAAGTAAAGATGGATCAATTGTTAATCACCAGTGATGTGATACTGAATACATGCATGCTCACAGCTGGTGTCGATGGAGGATTTTATCTCACTGACAGTCTTTTGGCAGCTGCTCAATTTGCATGCCGGAACCTCGAGGCGAAAGCATATGTTCTTGGTGAGTTGATTATGGCTTTAAATTGAACAGTGTCTGAATGTAATTTGTTTTGCAGAGTACAAATGGACTGGTGCAAAGTCGGTAACTTAAATCCTATTTATGACAATCATGATGTCGGCTTCATATGACTAAATATGAACTCATACTAGTCTCCCTGTGAAAGAATACCAGAAAGGGGCCGAGTTTACTGCATTCCTTGATTATGATAAGCATGCAGCCCTTGACCAGATAATGGTAGACAATGATATGATCACTGGGTATACTAGATTTTCTTCTATCCACATAATATCTAATTGACTGTGGATTCACCTAGCCCAATGACGGATAAATATGCTGATGCATTGATCACCCCATATTTTAGACAATATGCAGTGATTAAGCAACGGGCTGCCACAAACAACCTCAAGTACACCTCAACATATGAAGTTCCTTGCACTGCTGTCCCTGTTGGAAAAGATCTTCTTGCTGAGTACTATACTGCCAGTCAGAAGTCAAGTCCCAATTTTGATAAATTGGTCAAGCTTCTGATGCAATGTGAACCTGGCATTGGTCCCTGGCAGCAGGCAGTAGATGCAGAGAATATGTAAGGAGGGATGCTTAGTTGGCATATTCATCTCCAGTAACATTAGTTTCCATCAAAATATATATGTGAATTGTTGGGACAGAGTCAAAAGCACAGCTACTATTTGACTGCAACAAACTATTGGAAGGCTAGCCAACTCTGTTGGATTTGCAAAATTAGAATTAACTATATTCTTCTTGCTTTGTTTTTAGTAAAGCTTGCCTACCTGCTGAGGAGCGGCATTATTTATTGCTAAGTAACACTATTATATTGCTTCTTGACAGCTGAAGGCAGAGGAATTTTGGAGGAACCACATAAATCAGATACTTTTCTCTTCCTGCTTTTTACTGCAGACTTTGGATGGGGAAGGTGTGGAATGAACCTGGGCTATCACCAATTCCACAAAGAAGATGTGTCTTGGAATCCAATGCAATACCCTTTCAGTCAAGAGTCTGGCAATCCGAATCTGGTATGAATGGGGCTAGTTGTAGTGTTATCTCAGGGAAGGCATAGAGGGTCCGGGGAATTGGCAGTTAGGGATGTCATATGTGCGTATTTATGTTGGGTGGAAGGTGGAAGGTGGAGGTGCGTGGTTGCATGTGGAGGTATCAGGATGTGCATCAGGGCATGAGGAGGTCCGTCAGGGGTTTGGAGAAGGTCTGTTATGTTGTGCTTCATCTGCAAAACCTGTATGTTCACCAGAGCAAGGGTACTGGCTGGAGAGCGCTCTCCAGCACCCAAAGCACCGAGAGCAAAATTTCAACCCTGCTCTGGGTGCTTTGGCTGCTGGGAAGCGCTCTCAGCTGCTCTCAGAGAATTAGCCGAAAAAACAGGTTTTGCAGATGTTGGGACCAGGCAAGGCATGACAAAGGTGTCTTCAGTTTGTTATGAAGACAGTCACTGAAGGTTCCACTGATTTAGTTTGTGCCAAAACAACCAAGTGGTCAACAAGCAACTGCCACGGAGTTGAAGTGGCCACTGAGTTACAGGCCCTCCATATGTCCATTACTGTAATCCTCCAGCAACAACTTACCTCCTCTGGTCAAACTTGCTTTGTGTATGACCCACCCCTTTGACTTCCCTCCTAGGTCTTCTGCCTAGGCTCATCATGTGACTTGGTGTTATGGGATTTCAAATGGAGGCTCTGCTATACAACAGCCCACAATGCTTTAGAGCAGAGGCATAAGCACTTACTTAAATGCAACTGGTCTGTTGACTGGAAACATTGGTATGGCCATGGTGTAAGAGATGGAACTCAGTCAGCAAATGATGGAAGTAAGCTCACTGACAGGGTTGAGGCATTTGCTGTGTGGTACTGCACCCATTATACAATATTATCCACATTGGCAGGGAAATTGGGAAAAGTAGGCTATTCAGCAGACCTACGGGAGCTTCATGACAGCGATATCAGGGCTATTTTCCATGGGAATGAAGAGACTTTATGGCTTGGGGAAGGCTATGTCATGATTTTGTGGATTTGGAATACCTCAGGTATTGAGGAAACAGATGATCTGATCTCCTTGTCATTCAACTTGAGCTGACACATTTACCCAAATTTATTTGAACAGGTTTATGAGTATCTTGGTGCAAGGCATCAGCTGAAGCATTGAACTCACAAGAAGGATAGATGTTAATTTAATCTGCAAAGTTGATAAAAGAGACCATCAAGAAGCCATTGAACCTAGTGATCTAGTTCAATAGGATTGCAAGGAACTACAAGCTTACTTCTCAACAGTGTTGTAAAGCCCTCTTCAGCATTGGGGCCCTGGTAGAAGTATCCTAGCCTCTCCCAGAGCAGTGGAACCAGCTGGAGAGTGTTCTCTCAGCAGTATTGATCAACTGGAGGGAATATTTTCCAGGTTTGACAGTTTTGGCAGCTGAAAATCCAGGTTTTAGAGGTTGGGAGGAGAAAGTATTGAGAGTAACTTGATGAAAATGAGGGTCCATACTGAATTCATACTACACCATTTTAGTTCTAGGTTTCCCCTGCAGCTTACTTTGAATTTGAATTTTCCATATGTTTTGAAAATCTGAGACTTGACTTTCTTAGACTTTGAATTTTTTGAGCCGGTGTCATCCACTGAACATTAGAGGTGGCCTTGTTTTTAGGTCCGTATCAACTATCAAATTCTACAAACTTATTTTATATGATGAATCATGACTAGTGATTACCTATCATCTATAGCCCCCTGCTTATGTTGGAACATCTGAGTGCTTTGCTTTTAACCCATAATATATATGGTTATCTCGCGATAGGTTCGAAACAAGGTTGTAGCATTCAATTAATTTTCCTCATCCACAGCCAGTTGGCTTCAGACTTCCTTGCACTAATTTCGCATTTACGGCTCTGATGGCTCCATGGTCTTTGCTGTTACACTTTAATCATGATTTGCCTGTGGCTTCAGATAAGTTGAGTGGATGATCAAAGGAGTGAATATCAACACCTTTTGTCCTCGCATTCTGAACCTCAAGCACCCGGTATCCTCTCCAATTTTCTTGTGCCTCTTCATAGACTGCCTCCCAGTTCCGACAAACCAATTCACGGCTCTTTCTTGCTGTTGCTGCCACATTCTTTGTGACCTCCAAGCCAAAGTATGGTCTGCAAAGGATGGTTTGGTGTAGATATGTCAAGCAATGTTGGGTAAGCTCGGGTGTTGAAGGATGAGAATATGCATATTCTTTGCGTATGATATCAAGACATTTAAGTTGATGAAAAAGTGTAACAGTATGAGTCTCAAGGATACCCGAGGATGTTGTGATATGGATTGTATGGCCATCAGGTGGGAGGAGATGAGCATATTCATCATCACTTTCGCCATCATCCACCTTATAATGTACTGAGCTGGCCTCATAGTGCATTGCAATTGGCTCATTGATGTTAGGTGCAAAGGTCAGCACTGTTCTGGTTGCTGGAAGATATGCATTAATAGTGCTATTGACTCTGATGAAGTAAGAATAATGTATTACCTTCTTTGTGACTATGAAATTGCAGAAGTAGGCCCATAGTACCGAACACACCTATGAAAGCCAAAATGAGCATCATATACTTCTCAACCATCACAGGTAAATGGGTTGAACTATCAATCATTTGGCAGTCCTTTTAAAGCATGGGACTATAAACATATGAGCCGGACCGGAATGTTGGGCATTCCATTTCAGTTATGTGAGATACGGAGTCTGAAGATGTCAGGTGGAAAATAGTAATCTGTGCGTGATTTTGGATTAACTTGAATATTGAAACAAGTATGAAGCAAGGGGCATAGAACAGACCATGGAATGGCCCTAAGAACAAGATGCCAACATGGCTTCAAATTACTATGTTAACCGATTAGCTTTGATTGATGAATAATCCGGTATGATAACAAGAAGCGGTAATTTCCCTATGAATAAAGTACCAGACAAGTTTAGCACATGTAGGTAAATTTGAATGGGACTGATGTTCTTGATGAATTTTTGTCTGTTGTTGAGCATGTGGTGAACATCACGATCATGATATGTATATACTGCATTGGTTCATTTTATATATGCGGGATTAGGTATCATCCATAAATTGGGTCAAATGCTTGATCAGTGGTCGGATAATTACAAATTCCGTGATTGCACAAAATCAGATTTCAGGCCTGATCATCAAATCACACATACTTGTCATGGCCTCACGATGACTTGAATGAATAATGTTCTGCCGGGTTTTGATACAGTGTACACACAGTGTCAATATAAAGCAGTTAGAATTCAAGTTGAGCACCACAGAAGGAGCGAAAAGGTCGGACAAGGAATTAGACCACATAAGTAAAATGAGTCGGGGAGACATCAGTTAGATGATTGAAAATGAGTGCTCAAATGATTTTTACGTACAGAAATCTGAAAGCAGTCCACACCTTGAGATTCTCAGTATCGCAAGCAATCTGCAAAGATAGCCCTTGTGACAAACTTCATGGTTGAGCAATATGGGAAAATCACACAAATGGCATTAAACAGCAACACAGAATTTGAAGAATGTACCATAGAATAAGGTCAAGCGCAGCACGGGAAGCTTCTAGTCATCCCCATGATGACAGTTCGGTAATCAGAATGGCCGCATTAATCGCTTATAGCTATACTTGACTGGATAACTATGATTTGTGGAAATGGTTCGAGGTCAGCGGTGGTTCACCAAAAAGACGTACAGTAGAATAGTTCCCTCGGAAGGTTTCAGACATTAATTGAGTCAAATGGTATCTTTACATCTACATCTACATCATTTTAAGATTATGATGTCCTACATAACGCCTGATATGATCATATGGCTGGCATACAGCGCACTACAAATTTCTTCTTTACATCCCATGTCAATAGGAATACACGTGCAGTTTGATAATTGGGTATAAATAAGTTAATCCGAGGCTAAGATTGCACTCTTGTTGCATTTTCACCATGCCTGCCATTGTATTTGACCCTAGCTGGCAGCCCAGTGAAGATTCAGCCACCCTACTAGATGAGCGTACATGGCTCATTGGAGCGATTCTCACTGGAGTTGGATATGGCATTGTCCTGGTGTTGACTGTCATGTGCATAAGCAATCTCATTGGAAGTCTGAAAAGGCCCAATTTGAATATGAAGCTCCAACTGGCCTCTCTTACCTATGTCATCTGCACATTTGTATTTGCAACCTTGTTTGTGGCTGGCTCCTCAAAAATGGCTCAACTGAGCTTCATTGATTATCGGAACTATCCAGGTGGTCCAGGTACTTCTTCCACTTCCATAATGATTGCTGAATGATTGACCATGAATGTCTAGCTGCTTTTGAGGAAGTCATGTTCTCCATTCCCATTTCAGAAATGGGAAATGTTGCATTTGTGCTATCTAATTGGTTCGCTGATGTAGTTGTGGTAAATTTCCATGGTCTGGAATAATAATTGATCAAGATCTGAAAATGGATGTGTTTAGGTCTGGCGCTGCATTGTGGTCTATAAAGGGTGCCGAGCTCCGTGGTGGTCAGTTTATACAGTACCCTGCTTGGCTTACACAGCTTCATGGAGTAAGACATCAATTTTTGAATCAATCTCAACCAAAAGCTTGACAGTGATGTAGTTCTAGGACTGCTCTGGTTAGTCCAGGTATCGGCACCTGCATCATCACCATGGGCATCATCAACAATCAATTTCACGCAGCCTTATTTCTGGACATCATTTTCCCTGAATGTTACAATGACTTTTGCAATTGTTGCACGTTTGATGGTTTATCGATACAGAATCAGCAAAGTCATGGGGAAAACATATGGACGCCAATACACCAGCATTGCCTCCCTGGTTATAGAGTCCTCCCTACTGTATACCTCATTCCAATTGCTATTCATTGTTCCCTTTGCTATGAACACGGCTGTTCAAACTCTATTCCTGCAGCCATTGTCACAAATTCAGGTGAGATTAGATGCTCGTACTTTGGAAGTTTTCCTGCTAATCATTGTGCTAACATTGATCTCAATTGGTAGATTGTTGCCCCCCTTCTTGTCATCTACCGAGTATCCTCTGGCCGCGCTTGGACTTCAAACACATCCACACAAATATTCAAATCCCAGGATAGACAACAAGTCATTGGGAGTAACAAGCTGCATGAAATGGTCTTTGCAGAGCACCAAGCAATAGGTACTGAAACAACTCTTGGTCAATAAAAATTATAGTGTATGTTTTGAATAGTAAATACTGATAGGATCTTACAGCTCCTGAGAGATATAGAAATATCAAGCACATTATTTATCAATGTTGAGCAAAATTCAGAAATGGGGGCCAGCCTGGAATCATTACAAACTGGTTTGTTTTGAATGACTCTGCTTGCTCTAAACCACATTAACCATATTGGAAGTGAAAAACGTAGGATAAAGTCTGGATAGAATAAACCTGGTATTGATACTGTTTCAATTATTTTTGGGCATGCGTGCTCCAACATTCAAGTATGAAATGGTTATATATGAGATTGCAACAAGCAAGGCAACATTTCGGCTGTTGAATGCCATTCCATCAGGTGTTAGCCTTAGGTATCAGTTACAAGTACTGTATTCAGTACAGAATAGACATATCCAACGTGTTGGTTTCACCTGTTGGCTGTTCCCACCTGTAGAGTAGCGCCCAGCCGACGGTTTGTTGTTACTAGAGTTTAAACAAAGCTCTTCAGACACTAAGTTCTAAACAATCTTTCACCTCTGTATATCTGGTTATCTTTAATTGTTAGAGTGCATGTCCACAGTTCAGTCCATTCTAATCATAACAGATCTAGAAATTTAGTTCTAGGTAGACATTCAAATATGCCACATTGGTCTGTGCACTGCCCCTAGGTAAGCCTGCCCCAAAAATAACTGTTGAAGAGCCAGTGGTAGGCACTCGAATTTCAGACCGTAGAATATTGCTTCATGTAAATACCTTTTTACAAATAATCAGTTATAATCATATTTCTCTCTTGGTGCCACTTACTAGCTTCTAGAGGACTAGTGTCTCTCTCCTGCAGCCACTTCATTACACAAGATTCTTGGGATAATGACTGGCTTTCAATGTAAGAAATTTCAAATATCAGAAGCTCATCCCAGTGGCATGCAAACTCCTGTGACCATGATACCCCAGAGTTATTTCCTGCCCCCATCTCCATTTGGGATTCTACAGCAGGCCTGGTTGCATATGAAAGGGATTTTGTGTGTAAGGGGATCTTAGAGTCAAGGCGATTGACATTGAGGAATGCCGGCTTTGTGGCACATGCTGGCTGTGCAGGGTAATTAATACAAAGCTCACAATGCTCCATACCATAGTCTATGGCCCGAAATTGAACTATTGTGGAAACCTTGCATCACATATTAGTAAATGCTCTGCCTTTTCTCTCATAGACATGCCAACCTTTGATGAAATTTCAACAACTTGAGTTTCAGGTGAAACTCGGCCCTTGCGTGTCATAAATGCAAATGGATCATCATCATAAACTAGATTGACATCCTCCCGGTCGACACGCTGTATAATTTGTGGAAAGTTGATGAGCTCTCTGTGGATTGGTGGGTACGGGCGGATTATATCATCAAATCCAATGAATGGTGTTGGTCGTCGCAAAAGATGGATGTTATTATTATCCACTTTTGATAATGGATCAACACAATGGTCTCTATGTTGGGAGGAAAGGTATAGGAGCACACAATTGAAAATTACTGAGCCCAAAGAAATGATAATGGCCCAAGTATGGGCACGTTGGGAAGATTTTGTGCCATGAATTTCGGGCTGAGGTAATGTTGCTTCTGCATGATGCACCTCATCCTTTTCCTCCTCCTCCTCCACAGTTTGTTGGAGAGGAAGATAGTTTTGGAAATGAGAGACAAGACAAAACATGGGGCAAAGTTCAGAATGTTCCGACAAAGAGATATTTGAGAATATGTATAACATTACCAATTTCTATGATGGCTGTCAATCTAGCCGTCAATGAATGCAAAAGGGGAATACACCTTATTTTTTTTCACTCCCAATGATAGCAACAGGAATTGAGATCGGAGATGTAAGTTATTGTTGTTATAAAATCATCTGATAAATGACATAGTCCATGCGGAAACACTTGTCCTTACTACCCTGACAGCTAATGATAACTTACGGAACAGATATGTGATAAAGCACTTCAAAACCCATTCAGTGTAGTATTAAATTTACCGCATTTGGGTGAATTTGATGGAGGTAGCCCCCGCAGCTGTATGATCCTGCTTTTTTTCTCTGACAACTTCCTTTAACAGTAAATAGCTCAAATACAACTGACCCTTCATCAACACCTGAGTGTTCAGACTCATGCATCTCATAGAATATCTGGTTGTGTGTGGAGTGTAGTCTGCCATTGTGTTTACTTCACTTCTGCTGAGTAATAATCATTTTAATGATCACGTAAATTCAAACCTTCCAAATACATCCCCATCCCAATTGAGTTCAATCAGTCAGGATTTATCCGCACTCCCCGCACATAATGCGGTATCATTTTCACGAAAAGTTCCCGTTACTGACTTCTCACAAATAATACAAATCATTGTAAATGACTCACTCTGTCATTGAGTCATTTTCCTTTAGAGGGAAGCTTTCTAGAAAACCTTCAAACAATCAAATTGCATCTCGTGTAAATAGCAACCAATCAATTGGGACCATCATTTCACCTTGTAGAGAAACAACATGATCACTGACCGAATATTTCCTGAAACTTCACCTGTCTAGGGAAAACTTTGTTCAAGTGAATGGTGTTACAGATGCTGGTATTTCATGTACACACAACAAAAACTTGCAATCGGCCATTCACATGAGACTGACGTCTTTATTGGGTCCGGTACACAGTCCTAGGCTATAAAACTGGGGCTATGTTACTTTGGCTAACCCATTCTTCCAGGAAACATTGGCAATGTACTTCAATCCGACCAAACTTCTCTTTATTCTTAGTTGTGCTTTTGCAATGACAATGGCATCATCTACATCAAATGAAGCAGGTACCTATTCCTCTTTGTCATTCTGACATCTGACTTAATATTCCCTTGTAGATTGTGTTGATCGTTCTAGTGGTAGCAGTCATGATGAACTTTGCCCTTGAGCTCTTGGTTAGTGAAATCATAAGAGGGAAGGTCTCAAACTCGCTCACATATACATACAATCTAGCTGTGTTGCATACTTTCAAGATTCACACCTCTTGTGTTGCAGAAGTTTGACCAATACCTACCAAATAATCAACCACATTTTGCTTTTTGTATTATGGTACCTATCTCAGCTGCTAGATTGGTAAACTTATGTGAATGTGAATGTGGAAGCTCAATTAGTTATTTGTAGAGGTCTTCTGAGAATCCTGTCCAGTGCAATCTTCTCATTGGCTCAGTAAATTTATGATACAACGAAAGCTTAGTATTTTTTTCCTTTAATAGAACTTCATTCCTGTCCCTTGTCCCGAAAGGAGCTTGAAAACGGAGGATCCTTGCAGGCATTGAATTATTTCTCTGAGGATAAAAAATTATAGCTGGAGACTTATGATTTGCTACCACCACTATGCACTATACTTGCAGGGCAGCTCTGGCATTCATTTATCAACTGTGCTGTTTCATGCACTAACATTATTGATAACTACAAATGTCGGAATTTGGTGGAGCTTGTAAAGGACTATCCATGTTACTTGATTAGTTCTTTCAATGCACAAATTGTAGTTCTCTAGACCACAGACAGCCGAGCTGATAAAACCCAAAGAGGGCACACACTACAAAGAAGCTTATATCCACACATGCTACTGTGAAAGATGAGAAAAAACAAACAACTTGAATAAAATCATTCAGAGTTGGGGATCTGCCAAGCATCCAATGCAAACTTGGCTCATCTAAAGCAACAATGGAATGTGTGGTTCAGGTAAACCATAACATCTGAAAAACCTGGATTTTCTGCTAAGAACCTGAGAACAGCAGACAGTGGCAAGTTCGGAGAGACTGCTGGGAGTGCTGTCAGATGCACCTAAATCCTAGCTCAAACTCCGGCTTTTGCAGAAAGATACATCTTGCTTCACCTAATGCTCAACAAGCTGAAGTACTGAGATACACAGAGCTGACAACTATTAAACTGCTGAAGATTTGAGCACAAATGACTTGTGCAATGCTCTGTATCACTCCTCTGTCGATTTTACAACTGGTGAGGTACAACCTTCTGATTTCCCTCTTTTTACAAATCTTTCCTTTATTGCTGTCCTATCTCATCAGGCCTGCTTCCCACCTTGTGATTGTTTTCACCTGTCAAATATCCGGAAACAACATGAGTCGAACCTCTGAATCAATTCTGGTGCTTTAACAATTCACGGGATCAAATATGCTCCGTTGGCTATTTGAACTTACCCACTCATCCAAACATTTGCAAAGAATTAGACTTAACTAGTTTACGCCAGTACCACATGAACATAATAGTTGGAATGACAGAAATCCAACTTACTTGATCTGTCATGTGGGTCATGCCAAAAGTTGTAATATCATATCATTAGTCGAATACATCCGGATTCAGCCCAGATCAATGAATCAGCAGCTTTCAAAAGATAGATAACCGCAGTAAAAATTCAATTGATTTACTTATGTGTAATGCGATGTTTGACATTATGGCATTAATGACACACAGATCAACAAAATTTAATGATTACTACATCAAAAAATATAGAATCATCATCTGTTCTGATGTATTTTTGATCCTAATCTCCTCCGCATTCTTTGGTAGGCCCCACATCGGGTTCTAACTTGTCACCATTTTTTTGAAATGATGCCAAATTTCATATATAGAACCATCATTTGTTCTGATGAGTTTTTGATCATCAGCAAAACCTGAATGATCACAGCAGTAAGGGTAGTGGCTCGACATTGCTGTCCAGCATCAAAAGCACTGGAGGCAATTTTATTTTTCAGTTTGCAGGCTGCTTTCAATGCTTTCAATGTTGTGAAGCACTGTCAGACTCTCGGCCGAAATTCCACATTTTGTTTGCAGGCTTCACATTCACTCTACTTTGGATCTTAGCGGATGTACATTATTCAAACTCCACAATAATCCTGTGGAACTGTCAGGACAATAGTGAAACACTATATCAAAGTCTGATTTCCTTCAGCAACCATCATGTCAAAATATGGGGGTTAAAACAATCATTGTTCTGATGGATTTTTACACTTCTACACATTTTTGGCGCGTCTACATGTGCTGCCGAAATATCCCCGGAAAATACTGTATTGACACATGGAGAACCATCATCTGTTCTAATGAATCTTTGATCCTAATCTCCTCCGCATTCTTTGGTAGGCCCCACGTTGGGTTCTCAGATGTCGGTTTTTCATAATTTTTCAATCTGTCATAAGGTTGTCAACTAACTATGGCTGTTGATTCTCTCTGGCTTGTGCGACTGTCCGTCATTTAATCTCGAGGTTCATGAAGTGTTCCTAATGAAAAAAACATCCCTAAATGCCGACTGATTTAGATATAACCACATCTTAGTCACTGCAAAATTCTGGCAACCTATTTGCATTGCCATTCTGGCACAAGATGACATACTCCCCAGACTAGTATAAGTACGCCCTTGATATAGAGGTCAAGAGCAGCTTATCTCTATTCGAGATGCCATTATCCGCTTTTGATCATTCTGTGGACTTCACGGTAGGAGGGCGGGTGTTCAAAACCTATTACAAAGTTTTAGGCAACTTGAAAGCTGGTCAATGCCCTGTTGTCATGCTGCATGGTGGCCCGGGCATGAATCATATCTAGTGAGTCGTTTCTGGGCTGAAGAAAGTAAACAATGATTCAAACCAATATTTCTAGTATGACGTTGGTAACTCATCATCATCCCCAACACATGAATTCTTGAACTTTGAATTAGGCCCCATGACCTGCTTTTTACGGATGCTAGGTGATATGATTCCTTAATCCTGAAAGAACAAAGATGAATTGTGTTGAAGTATTCCGGTGGTATACTATAACCAAATCAGTTACCGTGACTTTCCAAACTCACCTGCAGAATTTTGGAGCATGGAATTATTCAAGGATGAACTCGATAATCTTCTGAACCATCTAGGAATTAGAGGGAATTTTGTTCTTCTTGGTCATTCCTGGGGAGGTATAGGTGTTTGATTCAACTAGATGACATTGCTGGGGGTAATCTCAATTTACAGGCACCATAGCAAGTGATTATGCCGTCACTCGTATGCACCAGGGGCTCAAAGGGCTGATTGTTGCAAATACATTCTGCTCTGCAAAGCTCTACAGAGAGGGTGTTGCCTTTTGGATTGATGCATTACCCAACGGGCTTCCAGAAATCATCAAGAAGCACAAAGCAAATGGAACAACAGACGCAGAAGAATATACTAAAGCCATGCAATTGTATAATAATTTGCATATATGTACTCTTGATCCATGGCCCCAACCACTTGTAGCCTCATTGGATTTTTCAAAGGGAAACCGTGAGCTGTTATCTATGTGACTGTAGCATGGCATTTATTGTTCTCATTCTTATGGGAATAGGGCATCCGGATTTCAACATGAGCAAGATTCTTAAAGATTGGGATGTAACAAATGGCCTGCATAAAATTACATGTCCCACTCTTCTTATCAGCTCACCAGTTGATGAGATGTGGGAGCCTTGTGTAAAGCCATTTTTTGAAGGGATACCCCTCTGTAAATGGGTAGAATTTCAGAACAGCTCCCATCTTCCAATGTATGAGGAGCCTCAACGGTATGTGGAAATTTACAGATATTGTGGATTACTGGGACATTTATACTATCCAAACTGTAGATATTTACAGATAGTTGTGGATTTCTTCAATGTTGCACTTCAACGCTGAAGCTTGTGGGTCAATATAGGCAATGGTTGTCCTTGGGTGGTTAGGATTTCAAAGTCACTAGTGAGGTGTTAGATCAGTTAATTCATGTTTTTTCACATGTTGTCTAAGAGTCAGTTGGATGTGCAGAGCCGCCCTGACTTTACTTGTGTCAGATTCCTGTATATAGAACTTGATCTTTGATTGAAATCACGCGTGACAATGGGGGAAAGCACTTGTTTCACAGTAACGAGCACCCACTTATCATTTTGTAATCTTTTGCTTTTCTGCACTCATTTTGCAATGCCTTCCCCATTATTTGAAGTCTCTGAAGCTACCAGAGCAAAATGGGTAATCACACTAATTGTTTCTCTGATACAATACATTACCCTTGGTGTAGCAATGTATCTCACACCATTTTACAGCAAGGAGGACATGTATACCTCCTCTCTCACTGGAAAAAAATGGCTTGAAGAACTGTAAGACCTGGGTCAGAATTGGTCTTAGGATAGGTTTTGGTATAGTGTGTTTACATTGTAGCGTGCTAGGAGCAACCTAAATTGAGGTCCCAGAGCTTGAGGAGCAGTTGGTGAGCTCGAGGAGGTTTGGGGAAGGTTAGCTCACCAAGGTGTTAGGCGTTGGGGAGCTTTAGCATTGTTTGAGGGAGCTCGGAGACTCACTGAGATTGCTTAGACGTGAAGTAAAAGCATGTATTGGATCGTATAGATGATCGTAGAGACAATAGACAAGAGTTGAGAGAAACAGAGATAAAGAAATAGAGAGTAAAGAGAATTCCATATAGGTAGCAGGTACAAAGGGACAGGGACTAGACCTATGTAAAGGCTGTGTGTTCAAAATATACCAAGCTGGGGCTTGGGGACGTTGCGGAACTACTTAAATAGGTACGGGAAGTGAACAAGGGAACATCAGGGGATCTAATGGACATGAGGCAGGTAATCGAGATTGCTACTTAATGGAGTTGATTGTAGTAGGCGTGTCGGGGGAGCTATGCGTGTCAGGGAAGTCGTCAGACATTCAGGGAATGGGGAGGTGGGAAGGTTCCAGGGGGATGTTGGTACTGCCTTAAGGGGGAGCAGAGCTAGATAAGAGATAGGGGAGCGTATGGTTGGTGCTGTGGCGGGCCTGGTTGTGGTCAGGGCATGACAGGTTGTTGCGGCAGGTGAGTTCTATGGATGGGGTTAAGGGGAATCCTGGGTGCATTGCCGAGACTGGACTGAGGCGGGGGGAGCTTATGGGGGAGGTAGCCAGGAGGTCCCGCAATGAATGAGGTGGTCCCGTGAGATTGTAGGGGTAGGATAGGCAGGTCAAGGCATGACATTACCCCCCTGTCAGTCCTTCGCGCCCTTGAGAAGGACCTCTTGCATTTTTCATGGGAGATCACCTGATAAGCACATGGGGTTTTGATATTTTTTTTGTTGAAGTTCCTCCAGGTCCTTCTTCCTTTGTTTTATGCCTGTCGTTACACGGGTGTTGACTTTTGTGCAACATTGACCAGCTTCCTCTTTCATCCCACAATGCCTTCATCCCCCCCTAGAGCTACCTTTGCTACCTTATTGCCTCCCATCCGTTCGCGTTTGTCTTCTAGAGAGTTGGTTGCCCCGGCCTGTCATGCCCTGGCTACAACCAGACCAGTCCCAGTACCCGCCACACGTTGTCATATGTCCTATCCACCTCCTGTACCTTCTCTGCACCTCCCCAAGTACCACCAGGCACCTCCCCTAGTATTTCTGACACGACTACACAAACGTCCTTCACCCCGACACGGATACGAAAACCTTCCTAACCAACAACCCCCTTAAGTATTAATCTCGATTACCTCCCTCCCTCGATTAGCTGCCTTATGTCTCCAGATGTTCTCTTGTTCACTTCCCGTACCTATTTAAGTAGCGCCGCAATGTCCTGAAGCCCCAGCTTGGTATATTTTGAACACACACCCTTTACATAGGTCCAGTCCCTGTCCCTTTGTACCTGCTACCTATACGGAATTCTCTTTACTCTCTGTTTCTTTACCTCTGTTTCTCTCTACTCTTGCCTACTGTCTCAACGATCGTCTCTACGGTCGAATATACGCTTTTGCTTCATGTCTAAGCAATCCGAGTGAGTCCCCGAGCTCCCTCGAACAATACTAAAGCTCCCCAACGCCTAACGCTTTGGTGAGCTAACCTCCCCAAAACCTCCTCGAGCTCCCCCATTGCTCCACAAGCTCTGGGAACTCGATCTAGGTAACGTCGAAGCTACTCCTTACATCGAACTACGTGCCGCTTCTCCGTTACCACCTCCAACACTCGAGGACATCCACCCTTAAGCCCCAGTTCCCGGGACCTCCCCTTCCGGGCGTATATCTTCTCAGGAGCTTGTACACCTGAGACCTACTCTCCATACAACCTATTCGATCTCACGTTGACGTTCTAGCGAGTACAACTCCTCCTACGCAATGTTACTAGGTTTCATATCTCTACCTTCCCTATCTACGCCTTAGGGACCTCCCTGGACCTTACAGGAACCCCTTCAAGGGTCACATCTCTCAATCCCAGCCACTACTAGGTCATTCCCGTCCTCGGTCGCGGTTTCCATAGCTCCCTTCGAGCTCCAGCCTGCTCCTAGCACGCTACAACGTAAACTCCTCATACCAAAACCTACCCTAAGACCTATTCTGACCCAGGTCTTACAGTGATTGTGATGGTATGATGTATTGTACAAGTGAAGGCATTGAGACCATGAGAAAAGGAAAATAATAGGGGCTGTATACTTTATGACAGGGTTTGATGGGACAGTAGTGAAGTTATTAACAACACCACTGTTATGCCACTAGTCCCTGGAGTAGGAGCTCAGATGAGAGAGACAAGAGGTACAAGTAGCAGCCAAGCCAAGTAATGCCAATAATGCCAACAACAAGGAGCAGACCAGAAGCCAGTAAATCTTGAGGTCAAAGTAGTGAGTGCTCAAGGTATTAAGCCTTAAGACTTCAGAGGACAGAGAGGTGATCTAAGTTGATCCAAGGTATCCTCAGATGATAATGAAACTCCCGAACTAAAGTACAGTACAGGAGTATTTATACTAACTAATCAGCATATGGGGCGGAGTGCTACACTAGTTACTGGAGGCTGTACATTTAGTGACTTCAGAGTAGAGCATAAGACAATAGAAGTAAGGTAGTAAGACAGGGAATGTGTAGCAAGAAAGACCAATAAAGGAAGGTTACAATAACCGGTAGATCTTGGGATGCCAACCGCCGGGGCCACACACCTAAGTGGTTGTCTATGGATGTCCTATAGAATTTTGTAAATTGAGCTCCTTTACTGTTCATGGCCTAGGTCACTCCATTACTAGGTTGATGTTTTCCAGGTCTATGGACACCCCCAGCAGGTATCTGATCACTCCCAGGTACTCCACTGTGTTGACATGGAAAGCACATTTGTCTGGCTTTGCATGGAGGTAGTTTGCTTGTAGCCTTTTGAGTACCTTTCTAATGTGTTCCACATGGGAAGTTTCATCATCTGAGTAGATCAGGGATGTTGTCCAGGTATATCACAATGCAGACATCTACCATGTCATGGAAGATCTCATTTATGAAGAATTACAAGTACTAACTCCTTCAATAGCTGACATCCTTCATTGTTCCCTAATTAGTCTATTTATTCAGTACTACTTGTATATAAATACTTACTTAGTTGCCTGTACATTCCCTAGATCTCAAATTCTAGTTAAATTTTCCTACCTACTGGCCTCTCTCTCTAAAGTTTCCTCAATATTCCTTAGTCTTACCTTTCACAAAATCTCTGTCTCCAAAAATCTATGATCTGTTTTGCTTGGTGCATAACTGCTCAGCGGTTTCACCTGGCGAAGGATCCTTGTGCTTGTGATCATTGAATTTGGTGTGACTCAATGGCCAGAGAACTACAACACCTGACATGCATCTTTTGCACCTGCCTTTTTTGAAGCCAGTTGCACCTTGATATTTGTTTAACATTCATAAAGTGAATTCTTGACTTTCTGTATACTATTTTATTTTAATGTACCAAGAAAATCAACTGAGTTTTCCGCGCACAAAGTGCACTGGCCTTCCATCACATGTACCCTTAGGGCCTAAAAACAGCTGAGAAATTTGGTAGGAGAGCTACCTGTCATCTCATTGATTTACTCAATGATTATGAGAATTAGTGAGTTTCGATGTAAAATCAGTCCAGGGAGGAGTTTAATGCCACTGGGGAAAGTGCTTTGGAATAAAACTCTATTTTTACCACAATATATTTTTGCACCTTTTCTGTTCTACCTCTTATCTCCACTCTATTACTGGTCTGGCTACAATGGGTAGAAGAAGAATATACATGAAACACCATGAAGAACTATTTTGAACAAGTACTTACATACATTGAGTTCATAGGCATCGTCAATCCTCTTGGTTGTTATACCAAGTATTGAAATCATCACGCTCTGCTTGGAGTATGCTTTGAGCTTTCTCAAAGTCATAGCACATCAATTCACCACCAATGCGCTCCGTGGTGAAGTTTCTGGTCATGAAATCCCCAGGTTCGAGCATGTCTCCTGCGTTACAAAGAAGTATCTGTCTTAGGTAGTGAAGACAATGATGGAAATGTTCCTGTGTTGCGACCCAGTCAGTGTGGTTGTTTAAAGCCGCTCGAAATTGAGCAATGCAGTGCAAGTTATGGAACCAAGAGAGGATAAACATGTGGTGGTTCGAGCTTAGGATCGAGATAGCTGGATAGTCAAGAAGAGTGTAGTATTCATCCCGGGACACATTATCCATTGCATTCCATTGTAAATGGTCTGTTTCTTGCAGAGTGAGCAAAACAACGGGGAGGTCATTAATCATTGGATGAAGAAGGGGAACTGAGCTTCCACTGAATGTATATTTGGCTATGCAATGGCACACAATTAGGCACTAAAAATTGGGGAAGTAATATACCACTTACGTTCTTCATTGGTGAGGAAATAGTTCCAAGAAGAAAATCCATGGAATCCCAGTAGAAAAATATTAATGAGTACGATGAGAAAGAGTGCCATTGTTTCGATAGGCTTATACTTCGGGCAGGGCTTGTCCATTGGCTGAATAGTTGAAATTCATAAGGAATGCATTTTGAAGCATATGTGTCAATTGAGTATTTTCCGGGGATATTTCGGCAGCACATGTAGACGCGCCAAAAATGTGTAGAGGTGTAAAAATCCATCAGAACAATGATTGTTTTAACCCCCATATTTTGACATGATGGTTGCTGAAGGAAATCAGACTTTGATATAGTGTTTCACTATTGTCCTGACAGTTCCACAGGATTATTGTGGAGTTTGAATAATGTACATCCGCTAAGATCCAAAGTAGAGTGAATGTGAAGCCTGCAAACAAAATGTGGAATTTCGGCCGAGAGTCTGACAGTGCTTCACAACATTGAAAGCATTGAAAGCAGCCTGCAAACTGAAAAATAAAATTGCCTCCAGTGCTTTTGATGCTGGACAGCAATGTCGAGCCACTACCCTTACTGCTGTGATCATTCAGGTTTTGCTGATGATCAAAAACTCATCAGAACAAATGATGGTTCTATATATGAAATTTGGCATCATTTCAAAAAAATGGTGACAAGTTAGAACCCGATGTGGGGCCTACCAAAGAATGCGGAGGAGATTAGGATCAAAAATACATCAGAACAGATGATGATTCTATATTTTTTGATGTAGTAATCATTAAATTTTGTTGATCTGTGTGTCATTAATGCCATAATGTCAAACATCGCATTACACATAAGTAAATCAATTGAATTTTTACTGCGGTTATCTATCTTTTGAAAGCTGCTGATTCATTGATCTGGGCTGAATCCGGATGTATTCGACTAATGATATGATATTACAACTTTTGGCATGACCCACATGACAGATCAAGTAAGTTGGATTTCTGTCATTCCAACTATTATGTTCATGTGGTACTGGCGTAAACTAGTTAAGTCTAATTCTTTGCAAATGTTTGGATGAGTGGGTAAGTTCAAATAGCCAACGGAGCATATTTGATCCCGTGAATTGTTAAAGCACCAGAATTGATTCAGAGGTTCGACTCATGTTGTTTCCGGATATTTGACAGGTGAAAACAATCACAAGGTGGGAAGCAGGCCTGATGAGATAGGACAGCAATAAAGGAAAGATTTGTAAAAAGAGGGAAATCAGAAGGTTGTACCTCACCAGTTGTAAAATCGACAGAGGAGTGATACAGAGCATTGCACAAGTCATTTGTGCTCAAATCTTCAGCAGTTTAATAGTTGTCAGCTCTGTGTATCTCAGTACTTCAGCTTGTTGAGCATTAGGTGAAGCAAGATGTATCTTTCTGCAAAAGCCGGAGTTTGAGCTAGGATTTAGGTGCATCTGACAGCACTCCCAGCAGTCTCTCCGAACTTGCCACTGTCTGCTGTTCTCAGGTTCTTAGCAGAAAATCCAGGTTTTTCAGATGTTATGGTTTACCTGAACCACACATTCCATTGTTGCTTTAGATGAGCCAAGTTTGCATTGGATGCTTGGCAGATCCCCAACTCTGAATGATTTTATTCAAGTTGTTTGTTTTTTCTCATCTTTCACAGTAGCATGTGTGGATATAAGCTTCTTTGTAGTGTGTGCCCTCTTTGGGTTTTATCAGCTCGGCTGTCTGTGGTCTAGAGAACTACAATTTGTGCATTGAAAGAACTAATCAAGTAACATGGATAGTCCTTTACAAGCTCCACCAAATTCCGACATTTGTAGTTATCAATAATGTTAGTGCATGAAACAGCACAGTTGATAAATGAATGCCAGAGCTGCCCTGCAAGTATAGTGCATAGTGGTGGTAGCAAATCATAAGTCTCCAGCTATAATTTTTTATCCTCAGAGAAATAATTCAATGCCTGCAAGGATCCTCCGTTTTCAAGCTCCTTTCGGGACAAGGGACAGGAATGAAGTTCTATTAAAGGAAAAAAATACTAAGCTTTCGTTGTATCATAAATTTACTGAGCCAATGAGAAGATTGCACTGGACAGGATTCTCAGAAGACCTCTACAAATAACTAATTGAGCTTCCACATTCACATTCACATAAGTTTACCAATCTAGCAGCTGAGATAGGTACCATAATACAAAAAGCAAAATGTGGTTGATTATTTGGTAGGTATTGGTCAAACTTCTGCAACACAAGAGGTGTGAATCTTGAAAGTATGCAACACAGCTAGATTGTATGTATATGTGAGCGAGTTTGAGACCTTCCCTCTTATGATTTCACTAACCAAGAGCTCAAGGGCAAAGTTCATCATGACTGCTACCACTAGAACGATCAACACAATCTACAAGGGAATATTAAGTCAGATGTCAGAATGACAAAGAGGAATAGGTACCTGCTTCATTTGATGTAGATGATGCCATTGTCATTGCAAAAGCACAACTAAGAATAAAGAGAAGTTTGGTCGGATTGAAGTACATTGCCAATGTTTCCTGGAAGAATGGGTTAGCCAAAGTAACATAGCCCCAGTTTTATAGCCTAGGACTGTGTACCGGACCCAATAAAGACGTCAGTCTCATGTGAATGGCCGATTGCAAGTTTTGTTGTGTGTACATGAAATACCAGCATCTGTAACACCATTCACTTGAACAAAGTTTTCCCTAGACAGGTGAAGTTTCAGGAAATATTCGGTCAGTGATCATGTTGTTTCTCTACAAGGTGAAATGATGGTCCCAATTGATTGGTTGCTATTTACACGAGATGCAATTTGATTGTTTGAAGGTTTTCTAGAAAGCTTCCCTCTAAAGGAAAATGACTCAATGACAGAGTGAGTCATTTACAATGATTTGTATTATTTGTGAGAAGTCAGTAACGGGAACTTTTCGTGAAAATGATACCGCATTATGTGCGGGGAGTGCGGATAAATCCTGACTGATTGAACTCAATTGGGATGGGGATGTATTGGAAGGTTTGAATTTACGTGATCATTAAAATGATTATTACTCAGCAGAAGTGAAGTAAACACAATGGCAGACTACACTCCACACACAACCAGATATTCTATGAGATGCATGAGTCTGAACACTCAGGTGTTGATGAAGGGTCAGTTGTATTTGAGCTATTTACTGTTAAAGGAAGTTGTCAGAGAAAAAAAGCAGGATCATACAGCTGCGGGGGCTACCTCCATCAAATTCACCCAAATGCGGTAAATTTAATACTACACTGAATGGGTTTTGAAGTGCTTTATCACATATCTGTTCCGTAAGTTATCATTAGCTGTCAGGGTAGTAAGGACAAGTGTTTCCGCATGGACTATGTCATTTATCAGATGATTTTATAACAACAATAACTTACATCTCCGATCTCAATTCCTGTTGCTATCATTGGGAGTGAAAAAAAATAAGGTGTATTCCCCTTTTGCATTCATTGACGGCTAGATTGACAGCCATCATAGAAATTGGTAATGTTATACATATTCTCAAATATCTCTTTGTCGGAACATTCTGAACTTTGCCCCATGTTTTGTCTTGTCTCTCATTTCCAAAACTATCTTCCTCTCCAACAAACTGTGGAGGAGGAGGAGGAAAAGGATGAGGTGCATCATGCAGAAGCAACATTACCTCAGCCCGAAATTCATGGCACAAAATCTTCCCAACGTGCCCATACTTGGGCCATTATCATTTCTTTGGGCTCAGTAATTTTCAATTGTGTGCTCCTATACCTTTCCTCCCAACATAGAGACCATTGTGTTGATCCATTATCAAAAGTGGATAATAATAACATCCATCTTTTGCGACGACCAACACCATTCATTGGATTTGATGATATAATCCGCCCGTACCCACCAATCCACAGAGAGCTCATCAACTTTCCACAAATTATACAGCGTGTCGACCGGGAGGATGTCAATCTAGTTTATGATGATGATCCATTTGCATTTATGACACGCAAGGGCCGAGTTTCACCTGAAACTCAAGTTGTTGAAATTTCATCAAAGGTTGGCATGTCTATGAGAGAAAAGGCAGAGCATTTACTAATATGTGATGCAAGGTTTCCACAATAGTTCAATTTCGGGCCATAGACTATGGTATGGAGCATTGTGAGCTTTGTATTAATTACCCTGCACAGCCAGCATGTGCCACAAAGCCGGCATTCCTCAATGTCAATCGCCTTGACTCTAAGATCCCCTTACACACAAAATCCCTTTCATATGCAACCAGGCCTGCTGTAGAATCCCAAATGGAGATGGGGGCAGGAAATAACTCTGGGGTATCATGGTCACAGGAGTTTGCATGCCACTGGGATGAGCTTCTGATATTTGAAATTTCTTACATTGAAAGCCAGTCATTATCCCAAGAATCTTGTGTAATGAAGTGGCTGCAGGAGAGAGACACTAGTCCTCTAGAAGCTAGTAAGTGGCACCAAGAGAGAAATATGATTATAACTGATTATTTGTAAAAAGGTATTTACATGAAGCAATATTCTACGGTCTGAAATTCGAGTGCCTACCACTGGCTCTTCAACAGTTATTTTTGGGGCAGGCTTACCTAGGGGCAGTGCACAGACCAATGTGGCATATTTGAATGTCTACCTAGAACTAAATTTCTAGATCTGTTATGATTAGAATGGACTGAACTGTGGACATGCACTCTAACAATTAAAGATAACCAGATATACAGAGGTGAAAGATTGTTTAGAACTTAGTGTCTGAAGAGCTTTGTTTAAACTCTAGTAACAACAAACCGTCGGCTGGGCGCTACTCTACAGGTGGGAACAGCCAACAGGTGAAACCAACACGTTGGATATGTCTATTCTGTACTGAATACAGTACTTGTAACTGATACCTAAGGCTAACACCTGATGGAATGGCATTCAACAGCCGAAATGTTGCCTTGCTTGTTGCAATCTCATATATAACCATTTCATACTTGAATGTTGGAGCACGCATGCCCAAAAATAATTGAAACAGTATCAATACCAGGTTTATTCTATCCAGACTTTATCCTACGTTTTTCACTTCCAATATGGTTAATGTGGTTTAGAGCAAGCAGAGTCATTCAAAACAAACCAGTTTGTAATGATTCCAGGCTGGCCCCCATTTCTGAATTTTGCTCAACATTGATAAATAATGTGCTTGATATTTCTATATCTCTCAGGAGCTGTAAGATCCTATCAGTATTTACTATTCAAAACATACACTATAATTTTTATTGACCAAGAGTTGTTTCAGTACCTATTGCTTGGTGCTCTGCAAAGACCATTTCATGCAGCTTGTTACTCCCAATGACTTGTTGTCTATCCTGGGATTTGAATATTTGTGTGGATGTGTTTGAAGTCCAAGCGCGGCCAGAGGATACTCGGTAGATGACAAGAAGGGGGGCAACAATCTACCAATTGAGATCAATGTTAGCACAATGATTAGCAGGAAAACTTCCAAAGTACGAGCATCTAATCTCACCTGAATTTGTGACAATGGCTGCAGGAATAGAGTTTGAACAGCCGTGTTCATAGCAAAGGGAACAATGAATAGCAATTGGAATGAGGTATACAGTAGGGAGGACTCTATAACCAGGGAGGCAATGCTGGTGTATTGGCGTCCATATGTTTTCCCCATGACTTTGCTGATTCTGTATCGATAAACCATCAAACGTGCAACAATTGCAAAAGTCATTGTAACATTCAGGGAAAATGATGTCCAGAAATAAGGCTGCGTGAAATTGATTGTTGATGATGCCCATGGTGATGATGCAGGTGCCGATACCTGGACTAACCAGAGCAGTCCTAGAACTACATCACTGTCAAGCTTTTGGTTGAGATTGATTCAAAAATTGATGTCTTACTCCATGAAGCTGTGTAAGCCAAGCAGGGTACTGTATAAACTGACCACCACGGAGCTCGGCACCCTTTATAGACCACAATGCAGCGCCAGACCTAAACACATCCATTTTCAGATCTTGATCAATTATTATTCCAGACCATGGAAATTTACCACAACTACATCAGCGAACCAATTAGATAGCACAAATGCAACATTTCCCATTTCTGAAATGGGAATGGAGAACATGACTTCCTCAAAAGCAGCTAGACATTCATGGTCAATCATTCAGCAATCATTATGGAAGTGGAAGAAGTACCTGGACCACCTGGATAGTTCCGATAATCAATGAAGCTCAGTTGAGCCATTTTTGAGGAGCCAGCCACAAACAAGGTTGCAAATACAAATGTGCAGATGACATAGGTAAGAGAGGCCAGTTGGAGCTTCATATTCAAATTGGGCCTTTTCAGACTTCCAATGAGATTGCTTATGCACATGACAGTCAACACCAGGACAATGCCATATCCAACTCCAGTGAGAATCGCTCCAATGAGCCATGTACGCTCATCTAGTAGGGTGGCTGAATCTTCACTGGGCTGCCAGCTAGGGTCAAATACAATGGCAGGCATGGTGAAAATGCAACAAGAGTGCAATCTTAGCCTCGGATTAACTTATTTATACCCAATTATCAAACTGCACGTGTATTCCTATTGACATGGGATGTAAAGAAGAAATTTGTAGTGCGCTGTATGCCAGCCATATGATCATATCAGGCGTTATGTAGGACATCATAATCTTAAAATGATGTAGATGTAGATGTAAAGATACCATTTGACTCAATTAATGTCTGAAACCTTCCGAGGGAACTATTCTACTGTACGTCTTTTTGGTGAACCACCGCTGACCTCGAACCATTTCCACAAATCATAGTTATCCAGTCAAGTATAGCTATAAGCGATTAATGCGGCCATTCTGATTACCGAACTGTCATCATGGGGATGACTAGAAGCTTCCCGTGCTGCGCTTGACCTTATTCTATGGTACATTCTTCAAATTCTGTGTTGCTGTTTAATGCCATTTGTGTGATTTTCCCATATTGCTCAACCATGAAGTTTGTCACAAGGGCTATCTTTGCAGATTGCTTGCGATACTGAGAATCTCAAGGTGTGGACTGCTTTCAGATTTCTGTACGTAAAAATCATTTGAGCACTCATTTTCAATCATCTAACTGATGTCTCCCCGACTCATTTTACTTATGTGGTCTAATTCCTTGTCCGACCTTTTCGCTCCTTCTGTGGTGCTCAACTTGAATTCTAACTGCTTTATATTGACACTGTGTGTACACTGTATCAAAACCCGGCAGAACATTATTCATTCAAGTCATCGTGAGGCCATGACAAGTATGTGTGATTTGATGATCAGGCCTGAAATCTGATTTTGTGCAATCACGGAATTTGTAATTATCCGACCACTGATCAAGCATTTGACCCAATTTATGGATGATACCTAATCCCGCATATATAAAATGAACCAATGCAGTATATACATATCATGATCGTGATGTTCACCACATGCTCAACAACAGACAAAAATTCATCAAGAACATCAGTCCCATTCAAATTTACCTACATGTGCTAAACTTGCTGGTCTGGTACTTTATTCAGAAGGAAATCTCCGCTTCTTGTTATCATTCCAGATTATTCATCAATCAATCCAATAAGAACTTAAATAACACACCATTGTCATCGTTTGCTCCTTCAACGACTCTACATTATGTCCTCTGTGTCTGGAACCATTGATTTCCCTGTTGGAAGTGCTATATACCACACATGGTACAAAATTTACGGTGACCTCAAATCGGAGTGTACTCCCCTTGTTGTTGTTCATGGAGGACCAGGAATGACCCATCACTAGTGTGTACATCTATCCAGATTTCAGTGTATCCACTCACACTTTGATTTTTAATGGACATTGATCCACAGTATGCTGTAAGATCAAAATCACAAATGATCCTCCAAACCGATATTCACAGAATAATGAATTACAGCAATAATCACGTTTTGCATGATAAATACACGTGTGTCAAACAACTGTTTCTGTGTGGATTCCCCCTGAAATTCTCCCAACATACCTAGTATTCCAGTCATCTTCTATGACCAGATTGGAAATGGTGCCTCTAGTCTTGCGCTTCAAGAGGCTGACACATTCTGGACTCCCAAGCTCTTCATGGATGAATTGAATAATCTAGTAGAAAAACTTGGAATTTCCGGAAATTTCAATCTCCTCGGTCATTCCTGGGGTGGTAAGCATGGTAATTTGACCCGACTCAATCCAGATTTGATTGGATTACATCTTCAGGCATGCTGGTTGGGAACTATGCCGCAGAGCGTGTACCTAAAGGCCTCAAGCGAATCATTATTGCTAATGCCCCATCAGCAATTGATTTATATGAAAGAGGTACCAGGAAGTTGCTGAATCAATTCCCTGACAACTTTGCAGATATGTTGCAAAAACATGAACTGGAGGGTACCATGGACAGCTCAGAGTTCCAGGAAGGAATGATGAAATTTAACCAAAAACACATATGCACTGTAGATCCTTGGCCTCAAAATTTGATTCAAAGTTTCAATGCTGTTCAACAGAACCCACATGTCTACTCCACAATGTAAGTAATGTATTTCAGGATCCCATCTTTTCTGGTAATTCTAGATTTGAGTCTAGGTGGGGACATACCGATTGGAACATCACAGGAACATTGCGGGGATGGAGTGTTGTTGACATATTGCCTTGCATCAAGGCAAAAACACTCTTGATCAGTGCACCCTTTGATGAAGTCCAGGATATTGCTGTTCAACCATGGTTCAGCAGAGTATCCCAAGTGAAATGGGTGGAGCTACAGAATAGCACTCACTTGCCTCAGTTTGAAGAGCCAGAAAGGTACCACATTGACAACTTGTATCCTTGAGAATACTTAAACCATATTGTCATGTCAGATACTTTGACATTGTCTCTAAATTTCTGCTGGATTAGGTATATAGAGAAGAGGTGTATGGCTGGGGATTTAGCTCACTGAAAAATCACTGGTTTTGGAATGTTGATAGAATTGTGAGATGGTAGTACAACTGTAAATGGATGCGTCCCTGGGTTTCTCCCGAAAAAAAAAACAATCCCGATGACAACCTTATTTTTAAACAATGTGAAATGCTGATTTGGTGGCCCATTTTCTACAAAGTAGCCGGTGTAGGAGTGTGGCTCAGTTAAGAACAGGACCTCGAAGGTACAGGCACGGCAAGCCGCTCGGGAACCATAATATGGGGGGGTCACCTTGGCTAGATTTGTCGATCATACAATAAGCACCGTAACCGAAGAACAGATAGGTAGATGTTCTTACAACAAGTGATATTCTTGACTGCAACTTGAAGGTATGGACTATGAGAGTTGAGGGGCAGGGCACTTCACAATTTTCGATGTAGAATGCCATAAGTATGTAGGGAAGAAACTTTCTTGGGGGGGTGTTTCATAGTCACTTATATCAATTCGAGATCGATATCGAATACGGAGTTAGGATAATTAAACAAAGTAATATCATACATCAGTCTCGTTGTCTCTACATCTCCATTTCCATCCATCCATCCACCCAAAATACCCATCCATCCACACACCCAAAAAATCCCCCTACATCCATATTCATATCCCTATCCCATCCCCCCCGGCCCCCGCTTGTAAACAACATGAAACGAGGAAAGATTCAAAGAAAGAAAAAAATACAAAAAGGAACAAGAAGGGGAGAGGGGGTGTGTGTCAGGTTCTATGGTTTACAGAACCTTGGGTCAGTGCTCGAAGAAATAAATGGGTTATTCACTCTGTATAGTATGGCAATTCACCATTTCAATCGAGGCAGGATTCAAATCTCTTTTTGAAGCAATGATTTAACAAATAAAAGTTATGATCCCCCGCCCCTCAAAAACCACGTGAAATAATGCCACAGATACTCAGACCACCCCTCCAACACCCCCGCGCCGGCAACAATAATCATCCAAAGGATTCACCAAATCTTATTGAGAGATTGTGTTTATGGTGGAGATTGGGCCAAGTGTATTGCATGAGTAATTCTATTATTTAGATTATCATCTTATTGGGTATTCTCAAACATTCAAAGTAGTCTATAAAAACAATGTTCCTCTCCTAGTTTTTTTTGAGATTATGCCTTTGTTTCTCCTGCACAATAAGTATTTCTTTTTCAAATCCCTGTTAAGTTGTGATGAGTCACAACACTATGGTACTAAAATGCTGCTAGTATATAGCATCTAAAACCTAGTACAGATATCCGTAGTCAATCCATGATGGATGTTCTAAAAACACCCCATCTACTGTGAATTCTTGGGCCTGTTCGGCAGTGAGAAGGTGTTCTATGGATAGACGACTCGAGGTGTCTCCGCCGGGTCCTGTGTATCACTGAACATTTAGAGAGAATGAAGATCATCGCGTGATACGTACCAGTAGAGTTGTATTCAGCATAGAATGTCGTATTCATGATCGTCGGTCTGCACAAGGAAAGAGGATAGACATAGTTAACATCACGTCTCCGGGGGGTAATATGGTTCATTTGCATCAATCAAGGACTCCAGGACAACTCGGGGTAGAAAAGCTAGGAACAGAAACCAAGATGTACAGGAAGGATTCAGCACCACCACTCACCTCGCAGAATCAAATGCTTCCCAACCTACGGGTTGAATAATATCCTCCATGAATGTATTCAAATACACCGTAACCGCCCAATCATTCCACGGGCGTCCAAGATAACACCCATCCGTGATATTCAGCGTAGCGTTGGCATCTGGGGACTTGGGTAGTATCATGTGAGAAGATAAGAAAGCACAACTGCGAGAGAAACCACGATACCCGAATGACCCGAGAGTCAGCTATATACGCCCCGTATCTAAGCACACGCTCCGTCAAGCTCGAATTAGTACCCTTCCAAGCAGCCGTGCCACCCCCGCAACCCCGTGCCGCGAGGATGACATTTTGAAACCATCTACAGTCAGTGATCATGTAAGATCTCGGGTATTCCAGGTTTGCCGGGAACAATACTTACGCTGTACCAAACCCAAATAAATCTAAATACGAATGCGAATGACATTTCAGAACATGGTTCACTAGAGACAGGAGTTCAGAATACATACAATCTGTCTGCCCAAAGATCACACTATCAACCACATACGTACTCGCATTCTTCCCCGTATACCACGTATCCTGAAAACTCGAGAATCCACATCCATAGAACGACGCATTAGCATACGAGATATCCGTAGCCAGCGCTTGCGAAATGGCAAAAGTCAACGACTATCAATGGAAGAACCACAATCAGTTGGTTGTCATTGAAAGTACTGAAAGTGAAATGAGACGAATGAAGTTTGGCTTACCGCTCTGTTTTGGATATCGACATTATACATCTTGAAATCCACGTTTCCGAAAGCGCCCTGTGTGGGAGCGCCAGTGGTTCCAGCACCGATAAGAGCTGCGGCTCCGTTGGGAGCGACGGTAAGTACTGCTGTAGCTGCATCGTCAATCCCGTTCTCGACGAATACAGTGTTGAATATCTGGACGAGGTTCGGTTGACTAGCGTTCGCGAACGGGGTAGATATGGGGACTATGGCGTATGAGGCAGGAAGTTGACCCTACACAGTTGGGTGGGTTAAGTACGATTTTTGTGAAGGTGAAGACGAACGAGGATAGTCAGAGGTGACGATCGAGTCACGTTCACCGTCTCGAAATATTGTCCTTCCCCAATCAAAATCACAGCAAGTTCTCCGTCGTCTGTTCTATTTATACATACATGTCAGCCGAGCAAGTCACAGGAACGACTCCTCAGAGAGACGAAGAATTCCACTCACAGGGAGTCGACAGCATCCTGAACTTTTGTGAAATTCGCGTACAAACTCTCACTACTATCGGCAGAAACGTATATCGTGCCAGCTGGGCATCCTTCTAATGGTGAGTGACCAGCGGGCTTTTGGACTTGACACAGAAGGAATTGAGGGGAGAGAGCTGAAACAGAGTGTGAGTCAAGACTCAAGGAGGCTAGTAGACATAGAGTGAGGAAGGGGAATGAGAATGAGAATTCAAAGCGCGGACGCATTCTCGATTCAATGTCAAGGGGCTTGGAATAACTCGTCACTAGAATTCGACGTCTTTATAACTGGGAGCTGCTGATTATAATCTCGTCGACGTTGGACTGCTGCTGCCATTGACCAGCTGGTTGAGCTACCGCGTGATGCAACGAACAGCGAGGCGGACCGCGAGTACACGGACCGCACTTGCAAAGTATAAACCGTGCGACCGCTCCGCTCGACCCAGGCCAAGGATAAGATTCGTATACATTCCCAAAGTTGTACATTTTCCAAAAGTTCTATGCATACACGCAGAACAATACGACTCACGGCGTCAAATTTTCCACCCCACTGTATGACTCATATCCACCGGAATATAATGTTTGTTTGGAAGCGCATCACTAACACTTTGAACACTGGCGTTCTCTGCGATGATTCGCTGGCCCATTTTATACAAAGTCGCCTGTGAAGGAGCGTGCACTGTGAAATGCGAACCTCGAAGATACAGCTAGAGAGAAAGAATCACCTGTACACTGGCACTCTCGTCTTCAGCAAAGACCTCGAGGGTTATGGTCCTTGCCCTATCCAGAACAGTGGCATCCCAGACGCTTCCTGCCTCGGCTTGGTCTAACGCCGGGATAACGATATCGAGTTTTTTCTATGAAACCATAACGACAATGACAATGCTGTGAGTCTCGTCTACTGTTTTAGCACCGGTTTCTTGGAACGTTTCAATCTCTGTGATAAGTGAGTTCTCGTTATGAACGAGAATGATCACCGCAACAGGATAACATGCCTAGACAACCCTTGGAATGAACACCAAGTTCATGAAGATAGGATGGAATGTACGCACCGCGGCGACGATGGACATTGCAGTGATAACATTCATGGCTTGCGAGAAGCCAGAGTCCACGACAGTATACACATCCAATAATATACATACACCATAAACTGATTGTATTCCGCAATATATGGCTCCGGACTCAATCAAGAGTAAGAGTATGTTCTCCGAGCGTGTCCTTTTATGAATAGACACCGCTGACATGAAGCGATGATAATTCCTGGAAATTTATGAGGATTGGGTCAAGCAAGAAGACACATAGTAGTAGCACTGGCATGATGCCTTACCAGGCTTTGAATGCTATGAGAATGGTGGCAAAAATATTGACAATCAGGGATATTATGCTGGAAAGCCAGTCAAGTAGTGGAGCTTGCGATCTCGACACTGAGTTCGATGTTACCCCAGATACAATCAGCGACATTGACGCCTGCAGTGCAGAATAAGTACTATGTACTGTCAAAGTTTCACAAGTTCCAGCTACGCACCTATGTTGGCTATCATGAGAACCACTAGAGAAACTTTCCAGAATTTTCCATCTCGGAATAATATCCACGCTCTCCAAACAACGATGCAATCGCTCAAGAGAAGCTATAGAATTTCCATTCTCTCAGCTTTGGATAGCACGGAGTACTATCAGATTGTGAGGGGTACTGACATTGACCGTTGCAGCCCACGATGGCATATACTGCCACGCCAACGTTTTCCGATCGGATGCTTCAGCTTGAGCCACCAGGCCCCCTGGTAAGGTTTGCACAAATGTATACCGGATATCGGAGATGTTGAATCCTCCAGAGTAGAAGATGTCCCAGGTGAAGCAAGAAAATATCACGAGCAGACAAACGAGTAGGATAGTCTGTGACCGTCCCCAGGTTCTTCTCCTGTTTCATGTGACGAGGGAAATGGTAGTATAGTGTCAAGATATTGACTCTCAAAGCTTTTATATTTGGGCTTACACACCTGAGAGATACGACGGCAATGATTGTTCCCAAAACAAATGCTCCTAAAAATCAATGTTTGTAGTATGTACTTGTGCTGTAACCTGTTCCCCCCCCCGACGAAATCCACGCACCATACCCGGTGATAGTTACTATCAAATTTACAGTGTTGAAGAATGTGGACTGGGCAAAGGAGAACACCATCGCTTGCTCGTCGGGAGTCATTGCAAGGCAGAATAAGAGTAGCTGACGGCAGTGAGACAGAAAGAGGGAAAAGTTAAAGAGGTTTATAATGGTGGGGTCCTATGATCTATCACATGGCATGATGGTGGATGGTCGTGAAGTTGATTGGTTATGATTACACAAATATTCAGCAGAAGGACATAGATAGGATTCATCCCCCTCGGAAACTTACATGCAGTGAGAGGCAGTGAACAGGAGCATCACAGGCGTTGATCTTGAATAAACAGAGTACAGAGCGATACAGCGCCTTTTTCTCAATGGGAGTCTGAGCAACGTCCAAAAGCAAGAAAACTTGTAGAGGAGTGGAGGAGTGATTCAATTTATCTATATTTATGAATGGATACTGATAGCTATAGTACATCACCACAGATAAGGTGCCTTGGCCTCAGTGCATTATGCTCTATATGTTCTAATGAAATCCGAGTCAGCAATGAGTTCCATGATTACATTGCTCTATTTGCTTGAATTCATGTTGAATTCATGGAAAAATAGCTACTGTTCTGTTCTGTAATCAACATGCATCTCTCGGATTGGATACATATAGTAGTACTAATGCACCCGGGGGAATCTATAGTGAACAGGATAAAAGGTTTAACTTGGAAGAAATCATCATCATGAGCAATCAGTGCAGTGAACAACATATGAATCTAATAAGTACAAATTCACTGACCAGTGACACTGACCTGGCCCGAGGGCGGATTCAGACTCCAGAGTGATTTGATGATGATGATGATGATGGTGGTTGCCGTCTTTTTCAGTTGGAACTTAAAACAAATCAGGGTTCAGAAATCTCAGCCCACAGTTTACAAACAAGCCACAGAACACACAGAACAGCATCCACAACTCAATCAATCAAACAGCCTACTTGAATTGAAATGAAATGCCACAGGGTCATGACTCATGGTTGAAACGTTGAGGGTTGACGAAAACTAACAACCTTGTGTCAACTATCACACTGTCAATGTTCCTTCTTCAAAGTTCACTGAGAGTCCCAATTTCCCAAACTCGTAATACTTGTCCTCGTTTTCCTAGCACTCTTCGTTCGTTCGTTCATTACCGATACCGATACTGATACCAATACTGATACTGATACCGATACCGATACTGATGCGGAAGGAGCAAAAGGCACTCAGGCAATTGGTTTTAATTGTGAGTCGGAGTGACATATCCCCCCAATTCCCCACTGGGAAGAGACTCGGAGGAATCTCGCACTGTTGACGAATGATACTTGGGAACCTCTGTTATGTTATGTGAAACTATGTAAACCTCTGTATAACTCTCTAAAACCCTGTAAACCTCGGTAAACCTCTGTGTAAACCTCTGTTATATAAACCTCAGTAAACCTCTGTGAACCTCAGTAAACCTCAGTAAAACTATGTAAACCTCAGTAAAACTCTGTAAAACTCTGTTATGTAAACCTCTGTAAACCTCTGTAAACCTCTCTAAACCTCTGTAAACCTATCTAAACCTCTGTAAAACTTCTAGATATAAATGAATGTGTTGTGTTGGATTGGAAGTGGGAGTGGAATAGAGTAGAAGTAGAGTAGAAGTGGGAGTAGAGTAGAAGTGGAAGTGGAAGTGGAAGTGGAAGTGGGAGTGGAAGTGGGGATTGTGTTTATCCCATCCCCCCCCTCTCCCCTCCCTTCCCCTCTCCCCTCCGCACATTCCCCTTCAACCCCTTCAACCCCCTCCCCTCCCCTCCCTCTCCCCTCTCCCCTCTCCCCTCCCCCTCTCCCTCTCCCCTCTCCCCTCTCCCCTCCCCTCTCCCCTCTCCTCCCCCGTAACCCCTCCCCTCTCCTCCCCCGCAACCCCTCCCCACACTCCAAAAGAACCAACAACCTCGCGAGTCGCATAATATAATACGGGATGCCACCTATAGGGTCCGAGGGTATCCTACAGGATCCGAGGGTATTATACAGAATACAAGAAGACCATCCAGGATCCGAGGGTATCCTACAGGGTCCAAGCAGACCATACAGGGTTCAAGAAAAAAATCTTCTCCCTATGTAGTATGGAGGATGGATCTCCCTAATCCCTATGTAGGTTTGATCTCACTATGTAGGATGGAGGATGGATCTCTGATTAACACATGGTTTTAGAAAGAAAGAAAGAAAGGAAGACAGAAGAAAGCAAGAAACAAGAAAGAGATGGCGGATAATGATAATGATAATGAGCATTCACTCTAGGTAGTCTAAGTATAGCAATTCATTCATCAAGTACCCAGGATAGGATTCAAAACCCTTTTTATTTTCGAAGCAAGAGAACAAATAAAAATAGGTATTATATCCCCTCCCATCCCCTCCCCTCCCCATCTCCCTCCCTCCCCCTCCCCACCCCCCAAAAACCACTCCCCCCTCCCCTACTCCCCCTCCCCACCCCCCAAAAACCACGTCGTATAATGCCACACATACTCCGTCCACCCCTCCAACACCCCCGCCCCCGCGATAATATGGAGACAATCCCCCGTCGCATGCGCATCGGGGCGTAATCGGGCCGGTCTGTCGATGGGGAGGTAGTGGATGTTTGGATAGGAGGGGATGTTTGGGAAGGAGGAGGGGGTGGTTGGATAAGAGGGAGAGGCGAGGATGTCCTCAAAAACACGGTTGAACTCGGGGATGCTTCCCCAGTTGTACCACCCCCACTTCATGGGAGGGATTTGAGCCGCGGGGGCGCGGTGGGTGTGACAGTCTTCGTGGCCGGGGAGGTATGCGCGGACTAGGACGTTGCGGTTCTTTTTTTGACCGCCGGAGTCGTAGTCGTCGTCGAGTGCGAGTTGGGTGTGGGTGGCCCAGGCGTGCATGGCTTCAGCGAAGAAGGATATGAGGCCGTCGATGGAAGCGTACCCGCTAAACATCGACGTAGTCCAATGCCCTGCAGTGCTCACTATTAGATTCGCGTAGTTTCCATACGGGGGGGGAAGGAGGAAGAGGTTCTCGATGTACGTGGAGGGAGATAAACTCCACACCGCTTCGTCGGAGAACAACGTAAAGTTATTCCCTACCCCGTCTTCTTCGTACATCTCTGGGTGTTTCTCTCTATGGAGTATTTCCAATTCGGAAGTGGAGAGTAAGAGATCGACGCGTCTGAATGTGATCAGCGGTGTTGTCGAGATATTGAAACCCGGGGGATATTGGAGAGTGGGGAGGACGGGGGAGGAGGGGTTGAGATACATGTGTTGTGGCCATGCGCGGTCAAAGTACGGATTCTGCACATAATCGGGGGTAGCGAGGACGTGTGGGTATAACAGGCATGAGATGGAGAAGAAGTGTCCTTCGGTGATGGAGTCGCCGATGAGGAGCCATCCACCGTTCTGGACTAAATCTCGGACAAATTGGCGTTTATTCTTCTCATCATACAACCTCCTAAACCCATACTCCTCTCCTTCTTCTTCTTCTTCTTCTTCCACACACCCCCCTTCCCCCCCCTCGTGGTCGTCCTCATCACCCCACCCCCACCGCCAACTACTCACCACCGGAAACCGATCCCACATCTCCCCATTATCACTCCCCAAATGCCAATAAAACTCCCGACTACTCGCACACCCCTCGAACCCCGCCATCCCAACCGCGTCTTCCGGGTGCACCAGCGCCGTCGCGTTCGTGCGCGGGTGATATCTCCACGACCCCGAGGCGTACGCGGTGGGGGTGCAGGATGTCGCGTTGGCCCGGGCTTTGCTGGACTTTGACGAGGAGGTCCATGAATGATTTCGTATTGAGGATAGTGTGAGGTTTGAAGAGGAGAGGGTGTACACTAATATAAGTAATGTGAATAAAGACCCCAGGAGGAGCAGTTTCGTGTATAGCGCTCGAGGCGCACAGTGCAATACCCCCATTATCGTTGTTGGTGGGTAAGAAGTAATAGGGATGGTTGTTACGTCAGCGACACGTGTTGCTTAATAACTCTTGATGTAAGACTATTTACAAAAATTCTTGGTTCGGCTACAGAAAACCAATCCTCCATCGCATGCGTATGTTCGACCGCGCTAGTGTCTCATCCCCATCTACAGGTACGTGAATACGTGAGTACGTGGTATCCTTCCCCCTCCACAACACCTCAAACACCTCATTAAACCCGTCACTGTTTCCCAGTTATATCACACCCCCACCCCACTTCAACGCAACGGGTTCAACGCAACGTGTTCAACGGTTGAATTTGGGATTAGAACCGGGACCGGGATTTGAAGTATATTTAGGGGATTTGAGGTGAATTTAGGATTTAGAATCACCCACACTCACCACCACCGCTCTCCGCCCACAGCCCACACTCGACATAATCCACGTAGTCCACGTAGGAGTCTTATCTTCCTCAGGGACATACCCCGTGGACACCAGAGAGGGCGTGTGTGGTGTGGCGTTGTGGCGTTGCGGAGGAGGGAAGGGGAGGAGGGGAAGGGGGGAAGGAGGCGGAGGAGGGTTATGACCCCTTGGGATGGGTAGAGGAGGGAGGAGGTGGTGTACCTGTTGAAGAGGGAGGGAGGGAGGAGGGAGGTAGGATACATCCACTGCCCTGCCCCGCCCTGTCCTGTTGTGTCTCCGATGAGCGCCGCTTGCTTGCGGAACCAGCATAACCTGCTTAGGAACAAGGAACGAGGAACGATGAATGCGGAAGGAGGAACGAGATGGAGACAGAGGGTCAGAGATGGAGAGTGTACATTGGAGATGGGGATGGAGAGTGTACATATGGGGAGTGTACGGGGAAGTGGTGAGTGGGAGCCAGGAAGTGGGACACAGTGGGGAGTACAGGAGTGTGGCACACCAACAAATCAAATCCCCGGGTGTTTATTATGTATATGTGATTAACTGTCTTTCCGGGATATCCACACACCACACACCACACATAATCGGAGGTGGGGGTAGGGGGGTAGGGGGGTAGGGGTGTTGGTGAGGGACGTGGAGGGGGAGGGGGGGGGGGGGGGGGGGGTAAAACACTATACAGCACAGCACAGCACAATACAATACAACTCAACATGAGAGGGAGAAAGAGGGAGATGAGAGGGAGAGGGAGAGGGAGATGAGAGGGAGAAAGAGGGAGAGGGAGAAAAAAGTGTAAAATAGAAAGAGGGAGAAAGAGAAAAAGAGAAAAAGTGTAAAAGTGTAAAAGAGAAAAAGTGTAAAAGAGAAAAAAGTGTAAAAGAGAAAAAGTGTATAAGAGAAAGAGAAAGAGTGTAAAAGAGAAAGTGTGTATAAGAGAAAAAAGTGTAAAGAGAAAAAGTGTAAAAGAGAAAAGTGTAAAAGAGAAAAAGTGTAAAAGTAAAGAATAAAAGGAGAAAAAATCCTTTGCCGTGGTTCATTCAGCAACAAAGTCTCCAATGACACCCTTGACACCCTTGACACCCTTGTACTGAGGTATGAAACTTGAATGACACCCTGACTACCCTTGACACCCTGGACACCCTTGACACCCTGGACACCCTTGTACTGTTCCGAACAAGGTCAAGGTATGAAACTTGAAGAGGAATGTGTGCGTTTGGTGGGTTTCGGAGTGGGTGGTATACCCTTCCTTGCCCTCCTTCTCCTTCTCCCTCCTTGTCCTCCTTGTCCTCCTCCTTCCTCCACTCCCCTCCTTGTCCTCCTTCTCCTTCCTCTACTCCCCTCCTTCCACCACCAATCCACCACCACCAATCCAACCCCACTAATCCAACCCCACTTATCAAACCGATCCACCACCACCAATCCAACCCCACCTATCAAACCGATCCCCCTCCTCCTCTCTACAGCACAAGCAGCTGTGCAGGATAAGCCCCCCAGTGATGGATGTATAAGTGTGTCCCCCTGGATTACAGATTATGGGTGCACAATACCCCTGGTATTCATGTGGGAGTGGGTGGGTGTGGGTGATGCGTTCATTTACGTGGTTGATGCGTTCATTTACGTGGTTGATGCGTTCATTTACGGGAACTATGAATAGGCAGAGGGGGGTGCGGGATGTTGTGTTGAGGTGTGGTTTGGAGTTTGGTTTGGAGGTGGACGAGGAAGGGGAAGAGGAGGAGGTGGAGTTCGATGTGGAGGTGAACAAGGAAGGGGAGGAGTTGGAGTTTGATGAGGAGGTGGATTTGGAGGAGGAGGAGGTGGAGTTTGATGAGGAGGTGGATTTGGAGGAGGAGATGGAGTTTGACAAGGAAGTGGGAAAGAAAGGGGAGGAAGACAAAGGGGAGAGGACGGATGAAATGGTGGTCCATGCGGCCCATGTTCCTCATAACTAAGAATATTGAGAATTGAGGATATCAAGAATATTGTAAATTTAGATTTAGATCACATTGTTATTGTTATTGGTGTATTTGGTGTTTGGCCTGTTCAGTTGATATAGCGTTGGATGCAGAATGTTGTATATTTGGTATCCAGGCTATGTCGGATGGATGCCAAAGGACCCACTAAAGCAATGAGCACCAATGATGCCGAGGATGCTCTAATCCCATCTTATCAAGGGATAAATACATTTTTCATGGGTATCCCACCTGAATGAAGCCCGAGGAAGTGATCATATCTAGCGCTTATGGAGTTTTCGGATCACTATAACCTTGAATCCAAATATTGGAATTGTTTAAATCAGCCGCTCAACATCTGAAGCTTCCCACAAATGCAAATTTTTCAACCAATAGATTTTTTTTCGAGTGCATGTGTACTTTTGAAGTGAGACCTGTGAGAACAGGAATTGTCAATAATCTGGCTTATCATTCAACCGTCAACCTTCGACTTTGACTTTGTTCGAGTTCAGGCTGCAGAGATGTTAGCTACTGTGAGTTCTTGGTGAATATCAATTACTAGTCAAAGTTGCTGATGCTTCAAATATTGCTGTTAGACCATTCCCTCTGAGCTGAAGTGCCATATTGCCACATTCTGTGCCCCAGCAACATTGGCAAATCTAGCTCTGGTGCATAAAAGTTTCCAAAAAGAATCTGAAGCAATCCTTTACAAACAGCTCAATATTTGTCTGGTGTCTAAAAACACAAAGTCCAGACAAATTTGGACTACACTCAAGCTGCACACTCGAAAAGCTAACCTAGTGCACTCCTTGGCTCCTCCCATCATGGGAATCTCCCAATCATGACATCCGTACTGCTTACATTGAGCTATTTTGCGGTGCACTTGCCCATATGCATGCTCTTTGGGAATTGCGCCTTTATTTCAGTCACAAAGACATGAACTGGCAAATGCAAATAATGGCAGTTCTGAGGTATGGTATACTCATCCTGATTCTCTACGAGTCCTCATCATGAATGGTAACATGCATTGTAGCAAAGTACATTTCAATCTGAACTCACTGCACTGCAGCCAGTTCTTTGATCTCTCGACCATTACTGATGCACACTCCAACTCACTTCAAACTCTAGGTGTGTTCAGTAATGGGGGTGATGACAGTTTCCTATCCACAATCCAGAACATTTCCATTAAACACCCAGACCTTACCTTGTTCTCATATGAGCAAGAGGGTGCTTTCACCATGTTTAAAATCCTCCACATCTATCCCGCACTATCACTTGTGTCGGGTTTCTCATGGAAACCAATTTCTGATTGTTATAGGTGCAACAGTAATCTACATATGGGGCTAAAAAGAGAATCTGTCATCAGTGTACGCATTTATCTTTCCGATATTTCTGATACCCAATTCCTTCGGTGCCTTGTGGAAGAAATGATTGGACTATTTCCAAATGTCAGAGGCTTAGAGCTCTTGTTCCGAGACACGCCTCCAGAGGCAAGTTTTTTTGATTGCTTAGTAAGACATCCATGGCTAATGCATGACCATTGACTAGTTGAATGTGAAAGACTTATCTACAATCATCTCTCCCATCCCTTGTTTACAGGAGCTGAGTTTCAGACACTGGTTTTCTTCAACACAATACTGTGGACAATCTATCACCAACAGTGATCGATTTGCACTGGCAAGAACATGGGAGGGTATATGCTCAAGCTTGCAATCGATTGAATTTTTGGATGGTTCATGGGTCCAACGGTCTGTAGATGACAATTTAGATTGGCATTAGATACTGTTTTCCTGTTTGTCTAAGTCATTCAGCCAGTTTATAGTATTTGATATAGAAATGTGAAACAGATGATCAAGCAGGCAGCTTGCTGAACCTGCCGAAGCACTGAGAAGCAAGTGGTAAACACAGACAAGGATGGCGCTGAGTATGCTGATTCTGATTTCAATCTTATCTCATTGGGTTAAGATAGCTATTCTGGTGGAAGTTTCAATCTTGAACATGCAGTGAGCGGGAAAATAAGTGTTTGTGCCTGGTATTCGAAGGGTAGGATGGTCACCCCGGTAGAAAACTCTAGTACTAAATGCGGCCATTTCGGATTTCAAGGTATCTACTATGTAAAGCAATGGGTGAGGACTCTTGTACACTATATAAGACGGTTCGATGTATCCATTTCTGTACGCTGGCCGGTCAGTTCATTGTTCTTTCAAACAGACCTGTACTTACTTTAGCAATATGCCTAGTCAACCATCAACATTTCACCTCCATTGCCAAGTGAGTGGTCTTTCATGGGTATAACTTCATCTTTTCCAGATTTTTCATCTAGCAACACCTTTCACGCTCAAGAATTTCCATCTCAACAAATCCAATAAGCTATCAAAATGTTCTTCCGGCAGCTTATTGCATTTTTCAGCTTTCTAGCAATATTTTCTGGATTTAGTCTTTGCCTACCAACAACATTACATCGCCGAAGTCAGTTATTGAATAACTCAAACCTCTAGCCTCTTTGCTTAACTAACCTCTTACCAATATAGTTGCTGATCTTGAGTTAGTTCTTCGCCAAACTCAATCCAACACTATAGATTGGCATTTTGCCCTTGTCATTCGTGCTCCTGGTGCTCCTAGGGGACAAGGAATTGAACACACCCATTGACACTGACAATAAATGCTTCTTCTTTGATACCAGACATTCCAATATACAAGTCACTGAGAAACAGGCAATTATTGTTGCTCCTCTCCTAGCAGCAAATGGTGAAGATACAGATAATGACCTCTATAGTGCTGTGGAAAATATAGCTAAACAGGTACCCACTGCTACAACAAGCCAGATTGCAAGTGGGGACTTCAACAACTGCTTTTACTTTGCTACTGAAGTGCCTAGGAGGCTGGGAACAGCAAATGTTGAGGAATTTGTCAATTATCACAATGAATTTGCTGCAAAGGTGAAGGAGAAGACAAATGCAGGTACACAGCGTTTTTGTGCTCGTGGGAACAGCACTTGTGGTGACACTCAACATCAACCCTAATCCACTAAAGGGGGCAAGAGTGGTAATACTACTAGTGCATCTACAGTCCACCCAATCACCAAACATCCATCCCCGTGATAGTGATGGTGCAAAGAAATCGTGATATGAAGGTGAATGGTCTCTCCAATAATTTGATTTTGATGCAATTCTCTCCAGCTTACTGAATTCAGCACCAAACCTTGCCAGTGCAAATTTTGAGCAGAGCATGAAGATGGGAGGTAGATGGGAGATGCACAAATAATTGTCACTTGTGGTTTAGATAGGACAGGCAGGCTTGGTTGCAGTCCAAGGTAGACAATATTGGTGTCAGATTCTGTGACTTTGACAAATTCTTTCCCTTGTACTGTATGTACAACCCATGCATGACTTGAGTATATTTTGGCAACATTTGCAACAGCTTCAAATGATGGATCATTGATTTTTTCAAGCAGAAGGTATACATGTAAGTTGAAGGGGTTTAATATTAGAATGTTTGTGACCAACCAGCTTTCTTCCATTTCACAACATACATTGGGAGATATCTTGTACCAGTAGTCAGGATTATCAACACAGATCTTAAAAGCTTCGGAGCGATGCACCAAGGCATGGTCTTGACAAGCATTTAGACTGTTCCATCCTATATGGTATAGGATGGGACAGTGGGATAGCTCACCAGACTCGGACTCAACTATTCGGAAAGTTATATAATCCCTCCTACTCGGAACTCCATAAATTCTGAGGAATTTTCAAGTAATATTGCATGACCAAACCAAGAGGATTAAGAGCTTCAGCATTTGAACGTTTGAACGCATTGGACACGTTTCACTGTTTTCGATTTCAAATCAATGATTATCGATACCTATCTATTCCATCAGTGTAATCTATGTAGAAGTCAGTCAGTTTCGAATATGAATATTTGACTCCCTAAGAATATGAATGACTCCGAAGTCAACAACAACTCAACAACATCCCTTCTTAGCGTTCAAAATCTTCTCTGGTTTCTCCTAGGTTTGCTTGTTTACAAGATTCCGGGAAAATTCGAGGCTCCCCCTTAAAATTGTCATTCTATATCCATATTCCACATCGACATCAGTAATATCCGGAATTACTGGTCCGAACTGTTTTGGACTTGCCGAGACTTGCAGCAACCCAAAAAGCCCAAAAGTTCACCAGTAACCAGTCAAGTCGAAATTTCTGCCAGTTCAATCAGAGTTTGAGTCACCGAGGTGGCAAATGAGTTCAGATGCTCCTGAACATACTGGTATATACTTTTCAGGTATATAGCACTTAATTCAGCAACTTCTTTACATAGTATAGGTATGTACTCAAACACCATTAAGAAAAAGATTTGGGTGAGCCAGTGAAAAAGTCTAAAACAGCCGGTAACAGTTGCCAGTTTTTCCGGCATTTGCTGATGGAACATTGATATTCCGTATTGAGTATGTAATACAGTATCTAGTATCAACAGAAATTGCATCTTATGGTTGGACGCCTTCCCCAAGTTCAATAACCTTCGATTCGCATATACATGCACTCTATCTATGTATCACATATCAACCAACATATCCATATCTTACAACACATTCTTCTAAAACCCCCATAACATAGCATAACATTCAACAGCTTATCGTCCCCCAGATAGCATTTTGGGGCCCAGTCATTCATTCATTCCATCGCCGAGTTTGAATAAGGACAGTTCGAGGCTCTATACCATTCATATCCACCAATCCCCTCAGTCACAGATATGTACAGAACGAGATAAAATAGAGGAAGTAGAAATAGAAACTTATTGGTCTCACCCATTCATATCGTGCTATCAATCTTCTCTCCTTCCTCTGTATTTGAGTCAGTCAAACGAGAACAAGTAAGTAGAACATTGAACCTTGATCTTCGAGCTTCGAGTTCGAACTTACCCGAACCACCCCCTCTCTCTTCATGGATTTTGAATAGCTCGTTGCTCCTACCTATGTAGTATTGCGATAGGATGGGACGGGAGCAATCAAAAAGCTCTGGATCTTAGCTAGGCTGTCCGATTGCCCGATTGTGATTACTCCAAGACAAGACAACATCAGAATTTAGGGCGATGGGAAATGGATGGGGCTCACTATGTAGACTAAACCATTCGGAAAGTTAATCTCTCCTAACCTCTCCTCCGTTTCCGCCTCAGATCATCATCTATATACATTATCCTCTCGGACTTCCGCAAGTTTCAAGGTGACAATCAGCACGAGCTGTTGGACGAACACGAACCCTTTAACACGTAAATTCATTTTTCGTATCGATAAAATATCGATGAAGGAAAAAAGATTCAATTTACCTCGTCCTGGTAGTGGTATGTCCCGATATCTGATTCTTGAAAATCATCGGTTTCTTAAGAATCATCGATATCTACATATCTATCCCATCAGTGGAATCTAGAAGTTCGACGCTGCAGCCTTCGAATACGAATTGTCAACAACCTGGGTTTATTTGTTTGTTTAGAAGATTCTGAGAAGATTCGAGGCCTCGACTTACCATTGACTCCGCATTGATATTGAGTACTGAGTACCGAGTATTAACAGAAATTAACAGGTATTAAAAGGAACTGCGTCCGCGATGGTTCCTAGACAGAATGTACTATGGAAAGCCCCAAGGCAATATCGGATTATTCGTGGAATGGTTGGTTTCTTTCTTGTGGTGAACGTGACATGGGCCAAGAAGGGTCCAAGCTAAGACTCCAAGACAGCAGTACGATTCCTTGCAAAATATCGCTAGACACGAATTCGAGGGGATTTGAAAGAGCTCAGAGGAGGTGCGCCGTGTATTTGAGTGCGTTACAGCCTTGCGATTGAAAATATAGAAAACCTGGGTACCGCAGGGTACTGCTAACTAGTCTCACTGAAGACTTGTAGCGTAGTAGGATAGGTTACGCGTACGCTCTGAGACGCCGTACGTGGGAACGGAACAGGAAGAGGGAGAAAAAAAATGGGGTTCTTCTGTATTTGGGAAATCGGGGAAACATACCCAAAAGTACCCAAAATCATCGATTGAACGTACCGGGACGGAAGCTGACGGGAGTATAATTTAGGAAAGGTACTAGATATGTGGATAGATAGATAGATAAAGAACACGGTTGTGGTATGCACACTTATGCACTCCTGATGTTGTATGGCCTCACTGCAATCTGAGCTTGAGCATGGCAAAAGACGATTCGAAGTTGAGTGACATCAAGGAAAACGAGAAAAAAAAGAAACTTTCTGGGTATCCGGCAGGCGGCACGCCGGAGGATCACAATCGGACCAAAAAAAATTTCATAAATTACAAATTTGGGAAGATATACACACCTGACGGGAACGCTTTTCCCGGCCGAGAAATATATAGGGAAATGAGAAGAGCAATCGCCGATTTCCCCTCAGTGAATAAAATTCTTTCTCATAAGGAAATAATTAGGTTTTACGGACGGGAAATGAGTAAAATATTAACTGTATTTCCCAATTTAGAAATATAGTATTTTTCATCAGATGAAGATTATCTTTCGCCTTTGATAAAGATTATCTTTCGCATTAGATAAAGATTACCTATTACGAAAGATAAAGATAATCTTTCGCGCTAGATAATTTTTAGATTGCGCGCTAGGGAAATGGAAAATTTCCCGGTTCGCGAAACCAAATAGCTTAGCGCCTCTTAGCGCCCACCCAGACATATGAGTGGCACTCACTCTAGTTGACACAGCTCGACACCCATTGGCACTATCTACAGGTTGCAGGGTTAATGAATCAATAGGTTGGTTTTTGCTGAGTTTTTGGTAGAGGTGGCATGCTTAGCCACTCATGTCTTTAAGTGGGCGCTAAGAGGCGCTAAGCTATTTGGTTTCGCGAACCGGGAAATTTTCCATTTCCCTAGCGCGCAATCTAAAAATTATCTAGCGCGAAAGATTATCTTTATCTTTCGTAATAGGTAATCTTTATCTAATGCGAAAGATAATCTTTATCAAAGGCGAAAGATAATCTTCATCTGATGAAAAATACTATATTTCTAAATTGGGAAATACAGTTAATATTTTACTCATTTCCCGTCCGTAAAACCTAATTATTTCCTTATGAGAAAGAATTTTATTCACTGAGGGGAAATCGGCGATTGCTCTTCTCATTTCCCTATATATTTCTCGGCCGGGAAAAGCGTTCCCGTCAGGTGTGTATATGATGCTTCTCTGACGTCCTTGTCTCTGAAAATAATGGACCGTATACAGGGATTCGCACCTTGTAAACAAAGTTCTTTTCCTTGTTCTCGGACCACCATCTATCCCATCCTTGTACCCTTTACCTTATCTTCCATCTCCCAAGCTGGCGTTCAGCTTTTTCGCGAGGGGGTGCTCCACTGGGTCGCCACACAACCAAACAACTTCACACCTTTCAGCCAGGGGATTACAGGATTACACCACGATCCATTAGAGTTCTATCCGCCAACAGCTATATTGGCGCATATCCACCTACACACACTCTAAAAACCGTTCTGGCGTACATACAGCAGGTTATAGATTCAGAAGAAGAGCGATCATTATGACAGCGCGGGCGAGCTACGTTGATTATCCCAGACCAATTATAGGTTCTCCAGGTTCCGGTGGTGAGTTTGTCGTCTGCTGTCAACATATTAGTCCCCGTGAGCTCATTGAAACGCATAATACTTTTTTGCATTTATTTCTCTTGATCGTTCCGTGTCCGCAGCTTTGGTCTCAGGAAAACGGATTTCGCATCGATACACTCAGAGTGCACCGTCTGCGCTGCTGCCGATCCCGTCTTTGAGCTCTTCGTTGACCTCGATATCATCAGCGATCGCTAATTCAAGTACATTGACGACACCCACTTGCGACACGTATGATGAGTACATTGCGCCGTCGGTGACTTTGAATATAGTGTCTATCACTGGCAGTGGCACGACGACTCCAGAAGTCGATCAGGAGTTTGACGTTCCGACACCAAAAGCTTCTCCGAGAGCAAGTTCGAGAATTCCAGTTCCTGTTCTCCTCGTTAATCGAACAAGACGTTACACAGCTCCAACTGAGAGCGAGGTCGCCACTGTCGATCGTGGTCCTTCATACTCTGATCTGGGTTTCACGCAGCGATCACAAAACTTGCGCAAGTCCAATCCGAGCTTTATTCCCATCTCTTCCAACTCGGTCCGTAGTGCTCTCGGATCGAAAAAGCTAGCATCCAAATCTACTTTACGTTCACCCTCAGCAACGGTCTTGTCCCACCGAAGACGGACCTTTTCCCCAGCAACTTCCCGTCCGAACCCTAGCCAACCTTCACAGCCAAAACCTACCTTGGCTATCTCGTTCGTATCATCACCAGATCCTTGTCCATCACAGAGTTTACCTGCAATGGTAAGCTCCAAAACGGACGTAGATCGGCTGTATTCACACCGGAGATATTCTTCTTCTGAAATCGGCAAGGCTATGGATTCAGCGGCTCGGAAATGCTATGGTGCAGCCTCGTGCTCGACGAGTTTATGTTCCCCGCAAACAGGCTCATACCGAACGTCATCGTCCTCCTCGTCCCTTGTTCCCGGCTCACAAGCCGAAACAATGTCTGGTAAAAGAATGACGCCCGGGGCTCGTCATACTACTCACGGCATGCATAATAATATTATTCATAAACCTGGTTTTAGCTCTTCTCAGACGCTTTTACACAACCCATCTAATTCCTCTCGCGCAGCTGAACGCATGCTTCGGTCTACTCTCGCTCGAGATGAAACGAATTCGATTTCTGAGAAGCGCAGACGACATTCGTCTGCTACTCCAAACTTAGTAGTAGGCAATGGTGGTCTGGAGTCGTCGGAGTCGGCGACCACGTTGAAACCCCACGAAAAGATCCTGCGGGCACGGTTGGAGCGAGTGCTTCTCGCCAACGTGCAGGCTGACGGTACTTCTTTGTACGGAGTCGATGATGGTCGGAGAGTTCGGGCATCGTCGACTGAGTCTGTGAACATGGGTAGAAGACGATCGAGGTCAAGAGCTGGTTCAGACACGGGCATGTTGGGGTGGTTTTGGAGCAAAGGCTCGACAGTTGACGACGAATACGAAGATGGCGGCGATGAGGTATGTACTGACCTATTCGTTCACTACTCCACATTGGATATTAATTAAAACCTATATGTAACCTAGGCAATCCCATTACCTGTACCCCCTATTGCCTGCCCTCACGTCCAAGCTTTCTCGCAGACATCACATTTTGCACGTTTCACTTCACCGCAACAGCCTGCTTTACCCTCATCACCTTCGGCGTCGTCACCGCAGAACCCGTCTCGCATGCGCTCGCATACTTCACCGGTTCCGTCTAATTTCTACAATGCATTTCAGAGCCCATCACAATCGCCTCGTCCACGACATGCGTTTTCATTAGAGACAGTTCCTAGCGTTGGTGAAATGTCTGTTGAGGAGATGGAATCAGACGTCGACATTCAGGCCGATACTACCAAAACCGATACTACTCGCGCAAATGGTAACACCTCGAGGGGTGTAACACAGAGCCTTAACCAGGCGCAGAAAACACCCAGAATGCCCACTCCGCCCCCAACGCCGCCTCTTCGTCGTCTCGAGACTAGCGGCATTAGAAGCACAGGCCAAACTCCCTCAGTATCGGGCTCGTCTGCTTCGAACACACGGCAAAATCGGACGAGGCGATCTACTGAACCCATGCACACGACTCAACAAAGTGCTCTCGCCACAGCCATACGTTCCCCATCACGTTCTTCCACACCAGCTACAGCTTCTGCATTCCTAACGGAAGCGAAGAGCAGGCGTAAATCAACCCCCGTGTCTGGTTCTGTCCAGGCAGTGAAAAATTCCGAAAGGCGGAGATCCATCCCGGCGTCAACGGGTGCAGGACCGGACCCGCGATGTCATCCTCGAAATGTCAATAACTCTGCTGGGCAGATAGATTTTGTGCAGTCTGGAAATCATCATCTTGTGGTCCAGAAACCAGATGCTCGCACACAGCATGTTAGACAGTCTACGATGCCTGTGAATCTTTCTTCTTCCCTCCCTTCTCCGTCCTTTGCGTCGTATTTACAAACACGCCACCGCCTTAGCAATTCGACGAGCAACCCTCTTCCTCCGTCTCCTACAGTACATACATCCCATCCCTCTCCTTCTTCTTCTGCTTCCATGTCCACCCCCTCGCCTACCTCACCATCTCAACCTCCTTCACCTTCAACAACAGCGTCGTCTTTCAACGCGCACACTGCGTCCATGCGATGTCGTCAGATCGACGGTTACGTATCGTTCGCGGCTGTCGCGGGTTTGGAGGAGCCTCATGGTGATGATGAGTATGCTGATGGACCAGAGGGGTTAGCTGGACGGAGTTCCTCTGACCGGGGATGGGTCGGACGGTTACTTGGGCTATAGATTTCAGAGCCTTACTTCACTTCAAATTTACTTATGCTCTTCATTCCCTTTTTTAGTTGCTCGTGTTCGAACCTCATGACATCTTGATCTCTGCTACGTGGCCAATGTTATTTGGGTATCTATCTCTGTTGTTGTTGGTTTTTTTTCTTTTCCTTTTGGTCATAGGCTGAAACGCGTTCCCTCAGTGTATGTAGGTTATGAAAGTATTGCTTGTATTCGTATCATTATTGTCGTAAAAATTAAAATATGTACAATTCGCTTGCATGCTTGTATCATTCTGCTAGACCGTAGACGGGTTCCTAAGCAATCAATGTTTGAAACCGCAATTGAGTCATCGGGTGCCGCTGGAACGCGCGACGCGCGTTCACCCGATAAGCTTAAGATTGCCCGTACGCAGTGTTGGACTCGGTTGCTTCTTCTCTCCTGCCTTCATGATGTTAGACGAGGATTCAGAATCTCGAACAGAGCGCAAGAAGCCTAGACTTCCCAACGCGTGTAGAAATTGTCGAGCGAAAAAAGTAATCTCTCTACTCCTCATCTATATTCGCGCTCTCTCCTGAAATACTTCTCGAAGATAAAATGTGGGAAGAAAGCCTTTTTTTTCTAGTGTTGGTGATGGAACTGTAGTTGACAAATGGTCAAAGGTGATAGTGCGATTAGGCCAGGAAATATTTGCTCCAACTGTATCGCATTCGGATCCGAATGCACTCATGGGATTGTGAAGGTAGGTACTTCTAGCGCAGTGCATTGTTTGGAACTCAGATAACAGTGGAACGCTAGAAACGCGGACCGCGTATAGGGTGAGTGATATACATAAGTGACCTGATTCCTTTGTGACCTTGTTTTACTCTCGCGACTTAACAGGCTTCCTCATGGGAGACGTTCAGTTCAAGCCACTGTGGACGCGATTTTATCCACTAGGAGATCTTTCGAAGTACCGAAGGACCCGGTGATAACGAAAGAAATCTTGGTTAATCTGGCAAATTACATCAAAGATTTGGAAGAAGATATAGCTCAACTTAGACAAGGACTCGAAGCTTCCTCCACTCATAGAGAAGCACCGCTCTCAACTGCACTACAGCTAAACGAAAAAGGAGGGATTACTAGGTCCTCACTCGTTCCAGACAACCCATTTCAATCCCCCGACGATTATTCCATCGACGATCTGACCCGAAGTTTCAAAATGTTCGGCGAGTTCGACGATAACTGTGTCCGACATTTTGGTAGTTCGAGCAGTAGGGCATTGGTCAAGGATGCTTTAGACATGAAGAAAGAATATACAGGCGATGCGGATTTTGTGAATGCCAAACCCTCATTCAAACGCGTAGAGTTTTGGAGTGTTCATCCCGTGAGCGACTTCAATTTCTGACGTGTATATGAGAATGATATTGTTTCTGTGAAGTGGCAGATACGAAAACCAGAAGACCGACCTCCACCTTTTGAATTTCCCCCGGACGACCTGATGATAAGTCTAATCGACCTGTTTTTCACGAAAATACACCTACTTTTGCCTATCTTACACCGTCCCTCTTTTCTCAAATCCGTCGCGAAAGGCTTACATCACGAGGACCGCCATTTCGGGGGCCTCGTTCTAGCTATATGTGCACTAGGGGCGCGCTTTTCGGATGATCCTCGTGTCTTCGAAGAGCACACTTCGAACGAACGATCTATTGGCTGGAAATGGATACGTCAGATCGAGCCTATAAAAGGCTCTTTTACCGATCCTCCTACCATACATGAGATTCAACTGTATACGGTATGTGTGGCCGTGCTCTTATCCGATACACTTCGTCAGTTCTCAACCTTTAGAATAATCCACATTCAAGGTATATGTCATGTTCGTGGGTCCGACCTCGACTCCGGAGGCTTGTTGGATTCTCATCAGCATCGGGGTCCGCTCGCTTCAAGATGTCGGCGCTCATCGAAAACTACCTAACCATGTTAAACCATCAGTAGAAACCGAGTCGTGGAAACGAGCCTTCTGGTTCATGTACGTGACAGACATTTTTGCAAGTACGTTACTGGGTCGCCCTCGATCCATGTCTCAAAACGAGTGCGTGTCCACGTATTGTTCACTCCATTCATGACAAATGATCCCGTTCAGTTTCGACGCAGATTTACCAATAGATTGCGACGATGAATACTGGGAACAAGGAGACCCCGAGCTAGCGTTTGAACAGCCGCCTGGAAAGCCTTCGACGATGTCCTATTGGACATGTTATTTGAAACTGACGAATATATTGGGCTTGACGCTACATACTATTGTGAGTGGATAGTCAATGTTTAGCTCATTCCCAAGGCCCTAACTAAGTCGAAATTATAGCATGGTGTTAGGCAATCTGATATATGGTCTGCAACCATGGGATTGTCGAAGAAGGACTGGAACGAGAGGATCGTTACTGAGGTTGACTCCCTGCTCAACAAATGGATTGATGAAATTCCTGATCATTGTGAGTAGTTGTTTCTAAGAAATGAGCTTACGATCTCTTATATCATGACAATCTTGCAGTGAAATGGGATCCTGATCGAGAAAATATTGAGCACTTCGATCAGTCGGTGATGCTCTATACCACTTATTATTGGACTCAGGTAAGCTTCGACTCTGTCGCCAGTTCGGAGAGTAGTAGAGATTTAATTCCTGCTCTAGATATTAGTCCATAGACCGTTTATACACCGTCCTGGAGAAGACACACATTCAAACATCCCCTCATTAGCAATATGTGCTAATGCTGCAAGATCTTGCCTTCGCGTTGTGGAAGCCCACCAGCAGCGCAAGACTAATGCTTTTATAATGCCAAATGTGATGGTAATGATTTCCGGTTCCTTCTCTACATACATATTGAACTCAACTCCTCGCGTTCAATAGATGGCCCTGTTCAACTCTGTTATTGTTTTATTAGTCAATATGTGGAGGGGAAAACATTTCATAGGTTCTTCTTGTTCAGATTTCAGCAAAGAACTTGCCGATGTTCACCGCGCTATCAATACATTTCATCTTCATGAAAATAGGTATGTCCTTCGGTGATTCTTACAGCTCGAAATACCAATGAAAATGGCAGGTGGGAACAGGCTGGCAGATTGGCGTGCGTTTCTGACTCTTGAGGTCCCGTCCTGGTTACATTTCGTTCATATTAACCTTCCTTTCTATAGGGACATCTTAATGGAAGTGATATCTGTCAGTCACTTCCATCAGTCGAGCCAACCCAGAACGATATCCTTGAAACGACCTCGGATAGAAAACAATATTCTTGCCTCTTCACTGACTACATCTGAAGCCGTCGACAATGAGGACCAATACACAACTGGACGCAATGGGCTGTCGGTGGCTGCGAATATTGGCAACCCTCCAACGGCATCAATCCAAGAGTTGGCTGCAAAGTTCGCTTTACCTCAAAACAGTAATGAACTTGGAAGCCTTCCCATCTGCGAACCTTTCGATTGGTCTACCCCTCAAAATCAATGGGGGTCGACCTCAGCAAATCAGACGGCTGACGATTCTTGGGCAGCGACAATTCCATACAACGCGAGTCAATTCGGTTTCTACTCGACATCGTCGGGAACATTCACAAATTTTTCCGGTGAAGGTCAAGAGGTTTTCAGAAGCGTTTTCGTGACATTGACAATTGTTTCTTAACATACAGAAAGTGCAATACCGTCTACTGAAGTAGTACTGGACAACAGGTACATCGTCATTTCAGCTTGTGGAAAATCTTTTTGAAGTTCTGCTTGTTTTTCTAGCACCCCGAATGATCCAGATGACTGGGCTTCATATATGGCGACCATCGATGAAGTATTACAGGCAACGGATCCCCGAATGACCTAAGAGTCTAGTTTTGATATGTAGTTCATGAAGGACGATCGTTTACTCACATAGAATAAGCATTCACCATGCATAATATAATGTTGTCACACACGGCGGCCTCTCGTTCGAGCGCGTTGACGTGACACCGTGAACACGGTGAATCAATCTCGCGGGCTAGAATGATTCACGAGGGGGTAGAAAAGTTCGTTCTCTCCAATATCAATGTCGTCTAGAGATGACAGGAAGAATATATAAGATATCTTGTTTTGGGGTCGTATGGAGGACTCACCATCTCACATACAGTTCACCGTATCGCCCATCCCATCATGGGTTTTTCGGCCGCTAGAAACTGAAATCCTGCATGATCCTGCCTAAGAAGATTCTTATGAGTGGAAAATATTCAACAGGGTAAACTCGGTGAAGGAGGCTACGAAGATTATGTTCAGAATAACTAGGATTTGAAACACTCATCGAACGCGAATTTTTTCAACGCAGCGCTCGTGTATGTAGGTCAAAAATGTTCATCATAACGAGGGGAGGGCGTCGCGAAACAAAGAGAAAAGCGCAGAGAATAGCTTACCTGTCTCAAAAACCCTGCCCAAGAACCATGAGAAGTGCAAAAGAGTTTGAAGACGGTTACGAAACCTGATCATGGTCCGTGCGTACCTTTCAAATCACCCACGAGTCAAAGCAAGTTAAATAGCCAAAAAGCGCCTCCTGGTGATTACAAAAATTATTGAACCTGAATAGTATTCTTGAGGAATTGGTTATCGCTCTTCTGCCTGTCCCTGTGCTTTCCTCTCAGGTGATTCCGCTCCCACTGCTCCCGCGCGGAGAAAACCTTCAAAATAAGCGCTGCCCTGCTATACAAGAAGATCTACTAGAAGATCCGAAAGCTGTAGTTGCCTTAAGGCCCACCTTCGTCAGTCCTGCGGTCACTTTTGAAGTCACTTATGATCCTGAACATTAACTTCCATTTGTACTGTCGTAGGATAGTCCAAAGCTTATCGCACTCCTGGTGAAGGTGTGGACGAATGATAATCCGATCCATGAGTGTTTCGCCTCGCGGCTAGTCGCAGTTTCTTCGTTATAAATGCCTTCGGTCGTGAGATTACTCTTCCTGCAACGATAACATGGACTTTCGACATATACGTCGTGTTCGTAACTCGGATACTTCTTCTGAAAATCCAGAGAACGATTCAGCTCGGTATGTGTATACGACGCTTCATGATGCATATCGCTCTGTCGTCCCGAAAGCGGTCTCTCCACCCATTAGAAGTAACTCTCTAGGTCAGAAGCTTGCTAGAAAGCACCCTTTATTCGCAAACTCCGATTTTTTTACTTATTCTTCAACAGGGCATAAGGCTGCGAAGGGCTTGAAGGTCGCTATAACCTCTGTCGATATGATCAACACGTTTTGCAATGACAATCTGGGATATATCCAAACAATATCAGCACAACTTTTGTCCATCAATGTTACCTCTCGAGACATCGAGAATTTTGTCAGAGCCGTCCATATACTCGTTGAAGGCTTGGAAGAGGTAGCTATAGTATTTCCTTTCACCGGTGGTAAGAGATTTTCTACATCACCACACTACCACCTAACCTAAGTATAAAAATATAGCTGCCGTTGTTGCTTTCAAGCTTGTAATGGAATCCAACGTCAAGCGGAAAGAGAACAATGCCAAGGTCTTGATCATAAAAGCGCAAATTGGCTATATGATGACGGCACTTTTCCAGTACGCTCATTTTGAAAACTGTCTGCCCATTCTCATCTGTGGTTAAGGCTGAAGGATATCCAAGACCCCAAGGCGACAGACTCCAAAGATGTCTCAATCGAGACTCGAATGTCGGAACTCATGAGTCGGATAGAAAAGGATATCAAAACGACGGGAGCAGCATGCGACCATTATTCAAAGAAAAATGCTCTTGGTAAATTACTCATGTCGGGAAAAGCTGGTCAACTTCTGATTGCTGTTGTAGTTCGAACCCTGAAAGCCCGAGTCTATGAAGACCGCCTTGCATCTCATGCTGATATATTCACTAAACACCGAGAAGAGTTCCAGTTCCTTTTAAGTCTTTACACGGCGTTGGGTGTACAATCAGCAAATCACAAACTCAACGAGGTCACTGACCAACTGAAATCAATCGAGAACCAGTTGGACGATGTGCATGCGATCTTCCGTCATCTAGACTCGCCTCATGAACGAGATCTGCGAAACTTCATAGATGAGCGTGGGGGACCCGATGCGCTTTTAAATAACGACTTTCTTCTTGCGGAGGTCTTGGAGAAAGGAGAGGACATGGATGAATCAGATATAATGGGGCACAAACGACGGTCAACGAACCTAGCAGATTTGAAGGCGGACCTTCTCCGGGAATTAGAGGAAGATCTAGACGCAACACTACAAAAGAATTTCGACATCTTTGATCGCAAATTGGAGATGCAACACCAACAATTGCTTGACGCCCAACGTCAACAGGAGAACATCATTCTTACCGAAATACGTGCTGGTTTTCTCCATGAACGAATTAAACACGAGGTCAATTTATATTCCTGAAGCAAGGTATTCAATCTGATATAGTCTGTTGCAGGATATGAGAGAAATCTGGAAGGAGATGGTACGCTTCAGCATTTTCCCGGACTGAGCATAACGGATTTTTCTATTGGTTGGTTGTAGGGCTGGAAAGGCAGCGTAAAAGCGAGACATTTTGTGCTTGCTCTCCGTGATTATTTTGTCGAAAAGTCGGCAAAGAAGGATCCAGCTAATGTCGAATCCGGCAATTCTGAGCTGGATTTCATGAATAATCCCGTTTCTGATCATGTTGCACCAGATTGGGATCCAGAGAGTGAAGATGATCGCTGGACCCACTCATACATTAGTGTTGCACATGTTCAATCTATTCTAGAGGCCATAGATGACGATGCAACTGGCTTCATTACTATCAAGGAGGTCAACGAGTTTACATCCTCAAGACCCACTGGATGGACGTGAGTACAATCCATCATGTTCCATGTTCGACAGAGTGAACTCAAGAACGTATGAACTTATAGCTTACCCATGTGGATTGCCTTTTGGGCTGTCGGTGAGCAAATTACATGATCGATATGGCTTACCCATGTAAATTTCATATGGTGCGGTAGGATGGCAAACCAGTATCGACCGATACAAAGCTCAGATATACGGTTTGCTTGAACAACTCATCAGTTTAGCTAGAGTTGTGCATATAGACAATCGTGCACGTGTGGACGAATATCTCACAGACCCAGTCTTCAATGATTTGGAGAGATTGCTCCGTGCAACAAAACCACCCAATTGTATGATTCCTGACGAGGTCAAGCTCATACAATATGTGGATGCGTACACTACAGAAGAGGAAAGAAAGCTTGAAGACAAATTGAAATCAATAGCTTATGAATTGGATGGGCCTGCAACAGTTTCTCTTGTAACCGGACCTGGACGAATTGAAAGAGTGCGTTTGGTCTTTATCTCTTTTACATATTGCTGACCTTTCTTGAGAAGTTCTTATTCCCTCTGATCTACCTCAACTTGAAACAACAGGTGCAAATAATGTATCATGCTCGGACACATGTACTCGATGGTAGAGAGATCTTGGATATGAAGGAAACTTTGATTGCTCTATTCAATGTGGTCCATGAGCGTGTTGAAGGGCTTGTTGGTAGGTGATCATGATAAATTGATGCAAACAAAGTATTGACACAATTGTCTCAGCTATCCTGAAGCAAAGTCATGCAAACCTCAAGGAACAACTGGAATACTTTGCCTTTGGCATGGTGCGTGCAGCCAAATCCATTTTATGGAATTTCAGGGGCTGATAACACACCAAGTTTTCTCTATTTTACAACCATTCTTCGAGAGATCCCAAAAATAACACAATACTTACTTGGATATCACACAATAGAAGGGCAAAGCCACAGTATTTTGACTTGAGTGCTGCAGCTCCGGCCAAGTCTGTATTCCGCCATGATTTCGCGGTAGTTGTCAATCCTGGGGCAGAGAATCCGAACACCAAAACATGGCATCTGTATGTTTGCTATCACATATGGATGAGGTCAGATAAAGAATTAATTCTTCTTCTTAGTGGGATAAGGTGTGATTCTTGCAGGAATGAAATCCACGGGAACAGATTTATTTGCCTGACTTGCATCAAAGAGGACTTTGCGGAAAATATTGACCTCTGTTCACAATGCCGAAACCTGGCTGTGAAGAGAAAATGTTTCATGCACGAAGTTTCTCATCCTCTTCTTCAAGTTGATGCTGTAATTCTGGATGCTGAGCTCGCACTGGCTATCCCGAAATCCCAAACAATTGCCAATCAGGTCGAGGACCGTATACGTTCCTCCTCTTCAGATAAGCATTCTACTTGTTCCTCCTGTGGAAATAGATCCCCCGACTGGTGTTATCAGTGTATCCAATGTGGTATGTGGAAACAAGTCATTCTCAGAAGATACAATTGAACGTCTTTCTTCAAGCAATGGCGCTGTATTATTGCTTAGATTGTGAACTCAATCTCCGCACCGGGGCTACATCTAAAACTGCCGAGAAAGCTCATATCCACAGGTCTACTCAATTTGCCTTTTATTCTCCCAAGCATCACCTTATTCGTGTTCGTCGAGCGCATGTTTCTGTGTCGACGGATCGGAGACTGGAGCTTCTTGAACAACAGGTATTCATCATGCAAAGCCGACTCGATTCCATTGAAGGAATCTTGAGGCAAATGATAAGGGGATAATTATCCGTGCGATAATTCATAATACCAGGCTTTGACAATCTCCGTTTCTGTTGATTTTGTTGCTAATATCAAGCTCTAATTTCTTCTCTTTTCTCATTGTTTACGGTATGTTCTCATGAGCAGTACATAATGATTTCGCGACTGTTGACGAAGAAATTCAAGGGGCCCTTCAAATTCAATGTTGTAAAATATGATACATGAAATTCGCTCCGCGAATCAGCACGAAAATCAGCCAGATGAGTACTACGCACATTGCGTCCTCGATATAGGACACAGATACAGCAAACGTAGACACCAAATTATCTTGTCAAGGTTTGGGGTGACGCGTTGTGGTTGTAGATCCCTTACCAACTCGTAATGTATCAACAGACTTGATTGATACGAAAGCGAAAAAATCAACGAGGCTTATACCATAAAAGTCGGAGCAACTTCGAGTAAGTTGATGATCATAATGTTCTTACGATGATACAAATTTTAAATGGATTGCTCTAATCTTGTTAGAAATTTCGGAACCTGCTCCCTGACCGCTGCTAAAGGATAGATGCTGAGAGTGACCGGTAAATAATTCGAAAGGGGGGTGTCATCCATGAAATTTGAAACCTAGCGGTACCAGTCACGGTGCGTTTAACCGGATAGATGAAGGCAACATGGAGTATGTTGATAGATGAAGCTAGTACGGCCACTCCGTCAACGTAACTTTTCCGATTTCGCGTTAATAGCTGCTGATAGGTACTGGTCGGGTCCTGACGATCATTGAGCTCGGAGATGCATTGAAGCGCTTATTAGGGCTGTCTATAGAGGTGTTGATCGTGAGAACTTTTTATTGTTTCTCCTGGTTCGTTTCCCAGACCTGAATTTCTTCCACATGATGATCCACCGATATCACAGAGTACCATCGCGCTATTTCAGCATAACCAAGGCACAAAACTTGAGCAAAACCTTTGGACAGCTTTTCGCGTGTTTCTGTATCCCTATCGTGCGAAATGATTTCAACTTTGATTTACGTTTTCTGTATGGTTGTATCGGCCGGATGGAGTTAAGCTCGGAGCGGGGCCACCAACTTCAATAGCACAGCTGTTACGTCCGTCTTTTCCGAGTCTGTTGGCGGTTGCTAATGATATTCTTAGCATACTCCTTCTCTTTCAATCCTCCAAGGTCATCTCTTTTGAAGATTCCGAATGATGCACAAATTGATGATGTGAAGTCTAACCGCACCTCAATATACAATGCTCATGAATATCTATGTCTTGATCGTCGTGGCGCGGAATTTGTTGCCTATGCCGGCGAAGTTGGAAAACACATTTATACTGACTACGTGCTTCGCAAATCGTCGATTCCCACCTCATTATGCCTCCGGCGCCACCCCAGCCTCCCACTGTCGTCCAAGTGTGAGTTTGTCGTTTATCGCCTCACCTTGTATTGACTAGTAGATCAAAGCTATACTCCATTTTTCGTCGGAACGTTTCTCAATATCTTCTTATACGGTGTATGCTTCGTCTCAGCCTTCTCAGCCTTCTCATATTCCAATCTCATGTTTTTCGTTTTCATAGGTTGCCGTTAGCCAGGTTCGTCCGGTCGAAATTCCTCCCGATTATGTTGTTAATTCCGATGTGGAAAGATGTACACTTACTATCGGACTTCGGCAAGGTAAATAAATAATGTACTTTCCCAAGTCAATCTTCGTACTGACAGCGTACTACAGCGATAAACTCTGGATGAAGCTGCTTGTACGATCAACACTGGATTCAATACAAGATCATATCCTTAGTTGTCTCTCTAGGTGCTTTACCTCTTCGTGCTGGACACGGTGAACAGCTTCTGTGATATTGGATTATTATTCGAACCGCTTCTACTCGATTTTGGTGCGTTTCTCCCTCTCCACACGGTTGAATGCCGGCTGACAACGATAATTTCATAGGCAATCAAGATGTTGTTGCTACTTCTCCTTGGAGTGAGTGGGATGGACCCTTCTTCCTTCACGATGAATTTGAAGCTGAATGCGTACATCCATACGATTTAGCTTTACGCCTCGGTATGTGCAAGTCTTTATGATCAGATGACACACGCGCTGATCCATTCGGAATCCTGTAGATGGGATTTCCACTGTGATTAGCCTTCATCTGTGTTCCATATGCGTCTCTAACCGAATACAAGGCTCTTATTTCTACCCCGGTGCAGATTTTCATGGCTTGGCGCATTAAAATCATCATGGAGACAATCATACCAACTGTGATCATTAGCATACTCGCAATATCGTCACTCAGTACGTGCTACCCACCAGTTCAATTTCGCGCATGTTAAGTACTCATGGTTCTGTTCTTACCAGCTGGTAGCATCTGGCTTGCAATCGCTGTTTCCAACACTCCCCAATACGCCGAATTCGGTGATTTTCGGGCGGCACCTTCGCTGTGGCTCATCAGCTCCGCGATTGCCGATATTGCTATTGCGTGTTGCCTTGTATATGGTCTGGTATGTGATATTATATCGTTGAAACTACGAAACACACTCGATTGATCGTTATGACTGGTTTAGGCAAAAAAGCGTACAGGCTTCGCTGTATTGAATGATCAGATAGATCGAATCATTCGTGGTAAGCCTTTGATTACTCGTCGCGTTTTACCGTTCATATATCATTATCGTAGTCACCGTTCAGACAGGATCTCTTACCGCCTTGACAGCTTTGATAGACGTCATCGTCTTCTTGAGTGTTCCAGTAAGTACTTTAACAGTGGTGCTCTCTCTGTATTATCTCAATCAATTCATATAGGATACTACGATGTGGGTGATACATTGCGGTTTCGTGTTATCCAGGAGTGTTCTTACCTTCAGCAGCTTTTTCGCATGGGACTTGGCGCTTTCCAAACTGTACACAACCACTCTTCTCAGCTCGTCAGTCATACAACGTCTTTGAAAACTCAGTTCCTTTTTCACTCCCCTGAAAATTCATCGACAGGTTGAATTCACGCGCGTCAGCGAGAAATGCTGATAGGAACAAAGCAAACGAGCCCAACGCTCTCTTCTCGAGCGAAACCTCTTCACATTTGACCTTCAACCAACAAAATGCAAGAGTTTCGAGATATGTAAGTGGTGCCTGTTATAGTTCCTGTATTCTTAATACCGTTGTTCACCACGGTGTCCTTTCTCTTGCAGAATCCGCCGGCGCAGGTACGCTAGCTAGAGTTGCATATCAAACGGGCAGTTTATATTTATCCGAACTGGATTGATTTATAGGTACCAAAGAATACGGATGGGTTCTCGGAGGATCATTACGAGCTCTCCTCTCGGTCTCAAAGTCCCCCAAGAAGGGAGCGGGATAGATTAGGGTTTCGTGACCCTGCCCCTCCTACAGATTTCAACGTCTTGGTTTCGCGCAGTACTATTAGCGATAATCCTGACGATGCTATTTATCCTCCCCCTAAAAATGTAACCCCCTGATGTAGATGTACTTCATTTCATGTAAAAATAAGAATGTACATACATTGTACTGCTGATATTTTATTCAATTTCGGAATCGCCGCGGACAAGCCGAGCTTATCTTTTATCTTACCGACAGCGATTGTCGAGCGCGAAGCGAGACCGTTCCAGACCGTACAACCAGATACAAGTTCTAACTCGAACGCCCATCATCTCAATCCACCCTCATCATGTCCGACCTCGCATATCTTTCTTCTGCTCGTTACGGCAAAGACGCTGTCCGTGTTTTCCGTGTCGTTCGTGAAGGATCGACGCACACAGTAGTTGAATACAACGTGAAAGTCTTATTGGAAGGGGACATTGAAGTCAGTTATACCAAGGCAGATAACAAGGTCATCGTAGCTACAGATAGCAGTGAGCTAAGTTTCTCGTAAAATCGTACACCCAACTCTCATAGTCCATGCCTTGCAGTCAAGAATATCACTTATTGTAAGAACATCTACCTATCTGTTCTTCGGTTACGGTGCTTATCGTATGATCAACAGATCTAGCCAAGGTGTCCCCCCATATCCTAGTTCCCGAGCGGTTTGCGGTGCATCTAGGAACCCATATCGTCAGCAAATATGCCCATATACATAAAGCCTTTGTCGACATCGAGCAACTGCGATGGAGTCGGATCGTTGTTGGGAAGGACCGCAAGCCTCATCCTCATTCATTCTTTAGAGACGGAGATGAGAAGAGGTCGGTGAAAGTTGAGGTCAGAAGTCAGACTTCCGTTTATGCGCAATCTAGGTATCTAACTGTCAGTCTACCTTTAGATCGATGGTACTGCCGGAAAGGATAAGATTCAAGCTCGTGTCAGCGCTGGAGTGAATGATTTACTGGGTTTGTGGACTGATCTCCACTAATACATTAATCTCTTGACGCTTGGGTTAACAGTACTCAAGTCTTCCGGATCTTCTTTCACATCATTCATTCGGGATGAGTATACGCTGTTGAAGGAGGTTGATGACCGTATCTTTTCCACATCGGTTGATTTGAATTACACCTTCGCCCCCATCAGTATCTCCCCTCCTAAAGACGAGGTAAATATATCCACCCTTGTGTTCCCCTTAGTGCATATCGAGCTCACACATTGTCATTGTCGTTATGGTTTCATAGAAAAAACTCGATATCGTTATCCCGGCGTTAGACCAAGCCGAGGCAGGAAGCGTCTGGGATGCCACTGTTCTGGATAGGGCAAGGACCATAACCCTCGAGGTCTTTGCTGAAGACGAGAGTGCCAGTGTACAGGTGATTCTTTCTCTCTAGCTGTATCTTCGAGGTTCGCATTTCATCGAGCACGCTCCTTCACAGGCGACTTTGTATAAAATGGGCCAGCGAATCATCACAGAGAACGCCGGTGTTCAGACTGTTAGCTATGCTCTTCCGAACAAACACTATATTCCAGTGGATATGAGATACATGGGGGTGGATAATTTGACTCCGTGCGTCATATGCTTCTACCTTGGCTGACGCTCCTCTTATCTGAAATCGTGTTTCCTCTCTCAGAGTTAAAGCGGAAGTGTTTCAACCGGTTGCAGCGCCGAGGTACGATTAAATCCTTCTCGATCCGTAGACGATTATAATTGACGACGACTGGTTCAAACAGTGGGTTAATCTCAGCAACTGTATCGCGAAAGTAAATGCTCGTAAACTTACAGAACTTTTGGAAAATGTACAACGTTGTCATGATCAATCATCAATGTATACGGAATCTTATCCCTGGGTCGAGCGGTCGCATGATTTTTGTACGGTCTGTCTACTAGCGGTCTGCTCGCTGTTCGTCGCGTCACACGGTAGCTCACCAGCTGGCCAGTGGCAGCACCCAACGTTGGCGAGATCATAATCAGCATTCGGTTATAAAGACGTCGAATTCTGGTGACGAAATATCCCAAGCCTATCCTATAGTTTCTAGCCCGATTCGAGAATGCGTCCTCCCTTCGATTTCTCATTCTCCGACTTCCTCGTTTTGTGTCTACTAACCTTTATTCTGGACTCACAGTCTTTCTTCTTACCGACAGCCTCAGCACTCTCCCCTTAACATTCCGTGTAAAGTCCAAAAGCCCGCTGGTCAATCACCATTAGAAGGATGCCCAGCTGGCACGATATACATATGTCTCCGCCGATACTGGGTGAGAGTTCGTACGCGAAATTTACAAAGGTTCAGGATGCTGTCGAGTCCCTGTGAGTGAAATTCTGTTCGTTCGTCTCTGTGAGGTGTCGTTCTTGTGACTTGCGATGCCGATAACTAGTTATATATATAGAACAGACGACGGAGAACTTACTGTGATTTTGATTGGGGAAGGACGATATTTCGAGACGGTGAACGTGACCCGATCATCACCTCTGACTATCCTCGTTCGTCTTTACCTTCCACATACACAAGAGTCATACTAAACCCATCCAACCGTGTAGGGTTAACTCCCTTCCTCATATTCCACACCCCATATCCACCCCGTTCGCGAATGCTAGTCAACCGAACCTCGTCCAGATATTCAACTCTGTTTTCGTCGAGAACGGTATCGACGATGCAGCTACAGCAGTACTTACCGTTGCTCCCAATGGTGCTGGAACCACTGGTGCACCCGCACAGGGTGTTTTCGGAAACGTGAATTTCAAGATGTATAATGTCGATATCCAGAACAGAGCCGTAAGCCAAAACTTCATTCGTCTGATTTCGCTTTCAGTACTTTCAGATGAACACGGATTGTGGTTTCTTCCGTCCGTAGTCGTTAACTTTTGCCATTTCGCAAGCGCTGGCTATGGATATCTCGTATGCTAATGCGTCGTTCTACGGATGTGGGTTTTCGAGCTTCCAGGATACGTGGTATACAGGGAAGAATGCGAGTACATATGTGGTTGATAGTGTGATCTTTGGGCAGACGGATTGTATGTATCCTGAATTCAGTCGCTCAGCGAACATGTTTTCAATCGTTATTCGTGTTGATTTAGATTTATTTAGGTTTGGTACAGCGTGAGTATGGAAAACCTGGAATACCCGAATCGGACCTAGCCAGGATGATTTAACTATCCTATCCAGATCCTATCCTATCCTGAGATCTTACATTATCACTGATTGTAGATGGGCTTTATTCCCACCACCCTACCTAATTACCACACAACATGCTCAAGACATTGCTTATTTAATTTCCTGTATACTTATGTAGGGTAAATAAACCGCCCAATGTCACATTGAATAAAATCAGTCCCACTTTCCTTCTACATTCCCCCCCTTACCCCTTGTCCCCACCACACAGCCCCCTTTGCTCCAGCAATGCAATCCACCCATCAAAAATTCACCCCAGGAAAAATGAGAGGAGAGTAAGCTTATACCTCAATCTAGAACATAGGTGTTCAAAATAGCGGGTGTATCACATGAGGGGTATGAAGATGCTCTCGATTGGAACAAGGAATTGCAGAAGGATTGCATATGACAGATGCTGCCTGCAGGGACAGGAACACTTATCTACATGCTTGGCCTATTGAGTATAGGCACTGATGATGTTGAAATGTAGTTATAGGGTGGTCGTGCGCTGTTGTGGAACTGGTGAAAAAGAGAAAGAGCTGAGTCAACAGCCGCAGGCTATGCCTGATTGAACCAAACACACACAAGTGACAAAAATTTTTGAGCTCGGTCCCAGCGTGTTTTCAACTGTTGCAAGTTGTTTGTCTGTTAATCTGAAATCGACATCTATGTAGTGTCATGATTATTTCCTAATTGTTGTACCTAGGTACTCCCAGTGGTTTACTGGAGAACTTCCTATGCATTCTCTGCAAGAGCATATTAAATTTCATGCAAATCACATAGACCAACACATAGATCACTTAATCTTAATAGGGTCTATCACAATCCGATCTTGTGTATTATTTGGGGAAAACATCTAACCATGATCACTTCCCATTTAATTAAACGCCTTTGATTCCCAGTTCTTCTGCTATAATAACTGCCGCCTTCTCTCCAATCACAACTGCAACAGAGTTTGTGTTCTAGATGTTCTGATGAGCAAAAGAGTTAATTAGGAAAATAAGTAAATGTACCGAATTAACATTAGATGGTGCGATGGAAAGGTCCGCAATTTTTAGTCCTTGGATCCCGTAAACATTGAGATTGCTGTCAACAACACCACCCATTGCCAATGGTTTCATGGGACATGTACCCAGCTACCAGGTGTGTTAAATTTGAATCAGTAGGATCCTACCTGTCACTATCACAAAGATAGAATAACATACAGAGTGCCAGCTTGTTTGAACTTGAGGGAATAATACCAAAATTAGCACAAAATTAAGCTAATTTGTAAGGTCACGAACCGAATTGTCTGATATTCTGATCAATGGCTGCATCATCTTCCTTGGAATAAACAATCTTAGGTGCATCTATAGCCACGGGGCCCACATCTGTGAGCGTCGCCAAACTATCTGGGGAAAATTGGGGGTGAGCAGGAGTGAGAGCCCCCACATGCACAGGCAATCGTCGAACAAGTTCGCGCCCTTTTTTGTAACCCCATCGCAATGCGGCAACATCAACAAACCTATAAACATTATTTAGAGCCTTAGTTCATGGTCTATTCTGATCAATTTAATGAACACGTACTTGGTGAGGAAGCCTGAGTCAAAGTTAGGAGGTGCATAAGGGTCTTCTGAAGTTATATGGAGGCTTCCTTTAGACTCCGGATACCCCTACGAATTGTCATTGGAGCCGTGTTCCTACATAATAACATATCTGTCAGTGACTCACCAGGACAATACAAAGACATGAATAATTTAAATGAGGTAGTTGACTTTGATCACCCCCAAGTCTTGTATCATTGGGTTAACAAGATATTGTGTAGGTAATATAAATCTCACCCAGCAGATGCACATAACCAAAAGAGTGGCTTGTCAGGATTGTTTGCATAAGCCGTTCTGAAGTGTTCTGTAAATTCAGGTCCCAATTCCTCAAGCTCTTCAGGCAGTGGTCGCATCTTGATAACACCGTCGACGCCACTGAAAACTCCCTTTGAATTAATAATTTGTTGCATTCAAAAGAGCTTGACATGACCTACTTTCCACTCATGCGCCCACTTCCATCTCTCTCCCACTGTGCTACTAATTTTGGCCAAAGTTCTGTATCCCGGCGGTAGAGAGGATCATAGGTATCTGTGTTAGGATCTACAATATATGGTGTCACATAGAATGGATGATCTGTTTTCAGTCGAGAAAGCATATGTCATTAAATATGAAAGTTAATCATATGAGATTGAAGCTAGATGGCATACCTTGGTAATCTGCTCCAACACCAGGGAGCTCATGGATAATAGGAATGTTTGCCTTTTCCAGAACATCTTTACTACCAATTCCAGAACGTTCTAGTATCAATGGCGATCCCATTGCTCCAGCAGCAATAACAACCAATCTAGCAGCTTGCACAGTGAGAATATCATCGGTTGATGATGGGTGTACACTTTTGTTGAATATGTATTCCACCCCTGTAGCCCGACCAGTGTTACTAAAATAATGAGTCACACAACTTGTTCAATGATAGATCACCACTAGAACACAAACTTGATAATGATACGCTTCACGAGACAGTTGTCAAGGATTGTCAGATTGTCGAGTCCTTTATTGTATACATAATGATGTGCTACATCTGAGCGACGGCCACTTTGTGATATCCACTTCGGCATATTCTGTTTCCAGGATGTTCAACCAAAATATTGAGGTGCACGAGGAAGCCTCACATAAAATACATTGATAGACTCTTCATTGAACCCATTCCCTTCATTGCTAAGAGGTCGGGATTGCTCAAACTTTGGGCCAACATCCAAGAATTGTTTGCCAATGTCCATCAATGCTCCGGGTCCACCAAAGGAGACCTTGAGTGGTCCATTACTACCATGAGTGGGTTTGTTCAGGTCGATTTCATATGTTTCGGCCTACATTTTATCATATATGTTCAAATTTTATAGTAGGTCAATGTTCAATGCGTCAAAGATTCAAAACAACCTTCTGGAATAAGGGAATAAGATCTGTCGAATACCATCCTGGGTTCCCAAGTTGGCCCCAAGCATCTAGATCTGATGCTGCAGGGCGGTTGTAGAGTGCGAAATTGATAGACGACCCCCCACCAACACATTGAGCTGAAGGAACAATAACTGATCTTCCGGCCAAGCTCTGTGAGGGCCGGGATTTGTAGAATTGCATAGTCTGGCTAGTGGGTGCAAGATGTGTGATGGCCTGCCCAGGCTGAATATGTTCCGCCTTATCCTTTGTTGAAGGGCCACTCTCCAGAATTAGGATTTGCAGATTGGGATCAGCAGCTGCAAGTCTCCCTGCTGTGACACATGCTGCAGTCCCGCCACCAGCAAAGATTACATCATATCTAGCTCTTAAGCTGGCAGGAAGTGCTGGAGAAAACACCGGAGTGGGCATGAGTAGACTGTTGTACCAGGAGATTCAGCATGTATTTTATAGAACTAGCATTTGGGCGCACCATATAGGTGGTAAATTTACCACGAAGCCATTTGATCTGCCTGACCAATGGGCATGTATCGTGCCATGCAGGTACATCGTTCCATCATGATTGTGATTTGGGGTTGTGGGCCACTGCATATATTAGTTATGATCTGATGATCTGTCCAAATAGTAAACAATGAGCACGCTTCGTAACACCTTTCCATCATGATTGTAACATGCACATGCATAAGTCCTGTGGTTTTAGATAGATTTACATTGGGCTTACACGGAGTTGATGCTTACTTCAACGTCGATGAAGAATGTTTGCCAGTTTGTAATGTGAATCTTGCAACAATTTATGCTTACCTTCCGAAAACTCCCATTCATCCAAAAATTACTACTTTGGTAGATTATTTCATCATTTTTTTCTTGTTGGTCTGAACTGGTTCTTTCAAGGTGAATTCTGGCTACCTAAATTTTTTGAAGGTATATATGAATAAGGTGAATATCACGAGGTCCTTGTTCGCACCAAATGGCAATCAAAAGTCGTGAGTTTTTGTGATGGTAGTGTCCCAGTGACACAAATGTGCAGTGCCTTTCGGGAATTCCGGCACACTGGTTTGCAGCCTTTTGCAGCCTGATGCAAATGTGCAGTGCTTTCGGGGTTTCCAGCACACTGCTCAGACAGGACTCCTGATTTGCCCTATGATCCCATGTAAAAACTTTCTTATGCTGCCAGGTTACTATCTGGGTCTCTTCCTGAAGCACACTTTCTACATAGAAAGGGAAATGAGGTTTCATATTTAACTAAAATATTCACTTTCAGACTCAGGGACTGCCGTGCAGGGCATGGCACTAAAGGATTTTCTATTTTGAATATTACTCAACAACACGGAATTGCACATCGCCAGTAGTGTGGGATTGTGAGCATGCATCATAATGTGTATGTACATCTTTCCATCGTGATCATCATTTTCTTATATAGACGGCCATCGGGATTTTCTTGGGATTGTGATCATATTACATATGATCTGCTGATCTACCTAAATTTTACATACATCGGTACATCTTTCCATGTTGTAACGTGCCATGTATACATCAGTCATCTGTTTTCATCATTATTGCGATTTTCTTATGTAGATGGCCATGCATTTGCATTGTTCGGGATTAGCATGCATCATGTCACAAACGTACATTTCTCCATCATGATTGTGATTTTCTTGGACAGGGGTTCATATTCAATTGAATTATCCCCTGCACAAGGTGCAAATCATTGTAAGCTTTTGCAACATCTCAAACATTTATGGTAAGCCAAATAGCCAATATCTACCTTGTTTTCATAGATATTTTATTTCATGCAAAAATCACAAAATTGTTGTGTGTTAGAAAATTTGCAATCCGTAAGTGGCAGCAATCTCCGGAAATTTACGCTCTGATCTTAAGGAATTTTGTTATTTTTGTGTCTCCTGATAGTCCGAGTAAGTAAAGCAATGTATTATGGCTGTACCCTACTACCATATGGTCCATACTCTGATCATCAGGTCATCTTTGACATGCTGTTCAGCATGCCCCACTCCTAGGGCCTTGCTCCACACTGTACAGTATGATAGCATCAAGCTGAATGACCGTGAAGTATAAAGGACTGTGACCGGTGTTGCTCTCCATTCAAACTCAAGACATGACTTTGGCAGAGGCTCCCCAGTTGAATATTGCAGCACTGTATATTAATTTGTTTTACATGTTTGGCATACATTTGACACACTTTTCTCTGATAGCACCGGTCCTTATGTGGGTCGTTGCAAGTTATTTGTCCATGAGCTGTTGAATGCTCAACATTATCCTCTAGATTCTTGGAGGCCTCCTTTCCTATGGGTTGTTTGGGATACTGATTGTGCAGATATGTGAGTTTACATAAAATTTCATATCCTCTTCATTGTAATTTAGGGGTCAGTTTTTTACCATTATGAACTCAGCAAACAGGACTCAATATGGTTGAATATCTTTGGTAAATTGCACTCAGTCTACTCTACACATCCTGATCCGTGTTTTTTCAGTTTACATACTTGCGTTGTTTGATCTGGGTGTCACAATTATGTGGACTGTATTTATGTGGCAGCTTTTTGCTGATAATTGGGGTCAGCTTTCAGTGCTCTCAGCAAGGGGCGGTATATCCAACACTGCAGCGGCAATTCCTCTTCTATCTGGAATTGGTGGGTGAAGTACATCCTATTGTGTTTTTCAACTGATGTGACATGGTATTGACAGTTGCCAGTATGGCCCACTGCTTTTATGCTTGGCGTGTCTATAAACTTACAGACTCACTGCTGCTTCCTGTTCCTATTGTATTGGTGGGTTGTCACTTCCCCTACATTTGTCAAAGACTGGTCATTGAGCAATTCCAGATATCAATGACCACATGCGCAATGGCTGGTTATGCAGGTATTCATGGGGCTCAGATTGGAGCTTCTCATTTCTCAGAAATGGATGCTGAAGTATCAGTGAGTGAAGATATAAAATTAGATTTATCTCATAATGTATACACATAGACCTGGTTAGGGGGAAGTACTGTCTGAGACTTCCTCATCACTTCTGTCTTGGTGTTTAAGGTAGGTGTTCCACTGGATTACTGGCTGACTCATTTAAATTTACTTATATCTCAATAAAGCTATTCTCCCATGGAAGGCGCTCTATGTCACCTGTGACCCGCAGTATGCTATTCCGCCTCATTACTCTGACTGTGGAAACTGGACTAGTGACTGCCCTCACAGCACTATCAGAACTGTTGCTGTTCATTATTTTCCGCACAAATAATCTACACTTCATACCGTAAGTTTGCTCCTTGACCCAATCATTGTACTCATGAAATTTCAAAGGCTACTTATGTTGAGCAAAATGTAAGATTGTCTAGTCCAAAATCCTGGATGCCACGTCAATGAGGGATTATTATAGGTACTCAAACTGCTTATTAGCCACTCTAAATGCAAGAGTGGTCATTCATCCTGGGACAGGAGATAACCAACATCCTCTTTGGATTGATCTTGATCAGCATAGAACTTTCTTTGGAAGTATATCATCTTCCTTACCTCCTCAGGTTCATGTTGATCGTTCAGTGCACCGTGATCATGACATTGAGCTACAAATTGTTCTATCACCAGTGAGTACCACAAGAATATTCATACAATATCTGATTTTATTGAAAATATAAAAGCAGGGCACCTTTCCTGATGATAAGGCTAGCATTTCTGCTACAGGCCCATGAAGGCCATTAGCACATAAGACTGTGTTGTTGTGTATAAACTTGGCTCCTATTTTGTTGTACAATTATATATTCTCTGGCAAGCATTATTATGTATTTCACATACTCGGTCACTGATTGATTTTCTGAATGACACCAAGCAGAACTTTTGCACTGGCCCTTGATGCGCTTGAAGGAGAGCAAATGCAATTGAAGTGTCCACTGTTATGAATCAGTAGCTGGTGCATATAAATATTGCATTACAAATGAATCATGGCCTTTACAGTGCCACTGAGACCATTCTTTGTAGCACCCAGAGATGGAAAGATATTACATTAGACAATTGTAACATTAGTATCAGCGGAACCATGTAAAATTGGTAGAGCATGTTGAATGCAGCTATGCAGTTCACACACCACTAATATGATCATGTGTTATACTATGTCATATGAAGTCATATGTAGTCACCGACTCTGAAAGAGGAGGTCCTTGTAGGTAGCGATCGGTAATCTGGCAGGAAATTTCCTTTTTTGGATGTATTAAAATCGGGTCTGTAGATCGGAATGCAAAGCTGTAGAAACACAGCTTTAGTTATATCAAGGGTGTTTTTTTGGGGGGTAAAATGCATTGGCATGACTAGGCATGACTCCATTCATTTGGCCAGCATGAACCAAGTTTGAGATTAAATGTTGCTGTAAAGCAGTATTAAGAGTCATATTATGAGTTTTCAAGAATATATGATCATGTAAAACAAGATTTGACTTACTGCAAGTCATTGATGACTGAGTAATATTTTGAATAGAATTTTGCCGCCATAAGATATGTAATGGAGTATGGTTGTGCAGAGAAACATGTATGTTGAGTCAGTGCAACTGATGTAATGAGTCATTTTGAGTCTTTGAAGGGAAGATTAATATCACTAATATATTTTGAAATATCCAATATGCAGGTTTGTTGAAAGTCATTTTTTACTGAACTTAATTTACAGTTGATATTGTCATTCAATGTCTTGAGTCAATCTGTGATATTGATAGGGGGAGTATATATAGCTTCATCAGAGTGTAATCTATTGTCTTCAGTCATAGTTTAGAGGCAAGCTCTGCTCATGATGTATCACTATCCCCAGAGCTGTTTCTGTAGATATTGGGACTTCTCAAAGAAAATGCAGTTGTGGCTCTGGTTTTAAACAGGATCCGGACATTGGTTTATGGTTAATGGTATAAATCAGTTTCCAGTTCTTCATTTGTTTGCATTGGAGTAACATATACATCTGCAAAACCTGTATTTTCGGCTAAGGGTCTGAAAGCGGTCAAGAGCACTTCCCAGCAGTGAAAGCACCTAGAGCATGTTGCTTTTGTTGCTTTCAGCACTGGGATCTGCTGGGATCTGCTCTCAGCCCTTAGCCGAATATCCAGGTTTTGCAGATGTACTCAGAGTCTATTTTGGTATCAGCAACATCCAGCATTTTTGTTAGGTCACTCATTTTATCCAAGACAAACTTGTTGCCACATCTGCAAAACCTGTATTTTGGCTAAGGGTCTGAAAGCAGTTGAGAGCATTTCCCAGCAGTGAAAGCACTCAGAGCAACCTGCTCTCAGTGCTTTCAGTACTGGGATTGGCTGGGATCTGCTCTCAGCCCTTAGCCAAATATCCATGTTTTGCAGATGCCAAGAGACAGGAGTGTTACAAAAAGTTCCATTCTACAGTGTCTTCATGCAGAAATTTGTTGCAAGTTCTGGAGATTCTGTCATTATCACCTTTTATCAATGATATATCCCTATATTGTATGCCTAAGGCAGTAAAGAATATTGACAAGTTTAATGTTCAATGTATTTTCCCTGATTGAGAATGTACAGTACTGCTTTAGCAAGTATTTGGGATTTGGGATTGAATCACTTGTTTGTAGGACAAACTCACAGTGGGTATGTCAGAGTATGCACAAGATTGATTTCAGTCTTTGTCATTTTTATTCTGGTGGGATTGTTATATTGAATAATTTACACAATATATAACTATCAATTAAGATGAAAATAGTACAATTCACAATGCATTGTTGAAGCTGAAGCTGGCAATAAATAGTCCATGTCTTTCATTTTTGCATATATTTTATCTGAGGTGTTAAGTCAACTTAATCTCAGTGGGTGGTGTGGCAGCTGTGGGTACCTGTTAAGTCAAGTTAATCTACTGCAATTAATCTATATGAATATACTTCAAGTTTACCTCAGTTAGCAACTGAGGGAGTTGAGTACTCTAAACAGTGTGATCTATGTAGAACTGCATAGTATCAAGTAATAACACTGTCTCTCAGTTATGTGGGTCCCCAAGTGGGATCACAGCTATATCAGTATGTACAGAGTATGTTCCAACATGACAAAGTTACAAGTAGCCTTTGATAATTCTGCATTCCACTATGCTGCACTCTGTTTCTTTAGTTACTATGGCCACAAAGGATCAGCGGTGCAGTGGCCTGCAATTGCATATACAAGACCTAGTCCTCTATCATTTCTGATCATCATTTTGGCAGTAAAATCTGAAGTACAGTAGGAATGCCCAAGATAATTTGGTGTGACAAAATTCAGGGACATGGGCCACTAGCGCAGATCTTGGGTAGTATTACATAACACCACCACAGGTGTATCAAGGACTCTGTCAAGTCCATGCCTCGGTGCCCCGCTCTGCCGCTCAGTGTTCCAAGATCTACCATTGATTGTAATCTCATCCTTATTGTTCTTTCTTGCTACACATTCCCTTTCTATCAGGCTCTCCCTTCGCTCCTCATCATTGGTGACACCGCCCTGCAACTTGGCTGCTTCTGGCTCACTTCCTTCTTTACTCTCAATCTCTGGGGACTAGCGGCATAACGGTGGTGTTGTTAATAACTTCACTACTGTCCCACTCGACCTTCTGCTCTCAGACACCTTGTGGCCTCTGGCACGGCTTCACGGTGTACATGATCTTAACAGACTCCAAAACTATGACAATCACCCTTAATACAATTTGATTCCTAATTAATCAAAATTTGTCCTTTAGCATTGATTATAGTGAGCTTATCTTAATATACTATACTTTGATTCTAGATACTTAAATTTGAGACATTGTAAAATAAGAAAGAGTCACAAGCAAAACTTGATGTTTTGTATCAAGGACTCCAAGATCACTGTATACATTATACCACTAGAATATATCTTACAAAATGACTTTCCTTTTTGTACTTCATTCTCAACCTACATCTGCAAAACCTGGATATTCGGCTAAGGGCTGAGAGCAGATCCCAGCAGATCCCAGTGCTGAAAGGAACAAAAGCAACATGCTCTAGGTGCTTTCACTGCTGGGAAGTGCTCTTGACCGCTTTCAGACCCTTAGCCGAAAATACAGGTTTTGCAGATGTATCAATTCACCTTGCTTGCAAGGTCTATTGCACTCCGGAATTTGGATCATTTTGTGCAGGCACCTTTTGCACATGTTTACAGCTGTTTATCTTGGTTCCAAAATTGCCAAACATCACTAGTACGTTTCTCCTCTTCTATGTATGATATCTATTACTTACTCACTAAACGTATTTTCTCCTTCCTTCCTCCTACCTTCGTTATTCGTTCTTATACTACTATATAGTTTCTACTTCGCTCTAATATCCTTTATCTCCACTTCTATGTTCCATATCTATTACTCACAAAACGTATCTTCTCATGCGTACCTCCTACCGGTCCTCCCAAAATGACTATGTTCATTTCCATTCCGGCTCGCATTAGCCAGCGCGTATATCTCGTTAAAAATGCGTATTCTCTTTCAAAGTCCTGCTCCTCACGCAGGTACACCCGCACGCTCCAGTCTACGCATTGCGCCGTTCCTCCTCCAGCTTGTCTTTCCGAAATGACATTGAAGTGCACCTTCTACATCGTCAGTGTCCACTTTTTGCACTTCTCTGCACCATACTCACCGTTTCTACTCCTCCGTAGGAACTCCAAAGCATTTTCAACACTTCATCTGTGCTAATTCTCCACACCGCTCCCCTGCCACCCACCTCCATGTCGTTATTCACGTACCCTACCTGACCACCCCAAACTGTATTGTCTTCCCACCCTTCCAATATCATCTTCCTTGGCCCTACGCCATCCACCCTTTCTTCCGACGTTGTTCCCCCCGCACCAAAATATGCACCGTTGGCAGTCAACATTTTGGTGTATTGTTCTTCGATGCTCAATTCCTCCCCGCGATAATAGCCTTCCCCCCAAAACACACCTTCTGTTATGCGCCCTGCAGCCTCCCCTGCAAAATTTCCTTCCGTTAAAATTAATTGTCCTCCCGCTGCTGCGTCGTGTGCGTCTTTGTCACATAATGCCATGTGATTTTGTGTGGTAGTGTTGCTTCCTTGATCCTCGGTATGTCCAACATGCCTGATATAAATTGCTGCTGTTGATTTTCGTCGTACTTGTCCACTAGTACTGCTTTTCCCAATGGCTTCAACTCCGATTTCTTCATCCCCTGATATCTCTTTATCAGTTTGTTGTTCCTGCTGTACTGCCTGTTCCGTGACCGTTCCTTGTCCATCCATTCTGATTTATGGTCAGTGTTATATCCTGAATTTACTTTTTGTCGAACCGTCAACTATTTTTTGCAGGCTTTGTCGTTTATCTCGGATTTTACTCCCTTTATAACTGGCTTTCCCTATGTCCCTGCCCTGCTTTTCCGCCTACCACGTCCGCAACCCTGACACCCCAAAATTACGCGATCGCAGTTTCAAATGTGTCTCACTTTCTTCATGAACACACTCATACCTTTGACTTTTCTTCTCCTCCTGACATCCTATTCTTGTATTTTTCTACGTTCGTTGCCTACATTTTCCGCCGTGCATGTTTACCGTTTTACTCTCACTTTCTCCGATCCGTGGATGTATACCGTTTTACTTTCACTTTCTCCGATCCGTGGGACCTTTCCAATTCCCCTTCCACTGCCTTTTTCCTGCTTTGACCTCCTGTTTCCTGTGTAATATCCAATTAATGGAACAATTCGGACTATCCACATATGCCTTTTCCCTTATAAATTGCACAGAATTCTATGTTACTGTCATGCGTTCTTTCCTTCCAAAAAAGGAGTTTTCGCCTTCATCTGTTATCCCACCAAAAGTAGAATCTCCAATCCGTTCTTTATCCCTTAAACGTGAGGATGGCTCATACTCCAACTTGGAACATCCACTCTCCTTACCAGGTGTTCGTCCCGAACTGTCTGCGGGCCCCTCTACCGACATGCGTTCATTATCCGATGTTCACTATCGAGATCATATTGCACACCCTCGTAACCAAAGGCAATCCAGACCCCGTCAGCGTAAATGTTCCCCTCCGCCTATCTCACATCGCATACTGCGTCCAAGACTGAAATCCATTAGCTATAATGAAATCGGTACTGCTTTCACTGATTCTACCCTACCACTCTTAATTCACGTCTCTTCGCAATTAGCTTTAGTCCGTGCTTACATGCCGTCTTAACTGTATTGTTTTTCTATATCCCCGGTACATCTCTTTCCATCCCACGCATCAAGCGGACTCACTCTCCCTCACCATCAGGACGCCGTTGTCCTCGTTGTCTCATTGTGAGACATTACCGTACCTAGAACTTTTGCTGAATAAATTGTTGTGCTGCCCAATAAAAATTTACTCTGCATGAAATCCCTCCACCTCTTACTGTTCCCACTTTGTTTTGTTATGAAATGCGCGATATAATTATCATGTTTCTCCTCCAATAATACTACTAATTTCCATACACCCACTCGAAGCGCACAATTATACCGTGTTCATCAAGTGCGTCTAGCCAACCATTAAATTGACAAATATCCATCTTCATCCTCTGCGGGTATGGAACATTCACTACAATCTTCACTGTGGTTTCATGCCTTCCGCCTCTTCCGGTGATCATCGTAGACTACGTGGTCGTTAAACATCAACGTCATGCATTTTGTATCCACCACTTACTACAGTCATTCCAGGATGCGCTCCCCTCACTTTCCATAGAAATTGATGTACGCCGTAGATCCCTGTTGTTGAAGTGTCTGTGATTCCCGCAACTGTCACGAAGCGGCAGAGGCGGAGAATGTCACGAAGCGGCAGAGGCGGAGTGACTAACAGAGCGGGAAAGCGGAGCGACTAAGCAGAACGGTGAGGCGGAGCAACTGGACAAGGCAACAAGGCGGAGCGACTAAGCAGAACGGCGGCAGGCTGGTCCCAGATAATGACAGAGATATATTGAGTATCGTAGTCATAGGTAATAATAAGTAAGCACATACCTGGTCCCAGATAATGACAGAGAGGTCAAGATAAGGGACCAGGCTGTGGAGGGTTGGCTATATATACATAATCCGGTCTGCGAGAAACAACGATGTAATACTGTACAGTTTAGGAACAAGGAAGGTGGCGGAAGCCAATAGAAGGAGAAGATGGGTCAGGTGGATCAGTAATCGATGGGGGTTTGACAGTGATGGGATGATGTATCGTACAAGTAAAGGCGTCGAGACGGTGAGAAAAGGAAAATGATAGGGGCTGCGTACTTTATGACATTACCCCCCTCCTTATGACCATTGCCCTCGATGGTCAAGGCTTTGCCGCTGTTGGGTGTTTTTTATGAAAGGCCCAAACAATTTTTGGTGCTCGACTGAGGTTGGCTGCGGGTTCCCAAGAGTTGTGCCCTGCGTCGTAACCTTTCCACTTAACCAAATATTCCAACTTCTTCCATCGAACCCGGCTGTCTAAGATCTCCTCTACTTCGTATTCTGGTTCGTCTTCATCCTCTAAGTATACCGGCTCTGGTGGTGTTGGTATTTCGCCATTAATGGAGTTACCTTTCCAGGGGTATAGTTTATCGACATGGAAGACGGGATGGAGGCGATCTAGGGATAGGGGAAGGTCAAGGCGGTAGTCTAAAGGGCCAATTTTCTCCAGAATGCGATAAGGGCCAAGCTGTCGATCTCCTAACTTTTCACTGGAAAGTTGAAGGTTAATGTCCTCTGCACTGAGCCAGACTAGGTCTCCGACTTTAAATTGATGAGCTTTCCGCTTCCCGCGTTCGTATCCCTCCTTCTGTTGTTTCTTTCCTAGGTGTAAGGCAGCTCCGGCATCTTGTCGCGCTTCCCGGAGAATCCGTATACGGTCATCCACAGCTGGAATACCGCTGCGTTGGCCCACTGGGATATTGAACAGGGGAAGATAGCCGTAGGTTAGCTCGAACGGGGACATGCCTAGCGCAGAATGAGTCCGTGAGTTAATCACAAACTCCGCCATGGGAAGGTGCTCTGCCCAGTCGTCTTGTCGTCGTCCTACATAGAGGCGGATGTATTTCTCTACTTCCTGATTTGCTCGTTCGGTTTGGCCATTAGACTGAGGACGGTATCCGGAGGTTAGATCTGATTTAATTCCTAGCCTAGCGAGAAGGGATCGCATGAGTTTAGCTGCAAACTGGGGTCCGCGGTCGGATTTAAAGTGAAGAGGAAGACCATGGAGACGGAAGATCTCTCGGTAGTAAATATCGGCAACGCCTTCGGCTGTGATGGAGCTGGTGCAAGGAATGGCGTGAATTTGTTTTCCATACAGGTCTGTGCAAACCAAGACAGCATCGTAGCCTTGGGAGTTAGGTAGCTGTGTTATCAGGTCAACCCCTACCTCTTCCCATAGACCGGATGGTACATCTAATGGTTGAGTTACGGCCCGTGGGTGTCGCTGGATCTTCTTACGGGCACAAACCTCGCATCCCTCAACGTATTTTTCCACAAAAGAGCGCAACGTAGGCCACCAGAAATGGGTACTGACCAAGTCGAGTGTCCCGTGTAGTCCGGGGTGTCCTGCAGTTGGATGGTCGTGGCATTGACGGAGTACCTCAGTGCGTAGGTCGTCGTTTGCTGGTACGTATACTCGACCTCGGTAGTAGACCAACCCATTGTCTTCTTCCCATTCGGCTATCCCATTGGCCAAGCGCTGTAGTCTGTGCTCTTTGACTGTTTTGAGACCCTCCAATACCTGTGCCTCCCGTTCTGAGGCTTTCCGGATACGATCCTCTAAGGGGTTCTGTAGGATTGAAGCTGCAATTTTTACGAAGTGGCCAGGTTTAAGGACTGTCTGTTGTCGGTTATCATCGCTGTCCGATACATGATGAACTGCCATGCGGGAGAGAGCATCAGCTTGGGTGTTTACTCTACCAGGGCGGTGGATCATATGAAAGTCAAACCGTGACAGATAGAGGGCCCATCGGGCTTGTCGGCGGGTGAGGTCTTGTGCAGTGCGCCAGAATTCGAGGTTCGAATGGTCCGTAATGATGTCGAATGGTTGAGGGAGTCCTTCTAGAAAGTTCCTCCAATCCTTCAGTGCTTCAATGATAGCAAGCATTTCTCGATCGTAGATTTCGTAGTTCCGTTCTGCTGGCTGCATGGATGCCGATCTGAAGGCTACCGGATGCCATTGGCCATCGTCTTGCTTCTGCATAAGGGCGCCTCCCATGGCAAAGCCTGATGCGTCTACCTCGATTCGAGTAGGCCTGTCTGGTGTCCATAGAGCAAGGATCGGTGCGGAGATGAAGGCTTCTCGAAGGGTATCAAATGCTTTCTGTCGAGTCTCGGTCCAGGTAAAGCTGGTGTCTTTCTTCGTCAGGTCGTTCAGAGGTCGTGCTATTTTGGCAAAATTCCGGATAAAGCGTCGGTAGAAGTTTGCAAATCCCAAGAACCCTCGTAGTTCCCGAAGATTAGTAGGGACTGGCCAGTCGCGAACAGCCGCTACTTTTACCGGATCCATTCTCACCTCCCCTTCTGAGATGATGAGTCCGAGGTATTCAATCTGTTGTTGTTCAAATTCGCATTTTTCGGGTCGTAGGTAGAGGTCGTGCTTTTCTAACCGGGTTAATACTTCCCGTACCATTCGTCGGTGTTCCTCGAGATCGTTACTGAAGATAAGGATGTCATCTAGGTAGACTGCCACCTTGCCGGCTGCAATGAGATCAGCAAATATAGCATTCATAAGTGCTTGGAACGTGGCAGGGGAATTTGTGAGACCAAAGAACATGGCCTTAGGCTCGAACAAGCCTCGGGTTGTTGCGAACGCGCCTTTCCATTCATGCCCCTTCTTAATCCGTATGTTATTGTAACCCCAGCGGACATCAAACTTCGTGAAGTATCTGGCTCCCTGAAGTCGACTAATGATGTCAGCAACTAATGGGAGAGGGTATCGGTTCTTCACAGTGTACTCGTTCAGTTTCCGGTAGTCTTGTACGAAACGGAGTTTCCCATCCTTCTTCTTTACGAAGAAGACCGGTGATGAGATTGGTGATTTTGAGGGAACGATATAGCCTTTCCGTAGGTTTTCTTCTAGGAAACGATCCAACTCCTCCTGCTCGTTTAGGGACATGGGATAAATCTTGGTACGCATGGTTGCCGGTGCTCCAGGTACGAGATCAATCGCATGGTCCCAAGGTTGGTGGGCAGGTAATCGTTCGGAGGCGGATTCTGAGAAAACCTTCTTGAAATCACGATACTGCTCAGGGACCATTTCTTCGAAGGTTTTAACGGGTTTGTCTCGGTTG